AATATAGAAAGTTTTGACAGTGATGACCTCTCAAATTATAAGCTGTGGCGAAAGTTTTCTAATGTACCTGTGTATGGGTCAGTAAGGCATAGAAGTATTAGGAAACTAGAAGGCCAGCACTGAAAATCAGCGCTGTGTTGGGGCCTTGACTTCCGGCATAGCATAATGCTGAGCTGCTAACCTAATATACCGGAATAGGGCGTTTGCACGCTATTTATGGTTTGTTAAAGTTCTTTTTATTTGTTTATATTTTAATTATGTATTTGTGTTCTTTCGCTTTACTGAAATATTTATAAGTATTTTTTTTTTATTTTTTGTTAATATTAGTTTTTCTTTCTCTTTTATGGTGTGCGTCCTTTTTTTGGTAAATAAATTTATTTTCTTTCTTTCTTTATTATTCATTATTTTCTTTCTTATTTTATTTTCTTTTCTTACCTGCTTACCATACATTTAGAGGCGTTAAGTCTAAATTATTGGTAGGTCTGTACGACAGCATTCTTCAAGCCGCGATACATCTGCCTGAAATGCTGCCATATCGTAAAGCGACGGTTAAAAATGTTCATATTAAAAGCAACATCAATCAGTTTGTATGATTTTGAGCACAGGGAAATGTCATTAACATGTATAATAAAGACCGGCCAAAAACATCGTAGACGTTTTGATCGATCCAAACAGATTCATCGTTTTGGCAACTCGTGGTAACGGTGGTAGGGTCACGCAGCAGCCTCGGCTGTTGCACGAAAGGCAGGCCCGTCCGGGTAAATACCACGACCTCACAGAAGACCAGCGTAAAGTGGAAGTATGACAAATACTTTCGCGTTTCGTCTGGTAAGTGAGGTAGCCAGTGAGGAGCCCAATTTTCAAAAGGTTGTCAACGCATCTGTAACCCTCGGGTGTAGCAGATGTCCATGGGCGGCGGTACTCACTTAACATCAGGTGACCCGTCTGCTCGTATGGCAACTTTTGGCATGAAAAAAAAAACTCTAATGACATTTGACAAACCATTTGACAGCTAATTCTTTCTTATCCTTTAAACGAGCAATTCTTGTATATATATATATATAATCGGAATCTCGGAAACAGCTCCAGCGATTTTCATGAAATTTAGTATGTGCGTAGATTTGGGGGCGAAAATTCGATCTAGCTAGGTTTCATTTTTAGGAAATGCCCTTTTATCCCTGTTTTCAGAGAATGAAAAACTGAAAAAATGTATGACGGTAAATTTCGCCGCAAGAGAAAATGTCATAATAGCTCGGTCGGTAATCGGGCGGCCCCAAAACAGACGGCCGTGGTTCGCGTCACGATCATTTACACATTTATGTTTTTACTTTTTTTTCGATTCCAGATCATTGCTTTCTTTGTTTTTAATTTTTTGTCGATTTGTTATTTTGTTATTTTGTTATTTTTTTTAAAATTCTTTCATTTGTGCAAAATCAGTTCATATTTTCTTATTATTACGTCGGTAAGATCGAAAAACATTATGCATATTTCATTACTCAGTAATTTGTATCTAAATGTAAATTCCAAAATACACGATTTACCAAAAAAAAAACGGGCGTTAATATGTAAACTTTTTTGTGCTAATGGAGTTTTCTTTTTTTTTAAGCTATTGCATAGCTTATATCGCGCACTTTGAACGCGGCGACCACATCAAGAGACTCCGTAACGAAAATAAAACCTAACACCCCCCACTCCGCCTACCGTGTAGCTCGGCCGAGCGTTCGCTTGACTTGTATGTGGTACGACTGTATGAAGCTCGCACGGATGGATATTCTAGTATTATATTATCATATGATGATATGATATTTAGACGATATCAAGCCTCAAACTTATGTTTCTTATTTCAGTTACCATAAACCTAAAGTTTGAATGATAAAAATTCCTGAATAACCATGTATTGTAAGATAATAAAAACATTTTGAACGATATTAACTTCTCATTTATTAAATAAAAGAAAAAAAAATTGTTTACTTATCGGTCACCACGCTCAAAAAGGGTAACTTGAATTAATATTAAAGAAAAAAAAAACTTACTGCATAAATAAAAAATAAACAAATAATTATAATTGCATAAGTTGATAAAAAATTCTATGCAATAGCTTTACCGCAGCAGTCCCCGAGTGATACAGGTTTTTTCATGTGAGTAAGTGGCAAAAGAGCTAGCGGTTCACCTGATGTTAAGTGATAACCGCCTGCCCATGGACATTTGCAAAACCCGTAGGGTTGCAGATGCGTTGACAACCTTTTGAAAATTGGGCTCCGGCCTCCTCACTCACCAGACGAAACGCGAAAGCATTATACTTCCACTTTACGTCGGTCTTCTGTGAGGTCGTGGTACTTACCCGGACGAGCCTGCCCATTCGTGCAACAGCCGAGGCTGCTGCGTGGCCCTACCACCGCTGAAGTATTACTTTTTGAAACGCGGAAGTGCAACACTTCTACTTTACGCTGGTCTTCAATGAGGTCGTGGTACTAACCCGGATGGACCTACCCATTCGTGCAACACTGTTGCGTAGTACTACCACCGTTAAAAGAAGTTTCTGAAGACAATTCTTTTTTCTACTTTTTTCGGCTTCGATCCGTTGGTCATCCTAGACATATTAAAGATTACCCACTTACTCACTATCAAGCATAAAAAATTAAATAAAGTGGCTATGGAAAAAATTAAGTTTAATTTCAACGAAAATCAGTAAGTGATTAAATTATCTCAATCAGTGAGAGAGTTTCGTAGATACTATACAATGTCTTTGTCTGGCTTTCGGAGCAGCAAATTTGTTTATATACAATCATCAAATCAACACAATCCAAAGGAACTACTAAAAACAATCCAGAAAAGTTTTGCCACTCCCTAAATTTTGCCACACTAGGCTCTGCCAACTTGGCCTATAGGGAAATCCGCCCCTGAATGCAGTTGATAACATTTTTAGAGTTACGTACTCAAAGAGTAAAACGAGGCCCTATAACTAAAATTCTCTCTCTGTATGTCTGTCTATCCGTATGTCACCAGGCTGTATCTCATGAACCGTGATAGTTACAGTTTATGTATTTTACAGAAGATTCTATTGCCGCTAATAACAAATACTAAAATACAGAATAAAAAAAATATCTAAACGTGAACCACCACACAATTACTTTTGCACTTGGCTAATTTTATTGCGTTATAAATTTTAATCTGAATCTATTACAGACACGGAATATTATCGAATGCCTCCATTATTTCAATTAGATGACTACGACGTCTGCTTGCACAAATTCAAAAGCCAATACTGCTTGGCGCGTTGGGATTTGTTCGCCGATCCGTCAAACAATCTCATCACATTGATAAAAGTAAATTATTATTATTACTTTTATTAATATATTAAGTGGTGCTGATACTATAGTAAAACCTACAAGAGCCACTGTTGTTGCATGCTATCATGGCAATATGACGATTATGGTAAAGTACATTTATATACATTTTTGTGCGGTTTGAGGTAGATAAATTTTCATAATGTATCTACGACCTCTAAAATATTTCGTCGGCCAACGGACCGCAATAAACTCGTAGCATCGATTTTATCTACCATAAAAAAAGTAATAAAAATGCAACCAGGTATCATATAGTCATAAAAAATTAGAACCAGAGGAAGAAATAAAACATTTGTTAAAGATCTTAGTTACATAATACTCGTATTAAAGATATTAATTCGTATTACGTTTGAATGTTAATGTGTTTCAATGTTAATCATACATTTAGGCGTTTTTGTTTATATTTAAAAATTGAGTTCATCATCTGGAGTTCCTTTATTGGATATACGATCTTAATCTTAATTAAGCCCTCATTTAAAACTTATGCAGAATTTTAGTAATCATCATTAAGTTTTCCAAAACTATGTGAGCACATCGGTGGTTCGTTTTTATACTTTTGAAATATGCTTATCTCCTCAGGGATATTCGGAATACACAACGAAACATTACAATCACACATACATTGAAAGGGGAATATGTGTGGCTAAAACGTGCAAAAGTTTCATGTACAAAAATAATTCTAATGAACCCCGTGACATTGATGAGGTCCTTGAGGCATGCATCAACAGTACTATCTGGAATGAATACGAACTGCAAGCGAAACTCGCACAAATATATTACTGCGACGAATTGAAGGAAGAGGAAAAATATGATCGAAGCGATTATTGGTTCGGCGCAATTCTGTTGGCAATAGTTGCTATCAACCTCATAGGTAGCCTATTTGAAATTATAATTCATCAAGGATATTTTACAAATAAGAAAAATGTCATTGAAAATAAAAACGGTAAGGTACACACTATCTAAATATAAGAGAATTATAAAAAAGTACAATTTTGGGTAAAATAAAAAAATATAAACAACTAAAAGCTTTTACAACAGTATATTCAAAAATTAACATGAAGTGTTCTTTTTTGTTTGTAAAGAACTAATATTTCTTCCGCTCTTTATTTTTTTCAGGCATGAGTTATTTATTATGCTTTTCTATGTTTTCTAATTGGAAATATATGACTTCTACGGAACCGAAAGATCCTAGATATGATATACTCAGAGGACTTCATGGTGTTCGGTAAATATAATTATCATTTTAAGATAGGAAATGAAATTAAATGCGAATTATTGGTACAACGCACATTGGTATGGAAAACGAATAGTATTCGCGTAGATAAAAAACAATAATCTGATGCATAATTGTATCATGTAGGACTAGGTAATTTAGATAATTAATTAATATTTACTAAAATGTGTGGCTCATAGTTATTTCTATCTTTATCTGGTATATTATTAATGAATTTCTTTTGTGCAATTACCATTCCTTAGATCACACGGAGTAAAATTGCGACCACCAGAATTTTAAATGTTTGATGCAAATAAATGAAATACAGTCAATAAATAATATCTTATACGGTTATGGTATAACCGTGCAATGTCGAAGGTGGTTAAGAATGCAATAAATATTTTGCTCAAATCTCTTTCAGGGCTTTGACGAGTTTCTTAATGCCACTAGCGCACGTGATGTGGCTAGTCGGTTGCGGCTACACCGACAATCCGAGAGAAATAGAAAAGGTATAGAACAACATTAAATTATAACTTATCGTCAACCTCCTACCCTCGACTTAGGTAAGTCTACGCTACATGTATAATGTTAGTTTGTAGTATTTGCTAAAAACTTACCAAACTTGCACCTACGGGATTCAACACGATAGAAAATTAGGAGTCGCTTTCAAAATCCACACCCCAAGCAAGAAGATTTTTTAAACTAAATAAAAATCGAAATAAATAGCTAGAAAATTTAAAATCCGCATCAGCTGCTCAGTTTATCACGCTGAAATGCTGACAATAAGCAAAGTCTGCCAATGAATTACAAAAAAAAACATTGACGAGGCCATTGTAATCTCAGATAGACAATCACGACTTAATGAACAACGAAACAGAAACATGAGAAACAAACTAGCATCATAAATACACCACTGCATACGTAAAGCGAAACGCCAAAACCAAAAAGTTCAATTTTTATGAATAAGAGGACATTCCAGAATTGCGTGTAGCGAGGAGGCAGTCGAACAATCGCACAAGAAGGCTTTAAAATCTTCCTAATGAGCATCGCTAGAGAATATGCTGAAGAAATGGGGAACCAAGCTGCAAAAGAACTTGATATAACAATTAACAACTGTAAAACTCACGATTACTACTATTAGTATAAGGAAAATCTAAAACTATTCATACCAGTAACAACAACGCAAAAGTTGTTGTGTATGTATAAATTTTATTTGTGAGTTTATAACAATAGTAGTGACCCACCCCGGCTTCGCATGGGTGCAATGTATTATACTTTTTTTTTCTTTTTTTTTATGTGAAAAGCTGCCAAACGAGCAGACGGTTCACCCGATGTTAAGTGAATACCGGCGCCCATGGACATCTGCTTCACCCGAGGGCTACAGATGTGTTGACAACCTTTTGAAAATTGGGCTCCGGCTACCTCACTCACCAGACGAAACGCGAAAGTATTTGCCATACTTCCACTTAACGCTGGTCTTCTGTGAGGTCGTGGTACTTACCCGGACGGGCCTGCCCATTCGTGCAACAGCCGAGGCTGCTGCGTGGCCCTACCACCAAACCCGAACATATAACCCTTCCTCTTGAATCACTCAATCTAGTAAAACCGCAGCAAGACCTTTGCGTAGTGTTAAAGATTTAAGCATACATAGGGACAGATAGATTCATTTGAATAGCTAATAGTACAACATACATAGTTACCTGCTATTTTATAACGTTTAACTTGGGCTTTAAAAGCGTTTTGTAAGTATTGGAATGGAAGGCGTTTTATCCTTAACATGTTTTTCAGGCCTCTGAGAGCATTCACTATAAGCTGATATTTAATGGTATGACGATAGTTCAGATTTTCTTCACTCTATCCGGTTTCCTCATGGTCTACAGTTTGCAAGTATATTCTGAGAATGCCCCCTTAACCTGGTCGCAACTTCCACATCTGATAACATATCGATGGTTTAGGTATGTCAAGCTGTATACAACCACAAACTTTTCGTACTAATTGAGTCGTATCGTATAAATTTGTACTTCTATTGTAAGGCCATAACGGTGAAAAGCAAAGCAAAGTAACAAACTGCCTATACATGTCCCACTGCTGGGCAAAGGCCTCCTCTATACAGAGGATATCAGGGCATAGTCCACCGAACGCGGACTTCAAATAATTTTTTGTTATTATTTAGACCTTTTTCCTTCACCGCAGATCACGTGATAAGTTAACACTTAAAATTAACAATTTCATTGATGCCGCTGCCGGGGATCGAACTCAGGTTGTTCAAGTATATTGAATTAAAGGATTATTAAAGGAAGCCGTGATAGCCCAGACTGGGCTATAACGGTGCAATACCAATAAAATCATATCCACGGAGTTTCAATATTACATTCATAAGCGTATGTCAATAAAATTTGTTTAGGTTGACCCCGATGAACGCTCTGATGATTGCTTTCACGGCAACTTGGCTAAGGTATATTGGATCCGGGCCACTATGGAATCAATATGTGACTAGCGTCGCCGCAGGCTGCCGAAGATTCTGGTGGGCGCATATCTTTTACTTCAACAACTATATACCGGAAGATGACGTATGCGCAGTTCAGACTTGGTACGTAATATGTTATTAGCGATACAGATGAACATATAAATTTAAATTTTTAAACACATTATCCTCGATAAACGACTTAAAAGTTGTTGTACTTATCAAGGAATGATTAAAAATAATAATTAAGAAAGCATCTTTGACATGCTATATGCTATGGCAAGCAATATAAATGTGAGTAGTTTTACAGGAAAATGCGAATGTAGTTAACATTGAAATATGGCTATGGAAATATGGCGGAAGACCAAATTATCCAGTGGTTGCGTTTTATTACCTGTATTTGAATAAAGTGAACTAAATGAAAACTAAATGATACCAATATATTTTACTTGACAAAGGAGGAATAAAATCTTCGAAATGAACTCTCGGAAATATAAGCATTAAAGTTATAAATTCTCGAACAGAACTAACACCAAACACGAACCATCCAAAGCACTCTCACAACTTGTATTTTCAAATCTAAAATTCACTTTAGCTTCGCAAGCCTAGAATAATAAATTGCTTTACAAGCTGTTCGCACTCAACGTGCTTACGTGTGGCTCGTGCACACCATTCGGGCCTTTCTGTCAAATCGCTCATTTCGATTTCGAGTTGAGGGCACTCTTTCTACAAGCCGCCGCCTCACGGCTGGCATTCCTAAAGGCTCCTGCCTCTCGCCCTTGCTTTTTACGCTTTACACCAACGACATACCTAAAGACCCCCACGTCAAACTCGCGCTTTTCGCGGATGGCACGGCGCTCTTTCACACAGATCATAATCTCAGTCAACTAACAACTCGTCTCCGAAGCGCCACCGACCGCATTGGTAAATGGTTCCGAAAATTGAGAATAGACGTAAATCCAGAAAAGAGTATGGCGATTAATTTCACGCATAGCACCCCCCATACGCTACACCGTTAGAAGGTAGGTCCTCGTCGAAGTTGGGGAAAATATCCCTCTATGGCCAACCGCTCCCCCGGGAGAAAAAGGTCAAATACTTAGTAGTCACTTTCGACTCACGTATGACATTCACTACGCATATTTATGACATTCGTAATAAAGCCGCAATCGTTTTTTTTTTTGTGAAAATTTACCAAACAAGTAGACGGTTCACCTGATGGTAAGTGAATACCGCCGACCATGGACATGTGCAACACCCGAGGGTTACAGATGCGTTGACAAACTTTTGAAAATTGGGCTCCGGCTACCTCACTCACCAGACGAAACGCAAAATTATTTGTCATACTTCGACTTTAGGGCTGGTCTTCTGTACGGTACTTACGCGCACGGGCCTGCACAGTCGTGCAACAGCCGAGGCTGCTGCACGAATTCTACCATCGAAACTAGCCGGCTACATAACTTAACTAACGCGATAAGTAAAATGCCCTTAAGGCACAAATTACTATTATACAAAGCCTGTCAATGGTCAATCATGTCCTATGCATGCGGGACTTTCGCCGATATAAACCCTATTCGCATCAACAAGTTGCAAATAGTGCAAAATAAGTTCATCCGTCGCGCAACCATTGCGCAGTGGTATCAACGCAACGTCGACCTGCACAGCGATTGCAGACTCCCGACGATTCGCGAATATTTTAAAGACCTGACCTAACGGTTCTCCGATAGAGCCGAACATCATCCCAACCCAGTGGTAAGCGCAGCAAATCAAACCAACCCAACACAAACATGAACGTCCATAAGCGTCGCCCGCGCAACTTCCTCATCAACCGGGTGGAGAAAGGGGACTTAAGTACGTCGGACCCACCGTAGGGGGTCCCGCCGGATAACACTACACAAACAGTTAGGGTAACAACAAACACCATAGATCGTCCTCGCCCCGAGCGCGTCGAGACCAACACAACGCGTACACAAGGTACACGTTCCAGGGCGGTTCTTAACGCCCCCAGCCACCGACTAGCCAAACACAGTCAACGGCCATCGGGTTCATCGAACCTCGATGGCCCTTAGATGACATTCCATAATTAAAAGCACATATGAGCACATGCGCGGCCCTACCCACATTGGAGGGCCCGAACCCGTGGGTTCTGTCTAGCCCACCGGTTCTGCGTTCGATGAAGCTTTAATAGTCCCGGGACTGAAGACGATCAAAACAATTTATAAAAGATACGAGATATAATAATGAAAAGAATATACTTTACTATTTACCTTCACGTAGTATAAATAGGCAATAAGTAAAGAAATAAAACTTCTTTTTTATCTGCATTAATGTGAACTCACGTTGGAGTTAATAGAGAGCGTATTAACTGCTACAGACAATATAATTTTAACACAAAAAATCACGATTATCCTAGGACTGAATTTCCTTTGGGTGACCTTGTTTGCACGACAGGTGTAAGTGCCCGGTATAAATAATAGTTAAAAAAACACGCTTTTGTAGATAACCGGTAATCAATTTAAATTAAGAACAGTGTAATTTACAGAAGCGAATTTTTTTAAACTATTATCGCATTTCTCTTTTTGAGCATTTCTCTGGCAATCGAGCTGGCGGTTCACCTGATGTTAAGTGATAACAGCCGCCAATGGACAGTTGCATCGAAATGGATTACCTTTTAATAAAGTGGGCTACCTCATTCTTTACGCCGATCTTCTGTGAGGTCGTGGTACTTCCCCGGACGGACCTGCCTATTCGTGCAACAGCGAACAACTGTTGTGTGGTCCTTCCACAATTGAAAAAATTGTAAACGTACTTGGCAGATGGACACAATCGGCCATCAGATTTTGAAAATCGCTAATCCTGGAAATTGATCATTTTAATGGGACAAATTTAAATTATTACATTGTAGGTAGGTCTTAATTGCACGTTTTGAAGAGGATTAAAATCACGTTCGAAAATTCCGTTTCAAGCTAAAAAAGCGTGTTAAAAGACCTCAAATAAGTTTTGTAGAATTTCTCGCGAAAGTAACAAAAATTATTGCTCTTCATCACATTATGCATGATTGAACTACTTATATTCAGAAATTAAATAATGTCGACAACATTGTTTTATTACAACAACTCGTAATAAAATCGTATGATCGTTTCTATTACATTTTTTTTTTGTGTTGGCAGGCATTTGGCGACGGAGATACAACTATTCATTCTGGGTTTGATCATTTACATAGCCATTAAGTATGTGAGGAAGTCTATTCCGCTAGCTTTACTGTTGCTTTTAAGCATGGCGGCACCAGCGCTGCACGTATGGTTTCAGGACCTTGACGCCATAGTGATTATAAGACCTGAGTAAGTGAAAGGTAAATTTTTTTCCGGTTCTCTTTCCACTGGAGGCAGCATCCAGGGTAGCAGCTGCCTCCCGAAGTCTCTTCGCGATTTCCTAACAGAATATAACGTCATTACAATATATGAGGACAGTTGTCCGCTGTTCCCTTCTGTCCCCAAGAGAGGGGCTCGTTTTCTAGCATAGCATGAACCACGGCACGAGCCTGTCTGGTACAACCCTGGATAATGTTTTCCTTCAGTAAGTGGGCAATCTTTCGAAAGACTACAACAGATCTTTCAAGATCTCAGTGGTCTTTGAGGCTTCCAACCCCATCCACACAAAATACAAATACAAAAATGCCTTACCACCACCGTTTGAGTCAAAAAGATCTCAAAACCGTTTTCCATCCATTTTTCTATATTTCTATAGTATATAGTTATCGATAATAGAGCCGTGATAGCTCAGTGTGTTCAGGGCGCTCGCCTTTAATTCTATTATACTCGAGCTACCTGAGTTCGATCCCCGGTGCCGGCACCAATGAAGTTGTTTTTAAGTGCTGAATTATCACGTGCTGAGCGGTGAAGGAAAACATGAAGGGAAACCTGCATATTGTCGAAATAATCATTAAAAAAAAAATTTCGAAAATATGTGAAGTCCGCCAATGTGTATACATGTTTAGGCTGATACTTTATTTTTTTATAGGTAATTAATACTAATCTTAACTACATATTTACAGATTTTACCGCAGTTTCTCAAATGATACATACCGTTACATGCATGTTCTGGGTCACAATAACCTTTCCTCGTTCGTGATTGGAATGATTACCGGATACCTTGCGTATCACTGGCTGAAAAATGGAATCAATATCTTTAGACACAAGGTTAACTTTTAATTTTCCGTACCAAACACCTTTTGGTATTTTCTTTATTTATAAATAGCCTTCCTAAAATTGTTAAGTTCTACGATAATTAGCAGAATACGAGATACCACGAAATGTTATGAAGGATATTTTTTGGCCTTAAAGAACAAATGTAGACATTACTGACAGAAAAATGTTAAAGAAAACGTTCAAAAAAATGTACTGTCACATTCCTTTAGAGGCAAACAAGCTTTGATTTAAGTACAATATGAACTGACAATAAGTACTTAAACGATATACATATTTGAAACACGAGATCCCAATATTAATTAGTGGATTAAACATAACTTCAAAACACTTTTTCTTCATGTTTATTTCATTGATTACTTACATTTTGTGTTGTATGCTGACCAATTAATAAGCAATAAAAAATACAATCAAGAATTATATTGATACGGTAAACTGTGTTTTACGATTAGTATCTGGAGAACGGAGCTTTGTTCGGTTTGTTTTTTTTTTTTTTTTTTGGTAAAACGTGTATTTTGAAAATTACATTTACATATAAATCACTGAATGATGAAACATGCATAATATCTTTCGATCTTACCGACGTATTAATAACAAAATATGAACTGGACTATGATTTAAATAAATATCACAACATTTTAACAAAAAATCTCAACATTTTATTACAAACAAGTACTTACTTTTTTTAAATTTTATCAAACAATTACGTGAGCATATCTTTATCATCACAATATTAATCATGAAGTCGGATCTTAATCACAGTTTAAAGCCGGTTTGTGATGTGTTTTTTGTGCATCAAGTGTGCTTGACGTAATGGTTATAATAATCCTGTATCCTTTGACATAGGACTTTATCAAGGTCTTTTGTTCAAATCCACGTTCAAAATTAATAACGAAATTAAAAGTATTCGCTAACAAACTCGCCGATTCGTCGCGTGACGGACTGTGTTTATAGGAGAGATAGGATCTTCTGTTTATAGGAGAGTAATGTATGTGCCTATAGATTTGCTTTTTTTTACAGCTATCGAGGTGCTTGGCGTGGTGCGTGGTGCCAGCGGTAGTGGGACTATTCTTGACTGGAAATATCTTCTACGGGGGTGAACGGCCTTCCATCGTAGTGAGAATGGCGTACGCGGCTGTGCAACGCAGCGCCGTGGGCGTCCTGACGGCGTTTATGATTCTCTCCTTGGTTATGAGGGCTGAAGGTAGTAAGTTTTTTTATGTGTGGGGGGTGACAAGCGAGCTGACAGCTCACCTGATGTTAAGTGATAACTACTGCCGATGGACATATGAAATACTTTTTAATTAATAAAGTGGGCCGCAGCTACCTCACTCGCCAGATAAAACACAGAAGTATAGTACTTCACACCGGTCTTCTGTGAGATCATGGCACTTACCCGGATGGACCTGCCCATTCGTGCAACAGCGATGACTGTTGGACGAAACAAGGGACCTACCACGCTCACAGTGCGTGGCTGATGTAATTCAAACGGTTGATCTCAACTAATGTTAAAATAAAGTTATTTTATAAAACCGAACTCAGTACATACCACATGCATTGCTTAATAGTTAACCGATATACTAGTCAACCGTCCAACCAGATTAGTGTTCGTACTTACTAGTACTAGTTTAGTGGATTAGGAACCAATTTGTGTTACCCTAATAGCTCCAATGTGCAGGCCCTGGCTTTTAATTCAATGTACTTCAGGAACCAGACTTCAAATCCTGCTGGCAGCACCAATGGAACTATTAATTTGAATTGCTGACTTATCACACGCTCAGCGGTGCAGGAAACATCGTGAGGAAACGCGTTTTTTTATAAATAATAACAAAAAAATATTTCGAAGATATATGGAATCTGCCAATCACAACAACACTGCGGGGCTGCGTTGTGGACTCTGCCCTAATGCCCTCTGTGCATAGGAGGCCTTTGCCCAGCAGTGGGACGTGTATAGGCTGCTACTTTACTTTATTTTCATGTTCCAGACTTCCAGCGGCGCATTCTCGAATGGGACGGCTGGGTCGTGCCAAGCAGGCTCTCCTACTGCGCGTTCTTGTTGCACGTCGATATTGTTCACGCCATGCTCGGAGCAAGAAGCCAACTGGCGCACGTTTCATTCCTATACGTGGTACGGCTTTGCTTGTACAGCGTCATACCCTTATAAATTAGCCCCCTTGAATACACACAGATCAACAACAACAATTAGTGAAAAGCTTATTATACAGGGATTTAAATTTTTAACGTGTTGACAAAACTGTCGCAAGTTTGTCTGTGTTGATAAAACTTTAACTGTGGTACGGACTTGGCAGACTGTTGCGCGGTCTACGCTGTACCACGAATGGGCAAGTCCGTCCGGGTAAGTACCTGCCAGGAGACCGGCGTAAAGTAGAAGCATTATACTGTAGAAGGTAGCAAAGAGCCGAGCAAAAGTAAAGTAAAGTAACAGCCTATACATGTCCCACTGCTGGGCAAAGGCCTCCTCTATACAGAGGGTATCACGGCGTAGTCCACCACGCGGCCCTACTGCGGATTGGCGGACTTCACATATCTTCGAAATATATTTTTTTTGTTATTATTTCGAAAATATGCAGGTTTCCCTCACGATGTTTTCCTTCACCGCGGAGCACGTGATAAGTCAGCACTTAAAGTTAAAAACTACATTGGTGCCGGCACCGGGGATAGAACTCAGGTTGCTCGAGTATATTGAAATAAATGCGAGCGTCCGGACACTGAGCTATCACGGTTTACCTGATGATAATCGACTGGGAGAGAATGCCTTAGGCATTATGCCGCCTATACACAATGTAATTTTTGTGGTGTAAAAGTTTAAATAAATAATTAAATAAAAATATGAATAAAAATAATATATATATATATATATATATATATATATAAAAATATTATTATAGTACCTTTACTATGGTGGGCCCCGGCTACCGCACCAGAAAACAGAAGTATAATACTTCTACTCCACGCCGGTATCCTGTGAGGTGGCGGTACTTACCCGGACGCACCTGCCCATTAGTGCAACAGGCAGGACTGTTTCTGTCTTACCACAGTTAAACTACAGCTGGTTTAAAGATATATACTACCTCCATGATAATGGCCGTGCAATATAGAGTAAATTTTTAATATTTTCAGATTATCAATCACCTGGGGATTGTGACGCTGTCTTATTTGTTGGCGGTGCCGTGTTACCTGATGGTGGAAGCCCCATTCACGCAGCTCAACAAAGCCATCTTCGAAAAGAAATTTATGCCGCCCACGAAGAAGACGATGTAACAGCTCAGAATTTAAAAACTTATTTACTATTGAAAGTATGGCGGTGCATTTGAGATACGGAAAGAATGAATTGTCGATGATAACTTTCGTGAATATTATATTCCTTTCCTATTTACTTTTCAAATTTAAAGCAATAATTCAAATCTTCTTTTTATATATTTTATCTGCAATCTCACTAGTTATACCGAAAAAGCCGTATCTATCCAAGGAAATAAAAGGACGTTATTAATTAAAAAAATGCGTATTTTCATTTGCTTTATTGCTTAATCGAATTTCGTCAATAGCCGAAAATAACCTACCTTAACTTTTTACGTCATATTACATATTTTTATAAGTAGCATAAAAAAATTCAGTTACGCTCACAAATAATATTTGACACGGTTACGCGATGGCTGTTACATGTTATAATACTTAATCTAAACTATTTACAAATATTTACAATGTTTACACAAATCATCGGAAATTGATGACGACACCAGTTAATCAACCTAATGCATAGAATTTATAGATATATGACTTAATACAATAATAAAAAATAGGTCATAGTATTTATCCTTACTTGTTTCTTAATTTAAACGTTGTGTCGTATAACATTACATTACTATAGACTTGACCATCATTGGAACACAACTCTGACGTTTATTTTTGACATTTTCTTGTTGTCACTTAAACATTAGGTTTGACATTTTATTGCGATCTTGAGACATCTCCGTTGTTCTTTAAACGGTAACATCTAACTTATTACAGCGCTATGTATAACCGGCAAGATTGTTCTTATCGAGATTTTTATTGTTCTATTTAATCCCACAGCAATACGCCAATTAATTACCAACACGATAGCGAACATCCTGTTCAACTAACAAGAAACAATTCATACCACTAATATTCACTTACCAACTTCTTCGTTCAGATTCATCTAACGTGAATCGTAAACCACTTGCATTAGATATGTTATACAGTCTAAGTGAAACGGGTAATTTCGTCAGCACAAGATACAGGGTCATCAAACAACCGTGCGCCGTATGTGTTCCACGAAGTCGAACTTATGTGCGGATGGGACATCCTGTGTTTGAGATAGGGCGGTTTGAGGGTTAGGACCTCTCTCTGACCCCGTGGCCGCCTTCCATAGCTGGATCGCCGGCAGCTCCAGAAGCAGACAGAGTGGCAGAGAAGCGGCGTACGTCAAGACGGACGCCGTAATTAACAGTGATATCTACAAGCACACTTGCCGTTTTAAATAATATTGAAGACAGTCTATAAACATGCGAAATTATCATTCATATGTTTTATCAAAGATTATTTTTAATTTTTACAAACATTATGGACACCGTCAAACATTATGGACCGTCTCAATACAATAGTATTATTAACCTATTCTGCAAAAAACTTTTCGCTGAACGCATAACTACTAAACCGCTTATCAATAGAGTGACCGCTCTTAACAGAATAAACAAACAAGTAAAAATTTTTGAATTGATATTTTTCTACTTTTTTCTTGTCAAAATACTAATAAACTATTAACATTTTTTTATTAAATTAAGGAATGCTCAATTAACATTATGTCAAAGTACTGTATTTCGTGTAAAAAATCAACCCGTACACTAACCATGGAGAGCAGCGTGGCGTGCCCCAGCTGAGTGTTGGACGCGAGGGTGAGACGTAGCACGATGAAGTGGATGAGGAAGGCGCAGTAGGAGAGCCGCCCCAGCGGGTGGAAGCCCCTCCACTCCAGCGCGTCCCGGAGCAGAGCTGCGGACGAGCATAATTCGGTTCGACAACTGACAGATTTTTTTTGGGCTGGATGAGCCACTGTTGGTCTTAGGGGCCTTTACAGATCCGACGGACTTGAGGTGGCCGGGCGCTCGAGGCGCCTAGAAACTGATAAGAATAAACTGACAGAATAACAGGACAGCGTTATAAAGATATATCTTTTATTTTATATTTAACTGAAACGTTGTTAACAATATATAACAATATCGAATATAATAACAGTCACACTGAATGCCATCGAAGAACTATAGTATTATTAGTAGTAATATTTAATTTATTATTAATTATTAATCTTAATTATTTTTTATTAATCTTTATTCATTATTAATTTAATTTAAGATATTCGTTTTCTGTCTTTTATAGCTTTGTTATTAATTTAGTGATAATGGTACTTTACTTACTTAGTATTTAGTTTTTAATTACTTTATATGTTTACTAATATGTTTTGTTTTAAAATTTATTTTAGAGAAATATTACAATGCAATTATAAACCTTAATGAGTGCAGTTTCGCCAATAAACAGTATTCTCAGTTTGGCGAACTTAATGTTTTTGAAACAATTGTATTTACTATGTTAATAAATTGATTAAAAAAAACATCAAGAGTATTGAATCTGAGAGCCCATATAATTGTGTCCCAGTGCTGTCCGCCACGCGGCCCCACTGCGAATTGGCGGACTTCGCATATCTACGAATAATGTTATTATTTCGAAAATATTTAGGTTTTCCCACGATGCTATTCATAACCGCACGATGCTATGCATAAGCACGTGATAAGTCAGCACTTAAAATCAACAATTTCATCGGTGCCGGATAACACGTCAGGAGCGAAGCCTATAATATCGTACGCGATATTACATGATATATTAGATGTCGCCCAAGTGGTCGAAATTCAACCATAATTAATTACACAAGGTAGCGTGTGTAATGTTTTGTTATTGATTTAACGTATTTTTCATGCATATGAAAATTCATGCATAAAAAAATATTAGCATTCTACACTCCCTCTCTATATAAACTATAGGTTTGGGAAATTTTATAGTCCTCCGTCCGCGCGATTTTCGTAAAAAGGGTACAAAGTTTTTGCTTCGCGTATTAATATATAGATATCGCGTACGAAACCATAGGCTATTATAAATATTTTTGAGGCCAGCATTCAAAATTCATAAGCTCTCATTATGTGATAGAACTTATGACTCTTGTTTTATTATGAGAGAAGAAGAAATTTTTATGAGAGAAGGTGCCAAGCGTTCTGGTGGTTCACTTGATGTTTAGTGATAACCACAGTCCATCGACATTTGCAACACCCGTAGATTTGCAGATGCGTTGCCTACTTTTAATAGAGTGGGCCCCGGCTACCTCACTCGCCAGACGAAACGCAGAAGTGCAACACTTCCACCCCACGCCGGTCTTCTGGGATCGTAGTACTCACCTGGACTCACCCTGCCCGTTCGTGCAACAGCTAAGACTGTTGCGTGACTCTACCACGGTTGGTACAATCAAGGGAAAAGCCGCTCACATTTGCACCGGCTGAAGCAGCCCAGCATGAAGACGTTGAAGAACACCGCCACCAGAGTTCTGTCCAGGCCGGAGTAGACCGCGATCGCCCACTGGGGCGGAGGGCTGTCCGACAGGAAGACCACCCCCGCCAGCACCACGCCGCCCCCCAGGGTCAGCGACGCGTGGAACAGCAGGTTGAACAGCTGCGGATCGGAGTAATTACACTTCTCTTATCCTTTTTAAAGTTTTTTATAGTGCTAATCTCTGTTTCTATTCTCTCTTCTAATCTCTAATTTAATTCTCTTATCCTTTGGATATTTAGTGTAAATCTTGAAGAACGATGGCCAGATTCAATTTAAAGTTGAGGAGTATAGAGGATGTTGCTGGGCAACATCCTCTATACAGAGGGGGACAAAGCCGCATATTTTCGAAATAAAAAACAAAAAATATTCCGGATGTACGCGAAGTCCGCCAAGCCACAGTGGGGTCGCATGTGTTATGCCCTAAGACACGCCGTACAGAGGAGGCCTTTACCCATCAGTGAAATATTTATAAGCTATTACCTCCCTCTTTAACGACAGTAGACACAGTGGCTGAGTTGAAATCCCAGTAAATGCGCAAAACCTGCCTATTAACAGGTTTAAGAAAAACTTTATAAAAAGGGTTATTATAATACAAATGAATACATTAATGACAATAACCCCTGGGAATGAGTTGATCGCTCCCAAGCTATTTCTAACAGGAAAATAATTTTTAAATTTTTTGTTAAGAAAAAAAAATAATTACAAAAAAGAGGATACCTACGGAGTTTCTTTCGCCTGTTTCTTCTCCGCTAGAGGAACCTCATTACGAAACGGTGGTAGATTTAAAAAAAAATATGAATATTGATAAATGAAATGTAAGTTTCTTATGTCGATGAATAAATGATTTTGATTTGATTTATCACTAATCGTGGCATCCTGTAATCTAAAATAAACACACCAACACCGCAAGACCTCGAGGTACTGTAAACCCATTCCTCATAGATTGGACCGAATAAATAATAAAAAAAATGAAGATTAATTTTTATTTTTTGGTGCTACTCTCTGCACTCAAAAGAAATGGCGACATATCTCGTTACAAATTCAATCTAATCTCGTTGAAATTTATTTGTAAGGTGTTGTATGCTTTAAACGCACACTAAGTGACGCCAAGCATTGCAAAAAATGCAATAGAACGAACGAAGATAGATGTCGAGATTTTACAATGTCAGGCGTCTGGCTGCGAAACCAGAACACAAGGGTTCGAATCCGACAGCACCGAAAGTTTTTGATCCTTTATCTACAACAATCTACAATTTAAAAATAACAAAAATGTTGACGATAATCCAATCTAACTGATAGGAGGTATGGAGGTATTTGTATTTTTTGTATTTTGTATAGAACTCTCCTCATTTTTTGTTGAGTGGCGACCACTATTTTTGACATACTCGTAATCACAGGGCACAAAATATTTCTTATTATTTTTTTTCTTTCTATACTAATCACTTTAATGTCTATAACTTAGTGTAATAACATGTTTCTTTTTTAATTTTTTTTTAAATGAAACGTTTTGATTTTATTTTTCAATGTTCATCTCGTGTACTTCGAATTTATGTGCTGTTCGTTTTATGTCAAAATAAAACTGTGTCTACGTCTGTTTCTATGTCTATTCGCCGCATTGTGTCTACCTTGTTTTCCGCTAAGTCGATTCCATTCCTCTGATTGTGGTGGAGTATGAAAGCGGTGGCCACACCAGCTCCGTAGCCTGCCAGGTTCATCCAGCTCGGCAGATACAGCAGGGGAAGTATCCTCGACCCACCGAACAGATTCCGTAGCATCCTACAATTCGTTACGCGAACATTATCCACGCACTAACGTACTAATATGAAACATAAAAAACCGTACACTCGTCTAGTGTACGGTTTTTTTATGTTTGATATTTTTATTTCTTCTCTTTTATAAATAGATTGAATAATTTACTTTGTTTTAATCAGCATTGTCCAGAATTTTAAACAAACAAATAATAATCACCCTGAAGGGCAGTAGCCAATTGGGACAAAAAGTTTACGTTGATATTTCTTAGAAACAAATATTTTTAAGAGACATGCTCGAGTCCAAAATTGCTATTAACTAAGTGACAGTGCCAATATTAAGATACGTGGCAAAATTCGTGATGTCTTGGTTACCTCGCTCACCAGATGAAAGGCGACAATATAATACTTCCATTTCACGTTAATTTTTTTGGCTGTATACATACCCAAATGAGCCTACCCATTCTTGTAACAGCAGAAGATGCTGCGGCTGTACCGCATAAAGCCCGTAATTATTCCTTAAACTAATTTACAAGTCATTTACGAAAAAGATCGTATATGGGCAGGAGGAAGAAATGGTAACACAAGTGGCCTACCACTCAAACATGCATGGGAGCAAAGCCTCGTGTACATGGAGGCTTTGTTTATCCTGACTACCCATGAAGTCGAAAACCTAGTGTGAAGTAAGGCAACAGCTATTTAGATGATTGAATTGATGAAACGACATCTCACTCCGGTGGCTGTGCGGTTATGATGGGCGTTAGCTGGGAGAGGTACGCGACGGCGGCGGGGGCGAGGATTGAGGCGAGGGCGATTGCGGCGAAGGCGAGAGCCGCCATCCGCCGCCAGCGGAGGACCAGAGGCAGCGCTAGGGCCAGTGCCACGTGGAGCTGCATGTCTACCGCCAAGTACCTGCGAAAACGATCCATTCCAGAGGTACAATGCAACCGGGATGCCGAAAAAATATCGATATATCGATATTTTTGATCCGATATATCGATATAAAGTATTCAATATCGAAATCATATTAAAAACTATATTTTCTTCAAATTCGAATACGGGACATACGCCCTTACTGTAGCATTGTTGTAAGGACGATTTACATACATTGCGTGAAAAAGACAAACACCCAGATCCGAAACAACCATCTGTGGGTCACACAAATAGTTGTCCCGTGCGGGAATCGAACCCGCGACCCCCGGTCCCGAAGCCAGTACCATGGCAACTGCACCCCGGAGTCATCAAGTTGGTTCACCTGATGGTAAGTTATAACCCATGGATATTTTCAACGCCCGTAGGCGCAAATGCGCTGCAAAATTTCAATTATGTAAGCTCCGGTTACTTCACCCATCAGACAAAAGGCAGACGTTATACGTCAGAAAAAAGAGAGAAGAAAATACATTTATTTACCAAAAAAAGGACGCACACAATAAAAGAGAAAAAAACACTAAAATTAACAAAAAAAAGTGTGTGCGTGTAACCTTTACGCGCGATTGAAGTAAAACTTCTTTGGCGTTGACGGCATATATCACTGAAATGATTAAATATTTAGTAACGTCATAAGTATATGTCATATTTTAAAAATATGACATGACGTAACCTCCGTCAGAAAAAATCTGAGTTACTCCCTAGTCGCGCCTAAAGAAGTTTTACTTCAAAAATAAAAGAAATAAAAAAAATACTTGTAAATAATTCAGTAAAGCAAAAGAACACAAATACATGATTAAAATATAAAACAAATGAAAAAGAACTTTCACAAACCAAAAATATTGTACGCCCTATTCCGGTAAATTAGGTTAGCAGCTCAGCATTATGCTATGCCGGAAGTCAAGGCGCCAACACAGCGCTGATTTTCAGTGCTAGCCTTCTAGCTTCGTAATACTTCGATGCCTTACTGACCCGTACACAACGAAGTAATACTAATACCAATTATTATTTAACTTATTAAAATTAATTATACAACAAAACAACACTTCCGCTTCCCGCCAGCCTTTCTATGTATACATTTTCTATTCGATATTGAGGTATTCCATGCTGGTATGTCTCCGGAGTTCAGGGTCCGATACCAAAGAAATAAATATGGGGCCACACGGAGCTAAAACGAACCCATTGCAAAAACTATTTCTTAAAGTGGTTCGTAAATGACGGAGCGGACAAACATAAAAAAATCCAACCGGATTGAGAAGAAAAAAGGAAGTGGTCCCTTTTGGAAGTCGATTGAAAAAATACATAATAGAAAAAAGCAAGTGGTCCCTTTTGGAAGTCGATTGAAAAAATACATAATATCATATTCACTAAACGCGTGGGTTCGATACCCACTACTGGAAAAATATGAGGAACATAGTTGGTTTTTCTAGTGTATGGGTGCTTATGTCAAAAGTATAATAATTTCTTGTATTTACGCGATTACACATTATAAATGAAACAAATTTTACGGATTTATCGCATTATTATAACTGACGGTATCCCGGGTTATGACATGACTATGACAATCAGACGTCTAACACCTCAGTCTGTCCCGTGACCATGAACGCTGTAAAGGGTTCGAAACGCCGGGAATTAAAACTAAAAATAAACGCGATAAATACGTAAAATTAAGTTTCATTTTTAAAACAAAAGTATGTTCATCAGATATCTAGTATCCATAGCGCAAACTTTGCTTAGTTTGGGGCCAGATAGAGTTGTGTAAACATATGCCCCGAAATATGTAGAAAAAACATTTATATCACGAACCAAGTGTGCCCCATGCACATCTTGCCAAGCGGGATGTGGTTATGGGCGTACAGCACGTGGTACCACCAGCGCTGGGTGCAGTCGTGCGCCTCGCGGGCCACCAGCCAGGCCCACTGCGGCCCCGAGCCCAGCAGTGGGAACCACGACATCGTGAACCACAGCGCGAAAACCGCCACCGGCGTCAACCTGATTATAGGAAGTTACACAAAACGACACTCAAATAAACTTAAAAGTAAAAGTAGAGTAACAGCCTAGACATGCCCCACTGCTTTGCAAGGGACGCCTTTATATAGAAGGCATTAGGGCGTACTCCACCATGTGACTTTAGCAAATAAATATATAAATAAACTTTACCGTATCATATTCACGCAGATGGTGGCTTAAATAAAACTAGGTGTGCCTGTTTTTAAGTGATGGATCATCAAAATTTATTAAAACTCAAAAACTTTATCACAATAAGTTGTAAGCTGGTGAGACAAACTTAAAAAGCAATTAGTGTACTCTAACGTCAGCATTATTAATTAAACAAATAAATCTACCACCATATCACTTAAAGTGACTTTGTTGTTAGCATGACTCACCTGATCCATCTGTTGGCAATGGAGAGCAGGCACTTGGCGAAGGTGAAGGGGCTGGTCTCCGAGCAGACGAGCACTGAGTAGGCTGTGAGGAATCCCGACAGCGAGAAGAACGCTTGGAGCCACAGCGGCGAGTTCAACACTAGCTTCCAACCCAGATGGTCGTACATCTGCGAGATGTAAAGACAGAAGGTGCTAAAATTATGAAATTACTGAAGAAACGTGCAACAAATGCGGTTTTATGTGGCACAAATTTACCATTAGTGGATGTACTGTAGTGTTTCTACCATCCAATACTAGTACGTCTGAGACTCTGTTTTTTTATGTGAGAAAGTGGCAATCGACCTGGCGGTTCACCCGATGTTAGGTGATAACTGCCGCCCATGGAAATTTGGAACACCCGTAGGTTTGCAAATGCGTTGTCATCTATAAATAACGTGGGCCCCGGCTACCTCACCCACCAGACGATACGCAGAAGTTCTATTTTACTTCGGTCTTATGTGAGATCCTGGTACTTACCCGGAAGGACCTACCCATGCAACAGTGAACACTGTGGCGTGGTTCCACCACAATTATGTTATCTAAATGTACCAATCAATCCGGGACTAAAAGATATGTGATTACATTCATATATTTCTATCTGTTATTAAAGAACTAAACGAAAATTCACTCAAATTCATAATGATGAGCTATTTGTGAATTGTGATTCTCTAGCTTATATTTCTACAATTGAAATTTAATAAGAAACTGTAAGTCAGTACAACACATGAGTATAAAAAGAACATAAGCGTCCGTTGCTAACTTTGTTTGCATTTTAATTCGGACGTCTATTAGGGAACATGTGTAAGGAGAATGTTGCCATTAATATAGTATAATATAACTGTATTTTTTTTTTCTAAATAAAAAGAAGTGTTCTTGACATTTTCACACTGGCCGTAATGCTAATATCTATATATCTTGAACCATTTCAATTCTTTGTAATGAGAGTTACGATATCCTTAAGCGTCTCATGCCATATTATAAATATACTAGCGAAACTCCCCGGCTTCGCAGGGGTGCAATGCAAATATTATACATATGAACCTTCCTATTGAATCACTCTATCTAGTAAAAAAAAACCGCATCAAGATTGTGTAGTTTTAAAGATCTAAGCATACATAGGGACAGACATACAGCGGGACGACTTTGTTTTATACTATGTAGTGATACACAGTAAAGAGACGTTTACATTTTGCCTTCCCGGGACCCCTCCACTAACACTTAAACTTTATGGTATGGTATTAAAGTTCAAATTGACTTTTAAGTATTATTACGAATCTTTTGTACGGGAATATAGAAAAGTGTTGTTTTCAGACTTTTTCAGGCAATTTTTAACATTTTTTTCTTTCATAAGAACCTTCTCCTGATAACAACGTTCAAGCTTGATGGCGTGACCAAGGGAAATAGGGATTCATTTTTATAATTATATATAGATAAAAGCTTTAGTCAACCAATTCAGTATTATTGTCTGATATTGCACTATGGTATATCAAAGTACATAATAGTGTATCGAAATTTATACTTAACTGAAATTTGTCTCATTTTTCAAGGTCGGGGGAGCTTTCCGTCGCTATTTTGGCTTGTATAATTAATATAATTCAATTCGTAAAGCTACTTACTTTTTCGACAAACTGCGGATTGTCTATGTAGGAGTACACATAGATCCAAAGAACATGTGAGAAGATGACACATTGTATCCCGATGAATCTGGAATAGGGTAACACTTCGTAAAGAACACGTGCGAGGAAAACGCGCTGGCAAGAATTTCATAAATAACCTATGTTTTTTTTTATTTTCATAAATATTAATAAAACTGCATCTCAACAAGGATTTACGACATTTCTGGAAGTTTTGCATGAAAGATAATTACATCGCTTATATCTTTCAGAGCCGTTACGACCTGGGAACCTTTAAGAAGAGGGCATACTCTTTCCTAAAAGGCGGGCAATGTATGTGAATTATAGTTTCGTAAGGTAGACATAGCTGATGGCATGATATGACATACAAGCGAGCGCGAAGGTGAAGCGAGAAGGCGGTTCATCTGATTTTGACATCTACCATACCCCTAGGGCTTGCAGACCTTGGCAACCTTTATAAATGAACTCCGGTTACCTCACTCACCAGACGAAATGAGAAAGCTTAACACTTCCATTTCACGTCGGTCTTCTGTGAAGCCATGGCTCCCCGGACGCGCCTGCCCATTCGTGCAACAGCATAAGATGTAGTGTGGCCCTGCCACAGTACTTCATTAGTGGAGGGATGAAATTGATAAATCAAAACCAAACTAACCTGATGCCCTCCATGGACGTCAAGTTCTTCATGCGATCGTCAGTGCGTGGCTTGGACCTGTCGTACATCAGTATAGCCCAGTTGCGTTTCAACGAAAACGCCAGAAGATATTTATTGCCTGTAAAAGAAAAATCTCAGCAATAATAATGTCATTTTCTACGAACCCTAGGAGGTTTGAGGAAAACTAACCACAAAATATAAAAAAAAATTTCGGTTAAATCGAGCTATCATTATATAGCTCAGTGCTCAGGCGCTCGCCTTTAATTCGTAAGTAAGACTTATCACGTGCTCTGCGGTGAAGGAAATCATCGCAGAGTAACCTACATATTTTCGAAATAATAACAAAATAAATTAAAGAAAAAATTTTCAAGTTATGTGAAGTCCGCCAATCCGCAGTGGGGCCGCGTGGTGGTCTATGACCTGACATCCTCTGTATAGAGGGCCTTTACCCAGCAGTGGGACATGTATAGACTGTAATTTTACTTCCTTAATTTTATGGTACAAAACTTAATATATATTAAAAAACTTTAATATTTGCCAGTTGTCATGTAATGCAATAATAAAGCGATTAATTTATAATCCTGTCTATAAATAATTTCTTTGATGTCTCACATAATTCATCAACACTTGTAATTGTAGCAGTTATGTACTAACCTGACTTAATCGGGTAGTGCGTAACCAATTTTTGCCAGCCCAAATATTCAGCGTGTCGTTACAATCGCGACAATAAATGAACACACATATAGAGGATAACTTTTTTTTTAATTCTTTTTTAAAAATTTACATTCTTTAAACATCAATATTTACTGAGTTATTAAATTTTCCAAAACAAACAATTTTAGAAAACCCTTACGTATAAAACTATAACGTAAAGTTCATTTGTAAAGGTCACAAAGTATATGAATGGGTTGAATGAATTAAAAAGAGATAACCATACTGTTAGAAGGAGAGATTTGTAATGCGTCACTGTGGTAACGAATGAAAAATTCTCTGAATCAGTCAGTTGTAGTCGTATAGGTGATACAAATTTTGTTTCTTTTTTATTTACTTAGTTTGTTTGAAAAGTATATATTTTTAATTATGGATTTTTTAACGCTTATATTTTTTATGATTATTGGCAAGTAGCGTTAGTCGTGTGTTCATTTTTTGTCGCGGTTGTAACGACACGGTGTATAAATTAAATCAACGTTAACAATCTGCGTAAATAACGCAAATCATTACTAAAGTTATATAAAAACAAGTTGATAAGACGTTGTTATTTTTACACTGTGAGCATTTCGACCGCTTAGCTTAGTGGCTGGAGCATCTGGACGCGTAATCTGGAAGGCGTAGGTTCGAATCGTGACAGCGACGAATCTTATGTACTAGTGTTCTGTACATAAGATTCGTCGCTGTCAGCCCCACGCTGTCTCTTCTTTCTCACACAATTGAATATTCAAAATCTAAGTACATAGCTCCGTCCGGATAAGTACCACGACCTCACAGAAGATCAGCGTAAAGTGTTACACTTCTGCGTTTCGTGTGGTGAGTGAAGCAGCAAGGGCCCGCTTTATTTAAAGGTGGCAACGCATTAGCAGCCCTATGGGTGTTGCAAATGTCCATGGGCGGCGGCTATCACTTAACATCAGGTGAACCGTCAGCTCGTTGGCCAGTTTTGCACACAAAAAAATAGATTTGTTCCGTACCTTCGACTGTAGTGCAACATTCGCCAAGGATGTGCAGGGCGGTCGCCAGCACCGCCAGGACCAGCAGTGCTATACATACCACTGCCAGGAACCTGCCAGAACTGCTGGGCAGGTCCGAGCTCGGCGAGCTACACCAATCTGCTGATATCACCCGGGCCTGACGAAGATTACAAACAAACAAACGTACACTATAAACGTCGGTAAACGTTGTTTACATTTGTACTGAATTAGATGTCTAATGATTTTTTTAATAACATTTTCAATTTTATCAATGCTGATATTATATTTTATTGTTTGTACCTATAAATGGGGAAACAGCAACACCAATCTTTTTGGGGTTCCGTAAAATTAAATTTTGGCACTTAGAAGTTTTCGCGAAAATCTAAATTTGCCCATATCTTTTTATCGTTGACTAAGGAACTTGATTTTTTATACACCTAATACCTCACCTACAGGCCTCAGTATATAGTATAAATTTCAACCATTCCTGAGAAAATCGGCGGTGATTATAATCAAACTAGTAAATATCAATTTTATTATGATGGTATAATGGGTAGCGTACGAGTTCGACTCGTACTTGACCAGTTTTTATTTATTAAAACATGTAGAAAAAGTACGAAAAGATTGTCGCCGCTGTGGGAATCGAACCCACGTCTTCGGAGTTTTTTTTTATTATTTGCGACGGCGTCTACTCCGTTGGTGCAGCTAAATAAACGTGGATACCTCAAGTCCATATTGAAGGACGCTCTGGTTGACGCAAAGCTGTGCTGCCTCCCGCCAATCTCCATCTGCAGCGGCCTGGCCGCAACGCGATACGCACACCCCTCGATGCACCAACGTCCTGTTGTAGTGTTTCAACGTTTGCTTAGAATAGTCCTGAAAACAGATAAAAGTGAAATAAGTAAAGTAACACCCTATATATGTGCCACTGCTGGGCAGAGACCTCTGTACAGAGGGCCCGAATTGGCATCTCGAATTTTTTTTTCTGTTATCATTTTGAAAATATGCAAGTTTCCTCGCGATGTTTTCCTTTTCGCAAAACTTAAAATTAAAATTTTCATCGGTGCCGGCACCGGGGATCGAACTCAGGTCGCTCGAGTATATTGAATAACAAGCGAGCGCCGCCATTTGAACACAAATACGGGATTCAATTTTAACTTTATCGCTAGTCTAGCAATGGCTGAATCTGTAGTTTCCAAATTTCCTTTTAAAAAATTTATTTGAGAATGTGTGATTGCTAGACTAATTGTGAGCTACGAATGCAATAAAAACATGTATTTCGCGCGGTGAGGCTTTGTCTTAGCCACTAAGCGGCTAGAGTATGATAATAAATTAAATGCGGGATTCGTTTTATTTTTGCTAAAAAAAAACAAATATGGAATAAAATTATAATTTTACGGCTACTAGCCCGCCCCGGCTTCGCACGAATAGGACTAATTATCCAATAAAAATGTTGTTGATCTCAACCTGAAACTCCCTATCCCCCGCTGGCCTAATCTGAATATTGCCCGAAAATTTCTTTCAATTTGGTGCGGCCGGGACTAATTTTATGCAGCCCATAAGAAACGTGCACACACACATATACATTTTGTATATTATATAGATTTAATACAGTACACCTTGCAGAAAATGAAATCGAAGTTTTATACATTTAGCACAGGATTTAAAGATAACCGTAACCTCTTACCTTCCTTGCAATAACTCTTTTTTAAGGGTTAACGCATCGGCAACTCCACAGAAGCTCTAATTATCCATGAGCGATAGAAATCATTCAATATCAAGTGAACCATGAGCATAAACAAAGTACGAAAACCCATTTGCCAGACGAATTGCCATTGATATTGTGAAGTTCCAATTTACCAACAAATGTTTAATTACGTAGCGTACCGTTTAATTTAAAAATTCAATAAATGCAATTATAGAGAGATAAAGCACGTCACCGGTTTCGTGATTACAGGAGACAATAGGAAAATTATGAACTGCCTGTGTGTTTTGACCTTAAGAGGTTTCGGCCACAACAGTCAGTGTACTTGCTAATATTAAAAATGTATTAAGTATATATGCTCTAAAATATAATTTTGCCTGAATTTTCACAATAAATACAACCTCCTCAAGGGTAGTTCAATTTGAGTTAAATAATATTTCCATGTTATTTATCATACAATGCCGGTAAAAGTCGCTGGGTAAAATTGTCTGACGAACGTGTCACTTTAATGTTTTGATTTCATCTGAAAGTATTCATATCTCTACAATAAATTATTATGTTTATTAAGTATGTTATAATTTAAATTATTTAAGCTGGCGTACGATAATAATATATGAATAGATTTAAATATGTAATTGTTGAATTGCTTTCCATTCCAAACGCATTCGCAAAAAATCAGATTAAACACCTCTTAGTTAAAAAAAATATTAAAATATAATAAAAAAGGAAAGGAAAAAACTTCAAATTAATTATAAGTATACATTTTAAACGCAATGAAAACAAAATAATCATGCTTAACATTCCTTTGCCATAATGGTATTAAAAACAAAGTTAAAAGGCTATAGTTTAACGACCTGCAGAAGGTTGGTTACTGACCTACGTTAATAACGCGGAATTGGCATATCACTTCCTTCTCGACACCCTCACACGTTATAACGGAACTAACATTCCATCACCCCATCGTTCAAAAACACTTTGCACTCCTGTGTATTCCGTACAAATAACTTTCCTTTATATTTACAAAGGCTTGAGAAATTAATGTAGCTAAAGCCTCGTACCAAACACAAAGGTCCTTACTTTATTGTGTTTAATATTTTTTGGATTATAGCAAGTACACATTTTAAGTTTCTTAATATAATTATGAGACCATCATGTAAACATTATATTCACATTACAGTATATTTTATAACTTTTCACAAATGTTATGTAATGTCATTATTTGATGCAAATGATAAATCCTAAAAAGCAGTAAACAGGCTTCGAAAAAAAAATCAAATATGGCAATGCCGCTATGGGCGGCGTCACTATTACAGGATAATTACATTAATACAATGATATTATATCCAAATAAGAGGTAGATATGAAACTAGTGCACCGAAACTGAGGCACTCAAATTACCTTAATTGGTTTAATTAGCTCTATAGACTGCTATCTCTTTCCGTATCATACGTTCTATAATATCATATCCATACTCATACTATCCATACTAATATTATAAATGCGAAAGTAACTCTGTCTGTCTGTCTCGCTGTCACTCCCAAACTACTGAACCGATTTAAATGAAATTTGGTACACAGATAGTCTAGAGCCCACGAAAGGTCATAGGCTATTTTTTTATTGGAAAAAAATGTTGTAAAGGGTTGAAAGATATTTATTTAAGGGCTTCAACGCGAGCGAAGCACGGAAGAAAAGCTAGTATGTCACATACTCGCGTTTTTGAACCGAATTCAAAAAAGGAGCGGGTTTTGTCTATGTTGAATGTGTTACTCAAATACATCAAAGGCGTGAAATGACGAATAATTTCGAAATCTATAATTGGTTGAAAATTAAATTGAATGATTTTGCAATACATATTTATATAAGTGATGCAAAAGAATATAATAAATGTATATTAACAATATATGAATGCAAAATGAGTTAGTGGCCTCGGTAAACACCAATTCTTAAATTGTCATGTATGTAGGTATGTGTGAAAAACCGGCCAAGTGCGTGTCGGACTCGCGCGCTAAGGGTTCCGTATCCATTGTCAATAAAAGAAAGCGACAAAAAAATCATGTCTGTTGTATGGGGACCTCACTTTATTTTTTTTACTATGTTTTTTAGTATTTGTGTTATAGTGGCAACAGTAATACATCATCTGTGAAATTTTCAACTGTCTTACTAACACGGTTCGTGAGATACAGCCTAGTGGCAGACGTACACACAGACAGACAGCGGAGTCTTGGTAATAGGGTCCCGCTTTACCCTTTGGGTAAAGCGGGAACCCTAAATATGAATAAGTTCGATATCTGAAAGTTGTCGAAAATTAAATTTAAGCTTCAGATATGATAATAAAAGGACACTTTTTCCAAACATAATTATAATTTATTCCTTAATTACTTTGTTTACAAGTTCGCTGACTTAAATAAATTCATATACATGTTCTTTCATTGTATAAAACTTTCCACACTGCATTAATGTAGTCTTAATCGGACCTTGACTTTTAAATAATTAAAATTGAATACTTCGTAATGCAATTTAACGGTTGTCTTTTATTTGACTAATCTGTGATAATGTTATTAACAGACGAAACTTGAGTTTTTTTGTTTACATGTAATTGATAACCTCAGAAATGCTTTCGAATAATACTAGTGGTGGAATACTAGTAATAATAATACCACCCAGTGGTCGAAATTCGACCATTTAATTATACATGGTAGTGTATGTAATGTTTTTTTTATTGATATAATGTTTATGCATAATTAAAAAAAAATATTGGCATTCTGCACTCCTTCCCTATATAAACTATAAGGGAAGGAAATTTCATCCTCCTCCTTCTGCGCAATTTTCGTAAAATGGCGTACAAAGTTTTTGCTTCACGTTTAGTTAAATATATCAAAATTAATAATAGTAAATGATGTCACAAGAAAAAGCTAACATTAGTATGTAATTTGGTGTTTTGTTTTTTTGTTTTACTTCCCGAACCGGTGGTAACTTACGAACGTATTAATTTTTATGTAAAATTTTGACATAAGAACGCGCAAGCGTCTATGTGAATAAATTTTTTGATTTAATTTGATTTGATCTGAACGCACCTGCAACCCTAGGCGTGTCTTAAATCTCCATGAGCGGTAGTTATCACTTAACATCAGGTAAACCGCCTACCCGTTTGCCACCTTCTCACATGAAATAAAACACTTTGCCCTTACTTGTACTGTAGAATTACATAATCCCGTGTTGTCAGGACGTATTACAAAACATCTTTACGTGGACAAAACCCAGATGCGAGACAATAATTATAGACCTGAGGGTAATACGAAAAATGGTCCATGTGAGAACCGAACCCTCCACAGAGTCATCATTTGATTGTTTACTATCCTACCGTACTACGGAAACCTGTTAATTTTATAGACAAATCTTATTCTTGCTGGGACTTAGTGCTCTTTATCCGGTTAACCGCATCAAGGCTTAAGTAATTTCGCAAGCGGAGCCGCGGCTTAACCTATACGCTAGCATTCACCATCGTAGTATTGACAAATAAAACCTGTTCAGTGGTTACTAAACAGTTCTCTTGCTGTCTAAGCTTTGGTCGACTCTGTGGGCTAACCACAATCGTGGGCGATGGTCTGTCCACCACGACTGTGGCCTGGATGAATCGTGCTGAAGTTACAAAGTTTTAAATTATTTTGTGAGATAACTTGGCTAAAGCCGCGTAGTTAAAAATTATTATGGACACAGATTCCGCCATCGCAAGGATGAGTCCTCGTTGGGGTAGGCAAGTAAATTTGCGATTCACAAAAAATCAACGTAATGTAGAAGTATAGTTACCTCTGTGTATCGTCTGATGACTGAAAAGTTAACTATTAGAAATTTAGTATTGTTTTCATTTATTTGATAAACTTAAGTGTAGAAACGGTCGGGCCATTGTAGAACAATAAAGTTTGACATGTAAATGATAAGAAAATATTGATAAGAATATGAAACAAATTAATTGAAAAATACGGGCAATGATAGCTCACTGTCCGTTAAATTCTTCCTTCCGTTTAAGTCTTCAGTCCTTTTAATTCAATATACTCGAGCTACCTGAGTTCGATTCGTGATGCCATAACCAATGAACTTGTTAACTTTAAGCGCTGACTTATCACATGCTCAGCAGTGATGAACTTTCATATCAACCAATTTAGTATATATTATCGACGTCATAGTTAAAAGAGTTGAGGTTAAAGTTTATTTGGAGAGCGAAAATTACTGTTTTGTTTCTAAGAGAGATATTAAATAAAGTGACATAAGTAAACCTATTTAAAAATAAATAAAATAAAAAATAAGCCTTTATAACTGTTACTCTTTACAATCTCATTCTTACGTGTTATACTAATCACTATTTAAATTAATACTAGTTACACTTAATTGTGGTCTCTAAGTATAACGGTAGTCGGTTTAATAATCTGTAGCAGCTTGTCTCTCGACAAGTAAACCTACTTATGTACTGTCTAACTATACTCACTAACCAGTGACGCGAATAGTTAACTTTAACTAATCAACAAAGGTTACGTAAACGGTTTTGTAATTATGTTTGTTAATAAAGACCCAAGTTTTACCAATAATCAAGATCATAAATATCATAAGCTCATTAGGTACTTTAGAACAAACAGTAAACCGGTTGTGCGGTTGCGAACGTTGGCCCAATACATTGGTGAGCTTGCAATGGATCCAGTGTTTGCCAAACTTCGGCGGGTTACTGCGACCTGATTGCGAAAGACGAGAGCAAAAGAGAGTAAATAATAGCTACATTAGCACAATTACTTGCAGTCTTAATTCGGGTATTCGATTTCCATAAGCAAATTTTTCCCTTATTCGGGTTTTAAACCTTAGGACAAGAAACTCGATGAAAAGGAGAGTGCATTAGACCTCTCTATCTCTCTCTCTCTCTTTCACACGATCACCATAAGCATAAGCTATCGAATCCTTTTTCGTTTTTTTTAGTTTCGGTGTTAAAAAAACTCGATGAATAGGAGGTAGCATAGGCTCTCTATCTTTAAATACGGGGGGCCGCCTGTCGTTGTTGCTAACATTATGTGATACTTAATTTTGGCCTAGATCTAGAACTCAAAGAAAAAAAAATCTCGTGCGGATCTGTCATTAATGTGCGGCATGAATGGCGACGTACTACAATGAAAAGGGAAAATACGCATATTGAAGTTTTATGTTCATTTTTTTTGTCTAATTTTTATTGTTTTAAATGATTGATGTTTACGTCAGTCTGTATTATGTCAAATAAATATCTTTCTTTCTTTCTAAAATATACATCAAACATCAAAAATCTTCATTCAATACAAGTGCTTGACGTACGAGCACTTGTAAATATCATAATCGACTATCGCTAGTGATGAACCTTAACCGGAGATTTATACTTTACTTCTATTTAGACCTAGTAATTCAAATTGTTAAAATAACTGAACGAGAAGTTTGAGAAGCACTGGGGCCGCTTTGGGTCAAGAGCGGTGCGGTCCGGTCGAATTTCAACCTCATTACGCCGTCGCCGACGAAACGCAACACACAAAGAGCTGCGACCAAATCTGATAAACAAAGTTACACCATACGAACTAAGTGGGCCACTTGAATGCAGCGAGTAAATGAAAAATATCCACCTTGAGTATGTACACGTGTTTTGCAAAGTTTTATAAGATTACGGGACGTATTTGTGAAGGTCGTCATTTGTCAATAAAATAATATTAATACGATATAGAATCTAGAAATAGTGGATTCTACATCTAACATATTTTTATGTGAAAATTTGTCAAACGAGCAGGCGGTTCACCTGATGTTAAGTAATCACCGCCGCCCAAGGACATGCAATACATCAGGGTGGTTGCATAAGCATTGATAGTCTAAATATGAATGGGGTTAGATGTGCCGGTGCAATTGCCGCTGCACCCCTCACGAGCACCGGCCGGACATATATTAATACTTTTTTTTTCTTTTTTTTTATAAAAATTGCCCTTACTTTAGGATAACATCATCCTGTGTTGTAAGGACGTTCTAAAAGCATAAATTTCACACAGACAAACACCCAGATGCGAAACAACTATCTGTGGGTCGCACAAATAGTTGTCCCGTGTGGGAATCGAACCCACGACCCCCGACGCCGAAGCCGAAACCTTGACTACTGCGCCACGGAGTCATCAAAACTAATACTGTCATGTTGCGATGGGCGACCCCTTTAGCACCAAAACCGAACTCTGAACTGTCACGAACCGAGAAGGCCTTAATAATCACACACGCATTTGCAACCTACACGGCCGATTTCCTGTAAAAGCGAGACAGCCGCGACGTTCGCCGATGGCGGCGACGCAATATACATTATGTCACGTAATAGGCCTTGACTCAAAATCCCAACGTGCAGCCGAGATCGACGCTGCGTTTACCTATCTATCGTATTAGCGAAACCCACACAATATAACATGATACATACTATACTAATGTCAGACTCTGTCAAATGTCAGTTTGTATGCTGGAAAGGATATAACGGATGCGCTAAGCATTTGTTCAAATGTTAAAAATAAACAATGTAGACAAAAGTCGGTGAGGTTTTCGTCGGTGTGGCAATCAGCCGTTTAGCTTAGCGGCTAAAGCGTCAGTTCGCCAATCCCGAAGACGTTTGATTCTGACAGCTGCGAAAAACTTTTCGTACTTTTTGGTTCACCTGATGTAAACTGATAATCGCCGCCCATGGATGTCAACACCCGTAGTTACGTAGATTCGTCGCAATTTTTAATATAATTAGTCCGGTGACCTCCTCACTCACTAGACGGAACGCAGAAGCATATTTTTTTTTCTTTTCTTTTTTCTTTAAAAACATTGCCCTTACTTTGGGATAACATTATCCTGTGTTGTAAGGACGTTTTACGAACATAAATTTCACACAGAGAAACACCCAGATGTGAAACAACTATCTGTGTTTAGCACAGAAAAAACGCACAAATAGTTGTCCCGTGTGGGAATCGAACCCACGACCCCCGACGCCGAAGCCGATACCTTGGCGACTGCGCCACGGAGTCATCAGAAGCATGACATCCCCACTTCACGCCGGTTTTCTGTGAGGACCGTTGTTAAATTTTCCATTGTTAAATTGGACGATAGCCGAATGATTAAAATATTCACTGAAACTATGAATCGGCGATGACAAAATTACAACATTTTATGTCAATATTCGTTGCTCTAAGCGTTCTCTCAACTTTTAATAAAAAATAGCCTCCTGGTAATATAAAGCCAGCAAATTGAAAAAAAATCCTCAAAGTAATTGAAATACTTTATTTGTTTTACCTCACGTCATTAACACGGAAAAGTAATGATTTTTTGACACTGCATAAAATATTGTTAGGCGTTAAAGTGTGTGACAGAGACAAAACACCACGAAACAGAAATTATACGATTGTCTTTTTCCAAAGTATTGTTTACTTCATGTAGTGCAAACCTTAATAATTAGGCGGTTTGCATCTTTGATAGATTTTTTTGTACCTATAACATATTGGACCAAATCACCTATATTACTCTGTGATAAATATTACCAAAACTCATTACTATTCACAATCTTACAAAATACAAAATCATAAAATTTTTTTTCCTGCTTTAATACCGTCCGTGATGTGATAGCTCATTCTCCGGGCGCTCGCTTTTAAGTCAATATACTCGAGCAACCTGCATTCAATCCCCGGTATTGGCACCAGTGAAATTGTTAATTTTAACTGTTGACGTGCTCAGCGGTGAAAGAAAACATCGCGAGGAGCCTGCATATTTTGGAAATAATAAAAATTTCGATGATACGTGAAGTCCGCTAATCCGCAGTGTGGTCGCGTGGTGCACTATGCCCTCATAATTGTCCAGAGGAGGCCTTTGCCCAGCAGTGGGACATATGTAGGCTGTTACTGTACATACATATAACGAGAAAATTTCAGAAAAAGATCAAAACAATTAAGGAGATTAAAATTTAATTACGAACTCTTACCTCGAGTAGCTGTAGTAAGGGCGAACTAGTCGGTGACGTCAGCACTGCGTCGACCATGCAATACACGTCTTCCGGACCCTGGCATGTGTACCAATCATCCAACGAGTATAGTGGCGGGAACGAGGCTAGCGTTGTTTCTATAGATGGACGTTCACGAGTAATTAGTAAGACACTAAGTTTATAATTACGTGTCGTGGCCTGCCACTTGGAAAGTATGAATCCACGCGTATAAATAGCATACACCAATAGTTTTTACATTTGTGGTGTTTTAATGCGGAAAAAAATCTCTCCGTGAAACACGGATCTTATTGAATGCCTTTGCCTGCCCGTTTAGGGTTGAATAAAGTGATATTTTTTTGTAGTTATTCTTCTTTTGGCGCGTTTGAAAAAATATTAGAGTAAAATTTTTACGAGGCGCGAGACCGACATGATGAAGTTGGGTGCAAAGTAAACAACTTCACGGTACTACCAATGCAACCAATGCTTTTTGACATTTATCTATGATTCCAAGATAATTAATTAAATAGTTATCAAGTGCATTTAATATCTTTTCTACAAAAAACAGTACTGGCACAAGGGATAAAACTTTTAGTTTTTTTTTTGTACACACATTTTCTTTGTTTTATTTGCTAATTTCTCTGCTACCATGTATATTATAACCCCATAATGATGTAACGATAGAAAATAGTATTGTTTATGATATAAAAAAAATTAAGAGGAAAACAAAATTGAATATGTCTCTAGTTATCTCTAATCAATACTTATATGCTGATTGTTGGAATAAAATTACAAATTTATATCCTTTGAATATTTTTGTGAAATAATAAAAGTTTTATATCGCATCATCGAATGATTATTGTTGAAAAAAATTAAAATAACTAATGATGGTTATACTTAATTTCATAATATAAAATACTATTGTTATTCAACTATAATTGCTTACTTAATTTCGTAAAATCGGCTTTAACATTTCAAGTTATTTAATATTGCTCAAAAACTTGAATAATAATTGGGATAAACTCGAGCTGTGTGGTTATTTTGCGACATTTTGTAATATACATTGAAAGTAATCTACTTTCACTGCAGATGAACAAATACCTTATTTAGATCAGATTGAACAATCCCAAATCACATAATATTAAAATATCAACCCAAATGCAAAAATAAATAGATCACATCTTAATTTTACGATGTGATTTTTTATTTAAAAGATTTTTTCTCTTAAAATAATTGTAACCTGAATATTGTAATTTAATTTAATTATGTAATTTGCAAACATATTAAATATTGTATTCATAGTATATGAAATTTTTCAAAATGTAACATTTCCAATTTTACGTCAAGATAGAAATCAGTATATTTATCTTAAATTATCTACATTAATCGTTTTTAAGCCTTTTGTATACAAAATCTTTTGTATACACAAGGTAATGTATACATATACACAATGTATATGTATACATATCATAAATAAAAATTGTACGTACAAAATTAGCTGTAATAATATTTTTTGATTGTAGATCTTAAAAAATATATACAAAAATTTACCGTTTAACTCTATTATACTTCCAGTGTTAGGCGTGCAAAAATACGTCAAAATAACCAGGAAAAAGATATTTCCATACATTTTCATTGCTATTAATTAAAAGAAATAAATAAATTGCACTCTTCTAATTTCAATCAAAACCATATATCCTTTTAAAATTTTTCATCAACACATTTCCAGAATTCAATGCTATCTACGTAGACGTATTTGTTAATTAAGTCTAAACTTTTAATTTATTTTCATTTAAAACCTATTGAAGATCATAATATTGTTATAATATCCAATAATTTAATAATTCTGTAATTCTCCAATAATTAATTTTAATCACGTAATTAATTTTAATCAGCCTTTGTCCCGCACGCGCGATTAAAAAACGTCTGTCACACGACGCGCCAAATCGTTCCAAAATGGCGCGAAAATCACCCCACAATTCATTGGCACGCGGCCACGGACAGTGTTGGAAGGCAACTGGGCTCGTCGTGAACGCACGTGTGGAATCGAAAAACGCTAGTTGCGAAAGGTGTTTGTGCAACGTCCCCTCAGGGTGGAGGTCTACTGCCCTTCTCTCGATGGCCGTGCAGCCTTGCGACAGACGTTTCGGCGGACGGAATCGGTCAAGTTTGTAGATGAATTTCCCAATTCTTTTCTCATATAATTGAACTTCCCACTCTTCGCTTCTATCACATGCTTAGCGGTGAGGTATAACGTTGTGTGGAAACTTGCACGTGTCTGTGAAATGAGATATCTCGAAGAGTTGTGTGGAATATTCCGTAAGATCTTTAATGATTAATAGGTGTCTTTACTCAGAAATAGATAGATTTTTCGCGTTGGATAATTCGAAAATCCAATCAGGTATGTGTTATGATGAACATAAGATCAACACCTGTGGTGGCTTTTTGTCAATATAACGCCATATCATTTTAACTAATAGATGTCAGTGTAACTAATAGATGGGGTCACTCAGCAGCTTCTATTATACGAATTCAGTCTCGTACGGAGAAGAGCCACAAAATACCGGCGGACAATATAATTATTTTACTTTAGGAGCAAATGAAACCAATGGTGAGTAAGGTAACCGGGTTTTCACTGGTTGGCAACGCATCTGCAGCCTGTCCATGGATAGCTGTAATCACTTTACATCAGGTGGACCGGATGCTGCCTTTCCAACTTTTCACATAGTGTCTGCCTCTGTCAACTTCGAATAGTTCATCTGATAAAAATTTCCAACCATAATATTTGTACGAAACGATTGATCGTGTTTTTTTTTTTTAATTCCCGACATTTCGAACCCTTTACCATGGTCACGGAGAACATGGGACACGGGGAGGCCGTCCCGTGTCCATTTATATTGTGTAATACACTAAAATAGGTAATGTAAAAAAACAAATGAACAGAGCCTTAAACAGACGGAAGAACAGACAGACAGAAAAACAAACAGCGGAGTCTTTGGGTACAGAACCCTGAAAACTGAACTCAATCTCAATCTGCCGTAGTAAGTACAACTTGAAAATGAAACAAAGGTTTATTTGTATTTTTATATTTGCCTTAACTTCTCAATTTTAATAAACTATTTACAGGATAATCATTACATTAATAATAAATTGTCGTTATCCCATTCGATAACTCCGTTGTTCATAATCGACATTCACAACAACTCGATACAATAATGTTTCTTAAATCAATACGACGTGACGCAACGGAAAAATGACATTGGGCCTTATTTTGTGTACGATTCTTTTATTTTAGCAAGCAAAAAAAACCAAATAAAATAAGGGATCGATCAACTGAAACTTACAAAGAATTAGTAAACAATTTTTGTTGACATCAAGATAGAGAAAAAAAAGAATACATATTTTTTTTTTTTTCATAAAATCTCTATTTTCGTTTTCCATAAAAATATTGCTTTTTTTTCAACAACGACCCGCTTTGTTTTTTCCGTTGTATTACGACGAAATTTCTCTCAAATGTAAGCACTAATGGAGTGCTCTTATCGTGTACAAAAAAAATCTGGACGGCATTCATAGCGCCTTTATGGTTTCCACCGCTTAAGAAATGTAAGCACATACTAGTTTTCGTATTGGAATGAGAGTTTTGTGTCAAACAATCGAGATATCTTATACAGAATAAGAAAATTAATTAAAATTTAGACAGGTGTGTTGAAAGTCAAATTTTTCAGCGAAAAATAAGTTTTCTATTAAAAAAAAACTATGGAAAGTTGACAGCTGTCATTGACATTTAGCAAATCTTAATTTAATCTGTAACTTCGCACAGTACAATAATTTATTTTTTATATTATAAAGTTCATTGTTGATCGACATTGTCATATGTATTTTTTAATTGACCAGGAAATAAAACGGAACAAAAATGTTACATTTGGATAAGCGGGAAATTTATGTGATTCCATAAATATCATTAATATATGTTTATACCCTTACTTCGGAACACGTGGAAAGAGCACTCCCTTTTCGTTTAAATATCAACTATGTCAGTTACTAAACAAATTAAGTATTGATTGATAAACACATTGTAACTTACGAACCGAAGTTAAATTATTTAAAAGTTAAATAAATACAGGGTGTAAACAATTGCCTCGGTACAGCAATAACACAATATTTTTTTCTTTATTATAACGTTTAAAATTTCACTCCATTTCATGGACGAGAATCCTAATTTTTATACAGTCTGTAGCAATTTTTTACACCTTATACTAGACTATATACAGTTTTACGATGTTTTAATACGAAAATATTTTTTTTATATCTTATAACCTCTGAAGCGAAAGCGTTTTTTTTTTCTCATAAGCAAAATCCAAAGATAATAATACAAAACTGGCGCGTCCATACAGGTTGTGGAAATTATTACACACCGTCACAACTAAAAACACGTAAATGCAAATGAACTTAAAATATAATTATTGATACAAGGATAGGTAATTGTCATTTAACAAGATTATTTATGTTCGATAAAATATTACGTCAATGGTTTTTAACCAATAAGTTTTTTTTTTAATAATTTTCAGTTTCTATGAATACACTACTAATATATTCACAAAATATTTCATAAAATGGTAATGAAATTGAAAATACATTACGCTACCGTGTTAACAGGAACCGTTCTATTAATATATTTAAAATGCGCTATCATTTTAAATTATGTACTTTATTATATTTCAAGCGTTCGTAATCATATTTTATTATATTTTAAATGATGAAGGCACAAACTTCACAGATTCGAAGATACCGATGGCACATATTAATAACTAACTAGAAATTCCCGAACTTGTATGGACGCCGACTACGTTACTATAAGTGTCATTTCCTGAACCGCATAGCGAGAATCCCTTCACACTCTGGATGATAAAAAAAATGAAATACGGAACAGATAAAGCCACATCGAACGCAGCAAGACCGATGAATGCCCACTCAGTGAACATTTAAGTCGTGTTTATTTAAAATAATACATGATTTGACATTAAATGTGCACTTAACGAGTTAATGTTATCGAGCGACCCACGCATTGAGTATACCTTCCAAATTCGGAATCATCCTAGCAAGTGGTGCAACCATTTTTTGTCTCCCATCGTCAATATCCAAGACTTAGTAGTAAAGGGTTTTGTAGAAGCCAACTAAAGGTGACAGCTGAAGGTTCGTCTTTACCCATCAACATTTTAACAATCATTAGAAACTATGAAGTTAATTGAAAATTGACGTACATTTCAATAATAAGATTGCTTTGATTTGAATATTTTTAATGACAAATTCGTTTTCCCTTTCAGTGCAAGATAAGTGCTGATAATGAAAAATTGCAAACATGCTTACCCCCAATTGTTACAAACAGTAGCAGTGAACGACAAGGGAGCGACACTCCGCATTCAATTCGGTCGCACTCAGAGACACCAATTAACACAGACAAAAAATAATTTAAAAGTCCTAATCGACGCCTCTCAGTTCGGCATCACTAAATAAGTAGCTTTATTTTCTGACAATATATATCTTTATATGCAAATCTTGCAATCAATCTTAAATAAATACCTCAATGAAGCTTTGAAAACTCGAGCAAACATCCAAATTGCATGGCATAGCAATAGGAACTCACTTTCCTTCGCAGTTTTTTTTTTCATCAGAAATTTCTTTATCTTGCCTATCTAACCGTATATTAATTCTAGCAGACGATGAATGGGAAATGAAAGTAACGTACAGAATCGGGTTTTTTATGACAGAAGAGGCTAAAAGGTGGCAATGTGATGAAGCAAGCACTTGGATAGACATGCAATAATAAATTTTCAAAGAGTAGGAGTGCCTCGCTTAGTATAACATCAGAGATATCACGTATGGTATTTTTCCCGCGTCAGTCAAGGCCAATTAGAACGCCTCCTCTATGATAGTTGGAGGGGGGAATTTGTTGTACTGAAATACCTTAGGTGATTAGCGATATGCAGATGCAGAATACATTGCTTGTCCTTTTCATTTGTGATACTGATTTAAACGTTGCTTGTTATAAACAGCAGACTTGGTCAGGTAGATTACAACTACATATCCGGTTCAAAGGACCATCTTCACAAATATGCAGTGGGCCACTACGTTTATGGTATAGGAATTATCGGGTTTCAGAACTGAAATTTACTTAACAACGTATAATGTATAGGAATCCTGGGGCTAAGGATATTCACTTAGCAACGTATAACGATCTCGGGGTTTCAGAACTGAAGTTTACTTAGTAACGTATATGGTATACGGATCTTGGAGTATCAGAACTGATATTTACTTAGCAATGCCCAATTATATCCACAATGCATTCGAGATGGTACCGTGATGGCTTCCACAACTTCGGCGGAAGAGGTGCATTGAAAAGTTTCAGAATTGCGCCTTTAATACATATATGTCCCCTCATTCACCCTTATACAGCTTATATGCTATTTATTTAACGATTGGTGTTTTGATCTTGTAATCAACTGGACCGGCTCGAAGGACCGCCTATGGGCACGGGGGGCGTGGCGGGGCGGGGGCGGTGGCGGGGGAGGGGCCCGGATGCGCGGCGGGAGAGGGAGAGGGAGGCGGAGGGCGCGCGCGGCGGCAGTGGCGCGGCAGCAGCCGGCGCGCGAGGACGCGCAGCGCGTGCGCCGGCCCTCAGTCGACGCCCGCGAACCCCTGCGAGCCCTCGATCGCCTTGATCAGCTTCTCGCGCAGCTGCTGGTAGCTCTCGTACGGCGGCAGGTCGATGCGGTTGAAGCTGCAACGGATTTTTTTATGCGAGAAGACGACAAAGCCAGCGTTTCACTTCATCTTGAGTGATAACCGCCGCCCATTGACATTTCCAAGACCCATAGGGTTGCAGATGCCTTGTTATCTTTCAACAAAGTGCGCGCCGACTACCTCACTCACTAAACGAAACGCAGACTTGTAACACTTTGCCGATCTTCTGTGAGGTCGTAGTACGTAACCGAACGGACCTTCCCATTCGTGCAACAGCGAAGGCTGTTGCGCAGCCCTACCACCGCTTCAAACGAAATTCATCAATTTACTCGAATGGGCTTCTTCCTAATGTTGCTGCGGGACATTTATTAGTACAGAGGCTCTAACTAAGGTTGAACTAACACTTTTTTTAATAACATTGCCCTTACTTTATAATAATAATAATAAAATATCTTTATTCACATAGTCGCTTGCGCGTTCTTAAGAAACGTCAAAATTTTACAAAGAAATTAACACGTTCGTAAGTTACCACCGGTTCGGAAAGCAGTTTCTGTTGAGAAGAAACCGGCAAGAAACTCAACAGTTGCTCTTTTTCATAAAGGTCAGTTTACAATATAATGTTACAGGTATAATAGTCTTGTTTTAGCCTACGTGAGTATCAACAGTATTAACCCCACACATTGGCGTCGTCGAGATATTCAGCAATAGTATAATATGCTTTAGCCATAAGTTTACTTTTAACTGATATGATTTTTTAGGATAACATTATCCTATATTGCAAGGACAAACGATTATCTGTGGATCATACAATAGTTATCACGCGTGGGACCCGAACCCACGAACCCCGGCGTCAAAGCCAACCTTGGCACCTGGATGGTTAAACTCTTTGAATTAATCAGAATGATCTTCTGAATGATCAAGTCAAATAGTTTAACCAACTTTTTGGCAACTCAAATTACATTTGAAAAGCCATTTGAAAGCTCATTAGTTAACTTCTACGATGCTCACGCCCGGTTTCTGAAACACTGATCATCTGATTATAAAGATGATCATTCTGGTCAATTCAGAGAGTTTAACCATCCTTTTGGTACCTAAATTGTAATTTGAAATCCATTTGACAGCTGATTAGTTGACATCTACGTTGATCAGTGTTTCAGAAACCGGGCGTGAGTCTATTTATCTTTAATTAAGTATATAGCATTGTAATATAGGTCCACTCGTGTATTCCTTGGTTTAACGTTTTCAGTGAAGCATTGCAAAGCTTCGTTAAAAATAAACTAACCTTCGACCCGTATAGCTCTTTGAAGCCGTTCATCGGGACCCTGGATGTGCCCGTCACGAACTGGAGCAATCTCGATCGCATCTCGTTGGAAAAGGACAGCACCACCTGTAGAACAGTTAGTTTGTATCTTACTTATCTAGTAGCTATTCTTCTTAGGGTCTTCTTTATAAATACGGTTATTTTGAGTTTCGCAAGAGCTAAAGTCAAACAGTCAACTTTTAATCAAAGTTAATGTCTAAATAGCGACTCCGATTAAAGCTCACAAGTTTTCAACCCTAGAGACGCGCATTAATTTTTTTTTTCTTTTGGGACTATGTATTTTGCTGTTAGCCCAGCGAATTTTAAAGCTTCGGCGAAAGAGGTGCATTGAAATATTTCTGTATTTCGCCTTTTCTACACGTCTCCCGTTCTCCGACACCGACAGACAGTTTGAGAGACCCTTGTATCATAATAAATTACAGCATGTGTTATTCTCATGTATAAGCTATATTAATAGTAAAGCTACATTAAAATCCATTCAGAACTTTTTGCGTGAAAGACTTACAAACATACATACGTCCACACATACATACTTTCGCGTTTATAATATTAAAAGGAAAAAGGATTGGTCGATTTACGTTCTGTTCTATGTATATTGCGTACCACTTTAAAACATTTTGCACACCATGGAAATTTACAACAACCGTTGTGTTGCAGATGCGTTGCCACCTTAATAAAGTGTACAACACGTATAACACTTCGCCTTCACGCCGCTCTTCTGTCAGGTTGTGCTAATTACCCGGACGCATCTGCCCGTCCGTGCAACAGCCGAAGCTGTCGCGTGGCCCTACCACAGTTGACTGCACAGTACATACACCGGCACGTGGTCGTCAAACGCTCACCCTCCAGAACCACTGCACCACGAGGTGGTTGGCGTGGTAGTCGCCCTTGTAGAGCGTGTTCGCGCGCCAGTCGCGCACGTCGATGTGCTGGATGCCGCACAGCAGCAGCTCCAGCTCGTTCTCGTCGAAGATCTTGAGCAGCGGCAGCGGCACCAGCCCGTCGAAGCCCTCCAGGAACGCGCACATCTGCTCCTGCACGCGGCTCACGAAGCGCCACTGGATCACCAGCCTGTTGGGCGAGAGGGATGCACACGCGTAAGAGAGAGACGGACGATGGGGGGGGGGGGGCTTACTGCTTCATAGGAAACTAGTGATCCATCGAATGGCTACAAACCTGGTGGGCGAAGGAGATGCAGACGCGCCAGATGGAGATGGGCGAACTCATTACTTTATACGAAACTAGTGGTCCTTCGAATGGGTAGAAATATGTTGTCTTAACCATGTTTTAAGAAATGCCTTTATTATTTATTATTAAAATGAAAATTAAAGGGCAAATAACAACTATTTAGGACATAAAAACTGCACGATTGGAACATCGTGCCGTGAAAGTAACACTTTAGTAATAAATAAATGTTCTCTAACGGAACATTAAAACTACGTGATTAGAACATCGTGAAAATAACATTTTAGTAGTTATAAATGTTCTCTAGCCGGCGGCAAACGGGAGTAAATATCATAACGGCAAATATTTGCGCTATGAACATCTAAAACGATCACCTAGTTCATCAATTTATCTATCAATCACTTCTTATTGTGACCCAAAGATATCAATCTACACAGAAGCGGCTTGACACTTTCAAGGCGCTTGCTGTTGGCGAAATCTACTAGGACTATTCCTAACTCCAGACGATTTGGACGTTGCGCGTAATATAGAGTAATGAATAAATAGGACTGTACATTACGATTGCGCATACAGTGCTCCAGACATTTTGACGTTGCACATACAGAGTAATGAATAAATAGGATCTTATTACGATTCTGCTTATAAATTCGACGTTGCACGTATATAGTAATGAATAAATAGGATCGTGTTATAATTATGCCTACAAATTCGACGCGTCGATTCGATTTCGACATTGCACTTACAAAGTAATGAATAAATAATAATAGATTCGTGTATTACGATTGCGCTTATAGTGCCAAACGATTACGATGCTGAACGTACAGAGTAATGAACCAATAGTAACGTTCATTACAATTGCGCTTTTAGTACCACACGATTTCGACATAGCGCTTACAGAGTAATGAATAAATAGAATCGTGTATTACGATTGCGCTTATGGTGCCAGAAGATTGGGACGCCGCAAGTACAGAGTAATGAACAAATGGTAACGTTTATTACGATTGCGCTTATAGTGCCAGAAGATTGGGACATAGCAAATACAGAGTAATGAATAATCAGAGTCGTGTATTACAATTGCGCTTATAGTACCACACGATTTCGACATAGCACTTACAGAGTATTGAATACATCATAATAGAATCGTGTATTACGACTGCGCTTATAAAACGGCATAGAGTAATGAATAAACAGAGTGGTGTATTACGATTGCGGCGGTAATGCTGGGCGTTGATGCTGTTGGCGCTGTGGTCGTACTCTGCGCACTCGCATTTTTTTAAGCGAAAAGTTGTCAAACGAGCATACGGTTCACCTGATCAACCTTTTGAAAATTGGACTCCGGCCACCTCACTCACCAGACGAAACGCGAAAGCATTATACTTCCACTTGACGCCGGTCTTCTGTGGGGTCGAGGCTCTTACCCGGACGGGGCTGCCCATTCGTAACCCAACCCCCCCCCCCCCCCCGTAAAACGGCGCACTCACTTGATGTAGTCCACCTTGTTGGCCTCGTCGACGGGCACGTTGGCGCCGCCCGGCTTGAGCTCGCGCTGCACCGTCTTGCCCAGCTGCTCCTCATCCACCGCGAAGGTCAGGTACAGCTCCGAGGGGTCGTTCTCCTGCGGAGGTGCGTCTTTTAGGGTTCCGTACGCGAACGTTGCTAAGACTCCGCTGTCTGCCTATCTGTCTATACCCTTTTACTAAGACTCCGCTGTCTGTCTGTCTGTCTGTCTGCCTGCCTGCCCGTCTGTCAGGCTGTGTCCCATGAACCGTTACAGTTAGACATGTGTTTTTGCCGTTTTTTATGGACGATGGCACGGAACCCTCGCACTCGCCAGGTTTTTTTTTAATGTAGTAAGATGGCAAGCGAGCTGGCGGTTCACCTGACGCTGAGTGATAAGCGCCCCCCATGGAGATTTGCAACAGCCCTAGGAACGCAGATGTGTTGCTAAGATTTAATAAAGTTGTCCCCGGTTACCTCACTCACCAGACGAAACGCAGAAGTATGACATTTAACGCCAGATTTCTGTGATGTCGTTGGTACATCCCCGGACGGACCTGCCCATTCGTGCAACAGAATGTTGCGTGGCCCTACCACAGGTAACAAAATAATAAACAATAATAATGTTTATATGTGTTGTACAAAAATCAGTTTTCGTAAATAGTGAAGTAAGTTTTCTCTAATAATGAAAACATTAACAAACAAATATATCAGATATTTGATACTTGCAACTCGGATTGCTCGTGTATAATGAATCAAAAGCGAGGGCCAGAAAATTGAGCTATCACGGATCGCATGCATGTCTATTATATTGTTTATGCTTTACCTTAATCCACATAAGCGAGTTATAGTACTCCAAGTCGACAGACTCCATGTCTTGTAAAGAAATCGACTTCCCCAGCATCATCTTGTAGAATGGACGGATGAAGAAAGCTGGAAAAAATAAAAAAAAAACATTTTATTTAGATAACCCCAACATCAAGCTTACTATGACTAATGTAAATTTTAAACACAAATCTTTGTTATGATTTTTTTATAAAATACGGTACCGTACGAAGTTTTTACTTCCATCATTCCTGAAATATGTAGGTATATAAATATTATAACCAAATGTCTTGAAAGCATAAACAACGTTCCGTTTACTTACACCAGCGTCCCGTTGGCATACATACATGCCCCGTTTGCATACACCAACGTCCCGTTATTATACATACACGCCCCTTTGCACACACTACAATCACATTCACATACACCAATATCCCGTTCGCAAACACTAACATCTCGTTCGCAAACACCAACGTCCCGTTCCCATACATACACGGCCCATTGCACAAACTACAATCCCGTTCACATACACCAACATCCCGTTCGCATACACCCACATACCGTTAGCATGCACCCACATCCCGTTAGTGTACACTAACGTCCCGTTCGCATGCACCCACATCCCGTTAGTGTACACTAATGTCCGGTTCGCACACGCATACATATCCTTACCGTCGAGCAGCTTGCCGTGGTAGACCGCCATGCCTGCCACCCGGCCTATGAACTTGAAGTAGTTTAGGTGCTCCTCGTTGCAGACGCCGCTGTTCGGGTTGATCTGGAGCGTGTAGTTGTCCATCGCAGAGTACTCGAACAGCCCGTAGTAGGGGTTGAACATCTCCTTCGACAGCAGGAAGAACCACTCGCGCGCGAGCCCACCGTAATCTGTACAGCAAAGATGGAACATCAGACAACATCGCGTGCAACTATCTAATATAAAAAAAATGATAATTTCTGATCACCATCATTGCATCAGGCTGTTCCAGTCCACTGTTGAACATTCCTCCCACACCGAAAACCCCGCTTTGTGCCAAAGCACTGCATCCATTGATTTAACGCACATTCGCACTAGTAGTCTATATTTTTTAGAACTTGGATGAGCCATTATAGGTCATTGTCCGTGTGCTAGCTTTTAATGCAATATAACCGAGCAACTTGGCTTCAAATCCTGTTGCTAGCACCAATTTAATTGTTAACTTGCGCTGACTTATCACGTGCTCAAAGGTGAAGGAAAATGCCGAGTGGAAATCTGCATATTATCGAAGTAACGACAAAAAATATATTTCGCAGATATGTGAAGTTTACCAATCTGTAGTGGGATCGCGTGGTGGACTATGCCCTAATACTCTTTGTACAGAGGAGGCCTCTGCCCAGCAGTGGGACATATATAGGTATAGGCTGGACTTTACTAATTTGGACGGACCTGTGTACGTGCTATCCGTCGAGATACGTTATCTAATCCCACGACTCTTACTCTCAACTCACCCACAGTCTTACTCTCTTACAGACGGTTTCTATATTCTATCTGCAGATAGATTTGGTTACTATCGATAAGTATTTGACATTAACTCAACAATACCCACGTCAAAATTCTATCTCCAGTAACCAAATCTATCTGTAGACTGAATATAGAAACCAGCCGTTACTCACCAAGGCCGACCTCCGACTCGAACTCCACCCAAAGCTTGGTCTTGAGCAAGTCCAATCGGCTGACCGAGCTGATGGTGCGGTACGAGTCCTCCAGGATGTAGTTGCGCCGCACCTTGATCTCGAACTTGTTCGGCACGTTGCTCTGTGCCAGGACAATGCGCGGTTAAAATACATTTGGATATTTTGCATACATCGTGATTAGCCCTGACATTTTTCATCCCGGCCTACAGACGGGGACGATATGCTGGACAATTCGCGATACATTTTTTGTTACATTTTTTATATGAAACGAGTTCCAACAGTTGAAACACCGTGGACAATGGAGTCACTCGTAAAGTAACTACACTGTTGAAGGAAAAGCCAGATGGCGCGGCGATCGAAAGGCCGTAGAACGAAACTATTTGACGGTACAGTCCAGAATCGATAGGATCTATTAAGCATTGAGTTCATGGTACAGTTGCGGTCCACAATGTCTATTAGCGTCCATCTTACCGTACAGTCAAGGGTCGATGAAATGTATTAGCATACAATCTGTGTCGATAAACCTTATTATTACCTTACCTTATATATTAGCATGCAGTTTACGGTACAGTCGGGATCGAATAAACTATAAGCATCCAGTTTACATTACAGTCGGGGTCGATAAAACATATTAGCACACAATTTACGGTACAGTCGGGATCGATATAATCTATAAGCATTCAGTTTACTTTACAGTCGGGGTCGATAAAACATATTAGCACACAATTTACGGTACAGTCGGGATCGATATAATCTATAAGCATCCAATTTACAGTACAGTCGGGAACAATAAAATCTATTAGCACACAATTTACGGTACAGTCGGGATCGATATAATCTATAAGCATCCAGTTTACATTAAAGTCGGGGTCGATAAAACATATTAGCACACAATTTACGGTACAGTCGGGATCGATATAATCTATAAGCATCCAGTTTACAGTACAGTCGGGTACAATAAAATCTATTAGCACACAATTTACGGTACAGTCGGGATCGATATAATCTATAAGCATCCAGTTTACAGTACAGTCGGGTACAATAAAATCTATTAGCAAATTACGGTACGGTCGGATTAGACACTTGCCGGTTTGCGCAGCTGGCTCTTGAGGTACTCGTACTTTCGCTTGTAGTCGCGCGAGTAGGGCACGGCCGGGCCGGCGATCTGCGGGTTCGACAGGCGCGGGTCCTCCCACTGGGTGGTGCGCGTGTCTGCGGCAATTGCGTGTACGGATTGAGCGGCCGTTGGCTAGCGTGGCTACTGACTGGACCAGCTGACGTCACGAAACCGGTACAAGTATGATTGAGTGACGACGGAAAAGAAAAATGAGACGATGACGATGACGACGGGATGTCACGTTGCGAGATAGCTGTTACAAATAACTGTGCCAGGGCCATAATGTAGCTAGTGTTTTAGCAATAATGCAAAGGATCGCGTTGGGAAAATATCACGGCCTTACTAAGACCGGGATGGAGTGGAAGTATTATACCTAAATTCGCAATTCCTCTGATGAGTGAGGTAATAGTAGCTCATAGTGGATAATGAACCTGTCTCTTGCGCCGGTTGTGTGGGTTCGATCCCCACTATTAATCAGTTACCTGATACCCATAGTACAAGCTTTGCTTAATTTGGGATTAGATAAAGCTATGTAAAAATATGTCTTGAAAATATTTATGTATTATTTCATACAATGCGTTCACATAACGCGAGGCATATAATAATCTTCCTGCGCGCGGATCGGGGACTATAAAGACAGTATGTAAAATCTCAGGCGTCTATGTCTAAATAATATTTCTCAAGTTTTTTTTCTCGGTACATTATAAAATCAATGATTCTTCGTTAAACAAAAGAAAATGATTCAAACATCATTTTAAAGCTAACGTTTGTCGCGATTGACAGTTATTTACAATAAGAATAAAGTTGTTTTCGTTTTAAAATGTGATAACGCCATATATTGACAATCTGTTTAAATGAACCAAAGGGATGTAGTTGAAACATCATTATTCTTCAAGATAACATATATCTCATAAATAAATACTTATTTACACATCACTATAATCACCATCCGGTGACTGATCACGGTACTGTGTGAGAATTTCGCACGGTTGTAGCCATTCATCACCGACTCAATGTGTCCACCAGCATATTAAGTTAGTGGAGTATATTTAGTTAACGGTGAATATTTAGTTAATGGAATATTTTTAGTTAACGGTGTATATTTAATTAGTGGAGTATATTTAGTTAACGGTGTATATTTAGTTAATGGAATATTTTTAGTTAACGGTGTATATTTAGTTAATGGAATATTTTTAGTTAACGGTGTATATTTAATTAGTGGAGTATATTTAGTTAACGGTGTATATTTAATTAGTGGAGTATATTTAGTTAACGGTGTATATTTAGTAAATGGAATATTTTTAGTTAACGGTGTATATTTAATTAGTGGAGTATATTAAGTTAACGGTGTATATTTAATTAGTGGAGTATATTTAGTTAACGGTGTATATTTAGTTAATGGAGTATATTTAGTTAACAGTGTATATTTAGTTAATGGAATATTTTTAGTTAACGGTGTATATTTAATTAGTGGAGTATATTTAGTTAACGGTGTATATTAAGTTAGTGGAGTATATTTAGTTAACGGTGTATATTTAGTAAATGGAATATTTTTAGTTAACGGTGTATATTTAATTAGTGGAGTATATTAAGTTAACGGTGTATATTTAGTTAATGGAGTATATTTAGTTAACGGTGTATATTAAGTTAGTGGAGTATATTTAGTTAACGGTGTATATTTAGTTAATGGAATATTTTTAGTTAACGGTGTATATTTAATTAGTGGAGTATATTTAGTTAACGGTGTATATTTAGTTAATGGAGTATATTTAGTTAACAGTGTATATTTAGTTAATGGAATATTTTTAGTTAACGGTGTATATTTAATTAGTGGAGTATATTTAGTTAACGGTGTATATTAGTTAGTGGAGTATATTTAGTTAACGGTGTATATTTAGTTAATGGAATATTTTTAGTTAACGGTGTATATTTATTTAGTGGCGTATATTTAGTTGACGGTGTATATTTATTAAATAGAAATGCACTGACTGTGATCGATGAAGAATATCCGGCCGTCTGTGTGCACGCGCTCCTCCCACCCCTCGGGCAGGGGGCCCAGCTCGTCGGCCTCCGCCGGGGTGCTGCTCTGCGCGGCCGTCGGCAGGCTCGACGCGCAACCTGAAAGCGTTCCTATTTCGTTGGAGTTACGACTTTGCCGTAAACTATTTAGTTTACACAATGAGTTACAAATGAAACTGTTTTATGTACAACAACAGACGAGTATACAGCGTGTCGTTACAATCGCGACAATAAATGAGGAAACATCTAACGCTACTTGCCAATATTTATAAAAAAAATATAAACGTTAAAAAAGTCCATAATTAAAAAAAATATATTTTTCAAGCAAACTAATACTAAAACTAAATAAACAGACTTTTTCATTCGTCGCCACAGCATCGCATTACAAATCTCTCCTTCTAACAGTATGTTTTATCTCTTTTAAATTCATTCAATCCACTCATGTGCTTTGTGACCTTTACGTTTACTGATTTAATGAACTTTACGTTACAGTTTTACACGTAAGGGTGTACTAAAATTGTTTGTTTTGGAAAATTTAATAACTCGGTAAATATTGATGTTTAAAGAATGTAAATTTTTGATACAATTTTAAAAAGTTATACTCTATATGTGTTTTCATTTATTGTCGCGGTTGTAACGACACGCTGTATAACACAGTTACAGTAAATAAATAAACGATAGTTTGATTTTACGCTACGATAAAAAATAAAAGGCTAATAAACATAGGGGGGCGCTCATTTATTCGGTTTCCTGAAAAACTCACCGGTTCTTGGATCGATCCAAGTTGTGGTCTTTTGGTTGTGGTCTATGAAGAATATCCTTCCATTGGGTGCCCGCTGCATGCTCCAGCCGGGCGGCAAACCTGAAATCGTACCTCTTTCAGACTATTCACAAACTCTATTAGTAAGATGAGAACAACGCAACGATATTGAGAATGATTCGTTTTACTAGACTAAGTTGGGTAAGGTGTATAACACTACTAGCGACCCGCCCCGGCTTCGTACGGATGCAATGTATTTATATATATAAACCTTCCTCTCGAATCACTCTATCTAGTAAAAAACCGCATCTAAATCCGTTGCGTAGTTCCAAAGATCTCAGCATACATAGGGACAAACAGACAGCGGGACGACTTTGTTTTATACTATGTAGTGATGTACGCACGCCTATCCCATTTGTGGCGCTCTAGAGATCTGCCACGTCAATTGAATCGACTTAATCGCTTGCTATTTATTTATACACTTATACAGCGTGTCATTACCATCGCGACAATAAATGAACACACGTCTAACGCTACTTGCCAATAATCATAAAAAAATATTAACGTTAAACAAAATCCATAATTAAAAAAAAATATTTTTCAAACAAACTAATTAAGTAAAAAAGAAACAAAATTTGTAACAACTCGCGCCACAGCGTCGCATTACAAGCCTCTCGTTCTAACAGTATGTTTTGCCTCTTTTAAATTCATTCAACCCATTCATATGCTTTGTGACCAATGTTAAATAACTCTTTAAATATTGATGTTTAAAGAATGTAAATGTTTAATACAATTTTAAAAAGTTATCCTCTATATGTGTGTTCATTTATTGTCGCGGTGGTAACGTCACGCTGTATACAATATCAAAGAATATAATATAATATAAAGAATATAATATAATAATAAGATACATATAACATCAAAGAAATAAGAAGAAAATATATCAAACCATCACTATTGGGCAGATTCTGGCTCTGACTGCTGCTCGCGCTGCTACTCCTCGTGCTCTCAGTCGACGCGTCTGTTTCGTCCTAAAACACACCGGCCGTTGCATTCTCGACCTTAAGTCACAAGCGGCGCGATCCGATTTTGCTTAGCCTACATTATTTATCATTGACACGTGTGAAAATTTTAAACCAACAACTTGTTGTCGTTGTTAAATTTTCAGACGTTTCAAATCTTCTATTTTACATTTATACTTTCCGAATGCTACTTTGTTTACGAAATAAGCTAGAGTAAGAAATAGTTGAAGAATTAATAATTTTATTGGGCCTTCTAGTCTCTACGGATATAAACTACAAGTAAATATCGTAATCACAATGTAAATCCAATATAATTACAGCAGTAATACACCACAGATCTATCTTAATATTTTATCAGAGTCAATTAGATGTAGCCTAAGAAAGATCGCGACACAAAAACTACTCCATAACTAATAAATACATAACATCCAAGAAATAGTCTGCTTCTACAAACTAACTACAATAAGATACAAAAGTATGACCATGCAATATACTTCATACATGCAGTTACATTGTACATAATGTGACATAAAAGCAAAACAAAGCAATACAGCACAAGCAAAAACAGATTACAAGTTCCTGAAAAAAAAAAGGATAATAGCTCCCACTGATTTCTGTCTTAGCCACAAAATCTATGAATTGAAACATAGTCGTGTCAAACTATAATCCTCTCGTTATTTAACAAATCCTATAGAAGTCGATCCACTTCTAGGTTTACTTCACAATTTGGATGGATACTAGGCATCCGTTAGAAAGCAAATGATATATCATATAATTAAAAAAATAGTCCTCCTAATTAATAACATAATTCCTGTCAAAATAATCGTACCGCCCAGTTGGTGTAAATGTGGTGGAAGAAATTTTTTTTGAAAATGAAATCGTTTCAAAACAAACACTGTTACGATTAAAATAAAATGGTGATTTGTAATCAGTTGTGAATACACGTCTGTTCCCATGTGATCGTAGACTTCCAAGTGTTAGTGAAAAGCTTATAGCATGTTAAGATTTTCTGTCCTTCACAACGCCGTCATAGACAATTGTGCGAAGCGTTCAAATTACCTGTGTCCGTTCATTCAGCCAGTTTAAGAAAACGTAGTTACAAAGATACATATAAAATTAAAAAAAATAAGTTGACAATGAGACAGTACTGGCTGGATGAACTAAATACTTTTAGAAGAACTACTGGCGTGTAACTGTAAAGCTGGTTTGTGTACAGCCGAATAATCGATGATCCAGATTTCTTCGAATGATTTCAATTACTGTATCAAATATCATGTATTTGTATTCGATAAAAATCTAGCATGATTACCAAGTTTGGACATTTGTCAGTTACTACTAGTTCGTAGCATCCAAAAACTGTTTCCAGTCATAAAATGTTATTGAAAATCGAATCCACATTAACAATGATAATATTGGGTAAGGAGAATATAAACGGGCGACTCGGTGCAGTTGCTAAGACACTGGATTCGGCGGCGGGGATCGTGGGTTCGGTTCCCATACGGGACAAATATTTGTGTGACCCACAGATAATTATTACAGATCTGGCCATCACCTAAAGAGGATTGACATCAGGCAGCCAGCGGCAAAAAAATCTAACCAATACAATTAACAAGACGATTGGCATGTTGCGCGGATCCAACCTAGATGGGATAGAGAAATAAATAAGAGTAATCTAAACGGGTAATAAGTAAATTCTTAATTTTAATTGAAAGTATGAGTCTTTCATTCATAAGCTTATGGGTTAAAGTATTAAACCCAAACTTCAACAAACAAATTGACAGATTAAAACGGGTACAATTTCAATTGTGGTCAATCATAACAAGTTAACAAGCGAAAACCTAGCAAGGTAGAATATCTTCCCCTAGGCAATATATACGCGATGAAAAAATATATTGATCAATAAAACCTCTTCTGCAATATATTCATTACTTTGGCACATTACCTACCTAACAATGGCCCATAATTGCCTTGTACCACACAAAGTACCCACAACAAATAATCCATCATAACCGAGTGATTTAAACAATTCACCATGCCAGGGCTTACTGCAGCCATTGAACCAGTAGCAAGCTGTCTTAAGGGTCAGCTAATGGTGCTCATGGAGCTAACGGAGCTCGTGCAGGGACTCCTAATGATGAGAAGGCCGGTAGGTCAAGCACCCCATTACATTGGAATAAGAAATTACCAACCGAAATGTTCTAAATAAAATTCGATCTATCAATTTTTATACGGAAATGAAAAGAAATTTGTGTGGGAACCTCTATTAGAGCTTACGAGGAGACTGAATTTATTTGAAATATTTGACTTCACAATTATAACGACAAAACAAACATAACGCTGGGGACCAGTCGTTTCTTTCTGTGTGTCAGTGTCTTCGATTTCACGTGTGTGTGTGTGGGGGGGGGGGGGGGGGAGGTAATTGATCGCTAAGAGCATTTCGTACACGTTACAGAACACGGCACGCTCGCAAAACTCGTTTCTTACCTCCGAGTCGTCCATGGAGCTGGCGGTGGCCCGTCTGCGGCGGGAGCGTCGCCCCAGCGAGCGGCCCTCGGGGCTGCCGCCGGTCGGGGTGCTAAAGTGGTTCTCGTCAAAGGTCAACGACTCCGCGACGATCTCTATGAACTCCAGCTCCTCCGCTTCAGCCGCTTCGGCCACTTCAGCGCTCGGCTCCTCGTTCTCCTCCCTGTCTTCGCTTCCGTTTGTTTCCAGCGTGCTGTTGGTGCGGGCCTCGTCGTTTTGCGAGCTTGTGTCGCCGCTGCGTCTCGGGGTGGATTGGGCGCTTTTGCTTTCGGCGCCTTCGTCTTTATCCGCTTGACTAGTGCTAGGGTTGTCGCCTTCGTGCGCGTCTTGAGAGGCTCCGTCCACTTGTAGACCTTCGCCGTCAGTCGCTACGCGCGCCGTGCTACGGGCGTCTACTACGTCGCTGTCGTCGTCTACGCCGCTGTCTCTTACATTATTATCACAGTCGTTGCTCGAATTGGCCGTTTCGGTTGGAGTTTCCGTTGGGGGCTCCTTCGAAACTTCCGCTGCGGTCTCTGTCGGAGTCGGAGTTTCCGCCGAAACATCCGCCGGAGCTTCCGTTGTAGTTTCTACCAGGGTTTCCGATGTCCCCACTCCCTCGCCGACAGGCTCGGGTGACCGGATCGGCGTGGAGAAGGGTGTGACATCAGCAGAGTTATCTGCCCGCCTATCGCTTATATCCTGCCAGATAGTTTCATTTGATTCTCACTTGCAAACAGGCCTCATTCGAGACCGTAAGTTACAACATTACCCCCGCATGTACACGAGTATAAATGACTTAATTTCGAGAGTAACAAAAAAATTCATTAGTAGGCATTCGTCAATCGGTTACACCAAGTAGACCCTGAAATGCTGTGGGGATGCGTGTAATCATTCAACACAGTCTGACGCTTTTGGATTTAAATGCTGGAGCTCTAAAAAAAAACAGACCCTTGATAGGATGCAATTTTGGATTGAACATATTAACACGTTAAATATACCAAATAAAAAATATGCTTTTAATGTAATCAAACTCTGGCCGCAAAATTGTCTATGGTAAGGACAACGCAATGATTCTGCAACATGTAACAGCAACAGATATCATGTCACTGAAAGTTGTTTGAATTAAAAAAAAAATCATTTTCCGATGCTGCTACACGCGAGGCATTGGTGGCTAAATTATCTTTATTTGAATCATCTATTAGTGTGCAAACCCGAAATAATGTACACATATGTTATGTGAAGTGTTAGAATACGTAGTGATGACAGCCTGATGTCCAACTATTATAAGCTTAAATTGAACTGTAATGTACGATGAATCTAAACAGTTTTGGAACTCCATAACGAGATAGATAACTCTTTCGAAATGTTCCGTTTGTTAGTTGACCCTTATTCCGCTAAAGCCCATGCTGCGAGAATAAGAATTCTCAGCGTAATGACGCGATCGTGGCACTAATGCGAAACTGAACAGGAATAAAACAATTATATGTATATATAAACATGATAAATGTACTAAAAAAGTTGCTCGATGCTCTACAATCAAACATTCAACATCCAACGACATATTAAATGCAATAGGGACCGTTTACTGCCATGCAATACAATTGTGATATATCTCAAATGAATACGAATATCTCATCGATCATGCAAAATTACTGACACTACCTTATAATAAGTCGTAAGAGGGCGTTATTTATCGGGATAATACGTAGCCATTGTTATAACCTATTCAATCAATTTAATGTCGATAATTGACAAAAGTAATGGTAAAAGAAAATTTTGAAAACGTTACAAGTGTGAGTAATGAGAAAGTATAACAAACTGGAAATGTAATTTTGTATTGACCACCGTTTCTTACTTAATTAAATAACACCCTCTGATAGCTAACACACCCGATTCTACGCAATATCAATACGGTTTTACCACCCAATTGTCAAATTTAATACGTGTTAGGTTGGAATTAAAATTCATGGGAAATTTTGAACGAAACGCAAATTCGCACTTGTATACCTTTAAAGCTGGAATAAGGTCTATAAATCATAATAAAACAGGATTCTTATGTATTGTTCTGGAAGCCCTGTTAGAAGGTATTCAGTTCGATTGAAAGCTGTGAAGCGAGAGAAGCTAATTTAATCTAAATCGTTCGAAGGGAACAGGGCCTAGGCACCTGGAGATAAGGTCGCATTTCGAATACGGACCTGGTGGTTCGATGAGGAAGGGCTGGGCGTGTGGTCCTCGTCGGCGGATATGTGGAACCGCCTTTGGAACTCAGTGGCGGCTGTCTCCATCCGCTCAGCTTGCGTCTCCGTGCTAATGTTGCGGCTGCGGGCGTATCAAATAAAAACATTTACGTTAAACAACGAAATTCCGGAATCTGTCGAAAATTGATATAGAATTCACCATTATCACCCTCTTGCCTTACTCCATGTCAGTGGATAATTATCCATAGATCACATAAACGTTTGTCCCGTGTGGGAAACGAAACCCTTATAACAACTGCACCACAGAGGCATCAGATAGGTTCTATAGATCGATTAGGATTTTAGTTCAAATGTTGCTTGATCGAGTGTTAATAGATCATGTGACCCACCAATACTACATTTATAGTTTTCAAGGTGTGCATGAGAATTTCATAGACTGCCTAGTCGAGAAACAAGAAGGAAATTTTTTAGATCATTTCGTGGCAGTCTGTGGGGGGAGGCCTATGTTCACCAGTGGTCAGAAACAGGCTGAAATGATGATGACGACGATGATCATGAGACACTTACGTGAAGGTCGGCCGCTCCCATTGGGTAGACCTCGCGATGTGATTGACGTAATAGGTGCGGCCGTTGGCATCCTGGCGCTCCTCCCAACCGGGGGGCAGCGGATCACCGCCGATGGTCTGCAACCAGGTTAGTAGACATTGCAACCCGTCGAACTTTTCTCTTATATGCAACAACCCATAAGAAAGAAATCCGTATTTTTTAGCAGGAAATGATTTCCTACCATCGATTGCCAATTAAAATTAGGGTGGGTCCCGGTTAATCCACTCAAGAGACAAAATGCAAAATTACAAATAGTATAATTTTGCATCGGTTGCGATGTCGTGGTTATCCCCGAACGGGCCTACACTTTCGGGTAAAAGCAGAAGCTGCTGCGAGCTAAAGTTGCAATAAGTACATAATTTTATTATTTTCACCCCTTCCAAATGGGCAACCGAATTTTTGTTTTCGAAATTCTGAATATTTGAAATATCATGGCTCTAAGTGCCATTATAATGAATCAATAGACGTTACAGTGTATATCATAAATATGTATGATCGGGCCAAGTGGCGTGCCTTGAGGTACACCATCGTCTATTCGATGTACAGTAAAGGGTTGCGCGCTAAAGATGGGAACACGCTTAAAAGATAGTAGTTACAGATGAGTCTTTAATTATTTTAGGAAATAGAGGCAATCATGAATACTGAAAGAAAGTCTAAATTGAACAAAGACATTTTAGTAATACTTCAGTGACATCGACATTACTTTCTTCTTGCGGCGTTCAAGTTAGTGATGAATTCTTGTTTGAGTCACCAACTCATGACCTGAACTTGTGTCGTATCGTAACGTATGCATCAATGGGTAAAATTTTTGCTGTCTTGATGCATTTGCATGTACATAATACATGACATGATCAAACAAGGGGAGATGTTAGTCATGTTACGTTTAAAATAATAGATTTTTAGAAACAACAACATCATCACGGTTAAGTCTTAAGGGCACAAATGAATTGAATGCAATTTTCAGTACAGTTAAGATAAACGTATAAATACAAAGATTTTATATCCAAGAAGTAAAAATTAAGCAGTTATTTTATAAATATGAAAATATTGGAATCTTTTGGGGATAATTCAATTACTATGTACTTATTCTAGTAAAGCGTAAGCTTAAGTACTATATCAATTGATAGTTTGTACGATGCGCAAGTGGCAGACAAGAAATAACAAATTAGTTTTTCTATATATAAGATCAATAAGGTATAAAGTTCAGTCATGTAACCATGAAACATTGCTCGTCTCATGTAGCAAAAAAAGAAAAATAACAAAAACAATAACACCTACTAAATGTTTCATGAATGCCGCGTCGACCAATTCCCAATCACCGTGACCAGTAAAGGACGGTACCGTCTGACCGGACGTGCCAACCTAACAGTGCAAAACTGAGCTTTATGACAATTCCAATAAATATGAGTCTTCACAATAGAAGTGGGCGATACAAATCGTATCAGATATGAAAACTAGATATTAGTACAATATCCGAATATCGCTTACTGGCTCGTTCAATATCTATGTATTTTACAATATCTGATATTTCCGAAATCTGATGTACAGATTTCGAGAGACAAAGCGCGTGAGATACAAATACTCACTAGTTAGAGCGGGACGGCAAGCAATGCACGATATCAGATATCGAGCGACAAAGCGCGTGAGACATAAATACTCACTAGTTAGAGCGGGACGGCAAGCAATGCACGATATCAGATTTTTAAACAGATTTTGAGCCACAAAGCGCGTAAGATACAAATATTACACTAGTTAGAGCAGTACGGCAAGCAAGGCACAATATCAGATTTTTAAACAGATATTATGAATAAGTTAAGTAATTTTGAATCTTAACACCATGCAAATAAGATCCGTTTTAATTAAATACTAATCATGGTATCAAAGATTACTACAACGATATTATTATATTTCTATTGTTTTGTTTAGCCTTGAGCCGTAACGGGCGACAAAGCGCGCAGTTAAGTAATTTTGAATCTTAACAGCATGGAAAAAAATCTCTGTTGCATTTAAATACGAATTACGGTATTAACTTATGTCTTTAAATTTTGTTTAGTCTTGAGCTGGATTGCATTGGTACCAAGCACGTAAGTATATATAAGTAGTAAGGGATGCCAACTTACTACTTAAGAATTTTCTGCCTAAATTAAGGAAGAAAAATATAAATGGAATTTTTTTAGGAGGTAAATTTTTTGTGAATATTTTTATTAGTTAAATTTTATTCATATTTTTGGAAAAAAATAAAAGTACACAAAAAGAAAAATATAATTTAATAGTAATAGTAGACCAAGGCTTATGTGCTTTGTGTGTATATTTTAAATTCTTCCGCCCTAAGTTATAATACTGAATGTATTATTTCTTACACAAATTATAAAGATATTGTCACTCATGATTGCGTGTTTTAAAAATATGTTAATTATTAAGCGATATATAAGATGTTAAAATAAATCATTTTTATATTACTTCAATTTCTATTTTTAATGAAATTTTTAATTTTATCAATGTTTAATGTTTTAATGTGGTAATGTTTTAATTTTACCTTAATAGTATAAAAAAATCGTGATTTTAAATTCAGTAAGTTTTTTGAATTTAGTCAATTTTAGTGGGTTTTCGAATTTATTTAGAAGTATTCTTTTTGAACAGTTGGTATCACTGGTAATAGCTTTAGTTATGTATAGGTATAATGATCGTCGAACAAGACTTTCGACGATTAAAGTCAAACAGCTTACGTTCGTAAACGTGAATTTAACACCCGGAGGAATCTAAATAATTATTAACTCACACATAATTGTAAATAAGTTATGTACATAGAATGAATCAACTTTTAAATACTTTTTTTTTTTTTTAGAATTCAAGGTGGATACGGGACCGTAAAATATCTAGATATTAAAATACATAGTTTCGAAATCTGATATTTGAAATCGAAATCTGATTCAGATACGGTACTCAGAAAAAGCGATACGACCCATCTCTACTTCACAAGTTATTACATAAGAAGTAGCTATCAAATATGTACCTAGTACTTGAAGTCGAGTGCGTCTTGATAAATTTATCGCCCTGCAGTTTATATTTCAAACAATAGCTCAACTAAAGCCCAGGAATATATATTGTAAACTAAATGCAACTTAATTATGTAGAAGAAACGATTGATGGAGTTTAATGAAAATTGTTTTATAACAACGTAAGAGTGAGATAGCCGGAGCCCAATTTTCAAAAGGTTGTCAACGAATCTGCAACCCTGGTGTAGCTGACGTCCATGGGCGGTATTCACTTAAAATCAGGTGAACAGCCTGCTCGCTTGGCATCTTTTCACATATAAAAAAATTAAATAAAGTGGACTCCAATTACCTCACTAACCAGACGAAATGAAACGCATAACACTTTCACTACACGTATTCTGCGAGTTCGTGGTACTTCCCGGAAGGACCTGCCCGTACGTGCTATAGGGAAAACCGTTTCGTAGCCCCACCGCAGCGACACCTGTAACTATAAGTCCCCTGCTACTCACCGGCTGGACGGTTCCCGTCTGCGGCTCTGGCTCCACCATCTCCCAGCCGTCGGGGGCCGCCGGCGCGGGGGCCGCTTCGCCCTCATCCCCCTCCGCCTCCCCCACGCGCCCCACCAGAGCCGCGTACACCTCGATGTGACCGCGCACGCGCGACCTCGCACTGGATACGTAAGACGCAATGTCAAACACCACCGTAAACGTTTCCACCCACTCATTCGTTCATTCTATCGCTCAATTGATCATTCGTTCGTTCGATCAAACACAACTTTACAAAATCTTTGTGGCTTTTTATATTTTTTTTCTATTATGTTAAGCCCTTAAAATCAATTGTATGCAATCGGTTTAAAACTAGCTTTTAATCGTGATAATATAGTGGATAATTGTGTTTAGCTTCTTTCACATTCCGTTGTTCAATAAAAATTCATTCAGCTAAAATGTAGTCATCGAACTGGCTCAGTTTTCATAACCACATAATCTACAAAATTAGTTTAAATAAGCACTCAATGTACCTGACATTTTATACTATTTTTTCTAGAAACTACGAAATGCTTTACTTTGTATTATATCCTGAAAACCAACTTTGTTGTACTAGATTTTTGTAAGGTACATTCTATTCAAATAGGTACAACATGTTGTTAATAGTAATTATAATGTTGACCGTGGCTATAATGGTACTTCTGATTAAATACTTATTTTATATTCTGCGGTACATTTAATAGACAAATAATAATAAACGCTGATAACTAAGCGGTGATTCCAATCAACATGACAGATAACCGTAAACTACCGCGATAAGAGAAAGTACAAAAGTATTGCGGTGTCTTCCAAGGGACAGCGTTAGGACCAATACTTTTTATTAAAGATATTCGGAAATTTCAAATTTACACACAACCATTTTCAAGCATATACACTGATAAGTGTTTTTAAGTTTGTCATTATATTAAAGACAATCAAATGTAAAGACATCAAATCTACAGGTGCAATCAGTCAAGCCAAAAACTTAAAAGCTTCACGTAAGTTCCACGAATAAAATAAAAGCACAGTTTTAAGTAAAACGTTGAAGTAGATAGGTCTTACTCACGAATATTTATCTTTACTATTTAAAAACAAGAGAAAGAACTCGTCATACCAAGTCTCTTTTACTGCGACGTCAATTTCTATTTACATGTGTAAAAAACAAAATACAACGACATGCTGCTACTACTACTTATATACTTACGACACGTCCATCCTCGTATGGAAATTTTTTGGAGTGGTGATACACTTTCGGTAGTTGAGGTTTTACTATATTCCAAGACGAAAGCTTGTGTTGCTTTGAATAGAAATTATTAAACAGTTGCAGTATGAACGGTACTTTTTTTATAACTGATACATATATATTGATAAATGACACACGAGTATGAGAATGTAAACTGTGTCAGGGCCTTACGAAATGAGAATTATGGCCTAAATTTCATTCATTTATGTTTTGTTTTATAAAGGTTTCCACCGCATAGATATTATTCACAATTATTGTACAATGTCAGCGTCCGGAACATGATATATACTTCACAATCACGCCTAACATTTTTCCTTTGATTAATTATATATTATTAATTATTATTAAAGGTTTGCTGACAGACAACTCTGTTTAGGTTTAAGCTCAACTTTGTACAGTTCCTTTTGTAATCCTTCATTTGTAACTGATTTATTTTTGTGTATAATAAAGAATTATAACTAATCGTGATTTGTTACATATTGTTAAGGGAAATTTACAGTGACAGCTCAAACACCGAGTACTTTCAAACGTAAGTATCTCCAACTGGATAAAAATCCATTTCTGCCACTGCCTAGACACCTCACGTGTTCTGAGTAAAATTTACGCTGTTCTCGCGAAACACACACCAGTGTAAGTACACACACGCACGCATGCACGCATGCACGCACGCACGCACGCACGCACACACACACACGCTAGTACAGTGACTACACCAAACGAGAACTCTCATTCGCACCGTAGAATCCTTCGTAAGCCTGGAACACTCACACGAAGCTGGGATCTAGGCAGGGGGGGGGGGGGGGTGGGGGTGGGGTTAACAACAAACCAAAAAAACAAAAAGAAAACAAACGCACCGCATGCTCGTTGCTCTACTTACACAGACCTGCGCGGACGTAGGGGGTACTTAGCGGGCGGGGGGCGCGGCGCGGCGGCGGACTCTGTCGGCGCGCCGGAGAGCGGGATCTCGACCATGCCGAGGAAGTCGTCACGGGTCAGCCGGTTCTCGTCGAACACCTGGATCAGCAGCTTCTGCTCTTGCGGCTTCACCTGGAACAGGCCAGGATTCAGCTTCAATTCCACCCTGTGTCCGCGGTGCTGGTACAGATTGCAATCGTGCTCCCCTTCGCTGTAGTCGACGACCTGAATGGCGTATTGGGTAGTGTACCTGCCTCTTGTGCCAGCGGGTGTGGGTTCGATCCCCACTACTGGAAAAATATTGTGTGATGATCATAGTGTTTTTCTAGTGTCTGGGAGTTTATATATGTACAATATGTATTTATTTGCAAAAGAAAAGTATGTTCAAGTATTTTATTATTAGTTATCTAGTACCCATAGTAAAAGCGTTGCTTAGTTTGGGACTAGAAAACGTTGTGTAAAAATGTATCTTAAAATATTTATTATTTTATTTAAATAGTATAGAAAACAGACAAAAGATTTCAAGATGTATTCAAAGGCGTATTTAGAAGGTAAGCACGGGTTTATAAAGAAACAAATAATTATATATAAATACCTACGTATCAAAGATAAAGGAAGTGATTAAGTTGGATTATTAGGATTCCCATGCACAGTCGAATGAGGGTTTGAAAAGGTAGTAGGATGGTCAGAAGATAATATAATAAGATAATAATATCATAGTAATGTAAATAATTTCCTTCTGTTACTGGTTAAAATATTGGTTATGGCGTAAAAACAAGTCTAAAGAATACTAAAATTAAGTGTTAGACGGTAAAACATAAAAGTACAATAAGCCATACTTAATAATCAGTAAATGCATTAGTGGTACTCCCTAACGAACAAACGAGCGACGATAATCGTATTAAAATTATATGTGTAATGACTTTATTGATTACGGTTTTTTTAATGAATATTCAATATTTCGGACGTATCTTTAACACATTCATTTTAAAATGTTCATTAATTGTCTTAATAAAGGCGCGTCTTATATATAAAAAGGTCTAAAACACTTGGAATTTTTTCCCCACCACCCATGGATATCCCCAACACGCGTCTGTTGCGTCTAAACTTTTATACTCGTACATTAAAGGCCCATTTACACGATGCCATTTTCTTGTACATACAAGAGCAATAATTGAATGCAATAAATTGCGCGCAATAATTGTTAAGACCATTTGTTGTTTAGACCATGCAACTCATTTATTGCTTCAATTTAATTGTATACAACAGGCAAGAAACTGGCACCGTGTAAATGGACCTTAACATTCACCTCACTCAAACGTAACGCCAAAGTGAAAACAAGTCTTCTAAATAATAAATGCTGGGCTTTATCATAGTAAAAGATTAGCATAGTAGGAATAGCTTTATATTAAATACTTCAACACCAGGTCTTTATTTTACTATTTTTTTATTGAAAAACATTACCCTTATTTTAGGATAACATATTATCACAAACATAAATTTCACGTCGACAAACACCCAGATGCGAAACAACTATCTGTGGGTCTTAAAAATAGTTGTCCCGTGTGGGGATCGAACCCACGACCCACCACGCAGAAACAACCCCCAATACCTTAGCGCCACGGAGTCATCTAAAACAACAACCACAAAGTTTTCACATCTCAATATCATACAACCATTCAGATGTCGAATTTTCAAAAATTCTTTCCGAAAAAGGTCTAGCTCTGATATGAACGAACGAGCTGAAAACAAACATTTATTTCGAGGTAACACAAGCTGACCGCTGCACAAGCAACCCTGATGGCTCCGTGTTCAGGCAACCTAAGTTCAGCAACCAAGTTCTAATCCCGACGCCGGCACCAATGCAATTATTAATTTTAAATGCTGAGTTTTCTCATGCTAAGTGGTGAAGGGAAACATGATAGGGACACAATCATATTTTCGCAGATATTTGAAGTCTGCCAATCTGCAGCGGGATCGCGTGGTGCATTATGCCTTAGTTTACTAACTAAGCATCTACTCAGCAGTGGGACATTTATAAACTACTAGCTTTTCGCCCACGGCTTCGCTAGCGTTGAAGCCCTTAAATAAATATCTTTCTTGAAAAAAATTCCAATTCAAAATAGCCTATGTCCTTTCTCAGGCTCTAAACTATCTGTGTACCGAATTTCATTTAAATCGGTTCAGTAGTTTTGGCGTGAAAGCAAGACAGACAGACAGAGTTTACCGTACTTTCGCATTTATAATTTTAGTATGGATTACTTTTACACATTAAATTTAACAAATTCGAGAAGCGCACTTTCTATTCCATGCCAATTCGCCTCAATCCCACACTAATTTAAGATGGTACGATTGGCGTGCAGTCATGAAGGCTGTACAATAAACTAGGGAAACAGATAACAGTTAAAGGTATAACGTTTACTTAAAAAGCCTATAATAGAATAGGTAAAATAATCCATTAGACACATATAAGACAATCACATATAAAGCATATCGCTACATAGATTTTAACAAAATACTAAACGAGTGGAAAAATGAAGAGGATACTCACCCTGAATATAAACTCCTGATTCCATATCGGATTCAAAGTCTGCAATGAACATTTTATATTCGGTATTAGATAGGTCGAAACAAATTGAAGCGTCCTTGAGAGCTTTTGCCAGCCAATCTGCCCGCCTGGTTACATTAAAAATGGAAAATAAGGTGGCTATTATTTTTCATTCCAAATCAGGATCGGGTTTGAAAAACAAATCAGATCAAAGCCATTGACGGCGGCAAGAATATCGGTAAATAACATTTAACCCAGAGCAGTTATTAAATGCAATCACGATTCATAGAAAAATTGCAATATCAAACCATTAAATATGGTTGCTTAGATGCAAAGTTATTTTAACTCAAGGCACATTCAGACAACAACAAAGTATCTGTAGCTATATAAGTCTTAAACACTTACATACAATTCGTAGATCGGCTACTTCACGTAACATTTAAACCATTTTAGATTCATGTACCAGCTCATTATCACTTACTTTTATCCCCTGAGTTTCTGCGACATTGTAGAGTTCCAAGGGCAGTAATTAAGATAAACGGGATGCAAAGGACAGTTATTAATAAGGGAGAGTGGTCAACATCAATACGCCAATCTGACCATTAATTCATTACTGACCTGCTTATCTACAAATAGATACATAAATGCAAACACACGTTGAACACATGCATACAGTCGTGCACGCGCACAAAGATCCTTTAACAAACAGCGTACCGCTAACAGCATTAGCTAAATCATTTATCTGATACGCTACCAGAGCAATCGAGTTTAGCAAGCGGGTTGCCAAGTCACCTTTTTCTTGGTCTTCGTGAGGAAGGTCTCTACGGTGACGTCACCGTCTATCTTCTGCAGCTCCACGCGAACGTAGGGATCGCTGCAAACAAACATAGAGTGTGTTAACACGATTAGTACAAAACATGCTTTCACGCCCAACCTATCAGCCATATAGCTAGACAATGTAAGTTTCAATAAAACGCGTCTTTCGTTACTTGACAACGTTCCCAACGATGATATGATGACTGTCATATAGTTATAGACAGAAACTATACATGGAAACTATCTCAGAAAAGCCGATATATTCCCAATTTACAATGCAAAATTAAAATGTAAAATCTCGGAAAATCGATCCATACTATGGCGCAATAGGAAAAACATATTTATCCTTACTTGGCCAGTGTTCGGGGAAGAGAGAATTTCGTCTATTTGAAGATTGTATTTTTTGTATAATGACTATAAACTACAAAAGAGACTGCCTGCTTGATAAAAAATTATGTGGGCTTGATATTCAAAAAAACCCACTCGATTCCCCTTTATGTCCACTAATCCAGGTCGCTACCAATGATGCACCAAAATGGATAAGATCAAGATCCTTTCCCAACAGCTTCACTAGACTGTGGCTTCAAGGAGCACCTGGTGTTGCCGTCCTCACCTCATTCCTTCAATTGACAGTCACGAGCCCCCGCTTTGATCAACCGCGAACGCGAGGTACACTTAAAATTTTCTTTTAGATCCGACAGGAAGAGGTGACCTTTAGCCTCAGCCTGACTGCAGATCGGTACTGCGGCCGTCTACACCATTTGGGTTTAAGGAAACAAAACTATAAGAAAATCCAGCCACGAACTAATAAATAGATTGATACGAGACCACATATAGAAGTGCAACATATCGAACTCGACATGGAGAGCGATCGCAATTTATATCTTTTTCACTTATATCCATCGGCTTAAAATTACGCGGTGGCTTACACAACACTTATTACGTTAGAGTTCTTCGTAGAAAATTACCCTATTACGTATCATCACATCCAATTTCTATCACATCCATGAATATAAACATTGTGAATATTATTACGATATTAACGTTATCTATCGCCAGATGACTTTAGACATGTCGTAGTGAAGAACATGCTATAAGGTAGGTCGGGGGCTAACGCTTTAAATTTTTAAGATTTTATTGTAGATTCCTTTTACTTGGCTACTAACGCATCCGATGCTAAGTAAGTGATTTAACAGTGTATTTCAAATGTTTGCTAGTGAAATTTTCACGGTAACTCCACGCTCGAATGAAATGACTGTGGTAGAGCCACGCATCAGTCTTAGCTGTTCTGGATGCTGTTGCACGAATGGGCAGATCCTTCCGTGGAAGTACCACGACCTCACGGAAGACCGGCGTGATGTGGTAGCGTCATACTTCTGGAATTCGTCTTGGGAGTGAGGTAGCCGGGCCCCGCTTCATTAATAGGTGGCAACGCTTCTGCGAGCATACGGTTATTAATAACTTCAATGGACCACGGTTATCGCTTTTTATTAGTACCGCGAGCGCGATCACCGTCTCCTTACATAAAAAGAACCCAAAAAAGGTCATTATGTGCCTACATTTATGCATATGTATACGAAGATAATGCAATGTAATGCAGTCCCCATTGAACGCTGGTTATAAACAGACGTGTCATAATATTAAATTTTATTAGCCGACACAACGGCTTACAAGTATTAATAAGTAATTTAATTTACATCATTCTAATGCTGCGGAAAGTTCTACAACTCCAACTAGTAGACTTGACGTTTTATTTAATATTTTCCTTCACTGAATCAATGAGAACATTGCCATGCCGTCGACTGCGAAGTAACACGCGGCGACGTGAGAACTCTTGCACCGTGCGAAATCTCTATTAAAACTAAACTGGAATAACTCTGAACTCAACTGGTACAAGCCTTATTGTACTTGAGATACACGTTTTTTTTTATGTGTGAAAAGTTGCCAAGCGAGCAGACACCTGACGTTCGGTTCACGTTAAGTGAACGGACGGTTCACCTGACGTTAAGTGAATACCGCCGCCCATGGACATCTGCTACACCAAAGGGTTGCAGTCGCGTTGACAACCTTTTGAAAATTGGGCTCCGGCTACCTCACTCACCAGACGAAACGCGAAAGTATTATACTTCCACTTGACGCCGGTCTTCTGTGAGGTCGTGGTACTAACCCGGACGAGCCTGCCCATTCGTGCAACAGCCGAGGCTGCTGCGTGGCCCAACCACCGTAAACTTGTACTTAATAATTATGTTGTGTTACTTTGTCATTAGAATTCTCTCTTACCTTTACATAATCTCATAAACTGATTACCATCATTTGCGAATGCCACACTTCCAACTTTTTCAAAGACAAAAATGTCTTTATTCAATATAGGCATCTTTCAGCACTTATTGGACGTCAAAAAACTACCACCGGTTCACTAATTTAGACCTGCCCAGCTAAGACCCGACAAAAACTGCGGTCTAGTTGTCTTCTTTAAAATTTGGTGGTAACTTACATTTTTATATTTGTATAACTGATGTCTTTCAGTCCTTAGACTTTTAAAGCTTCATCGAACGCAGAAGCGATGGGCTAGCCAGAACCCGCGGGTTTTTGGCTGTGGGTAGGGCCGCGCATCTGCTCATGCTGGTAACTTAAAAACTTATGTATCAATTTTTATGCAAAATTCAACGTTTCATAAGAACGCGCAAGCGTCTATTTGTATAAAGACATTTTGAATTTGAATATATCTTTCATTTAAAGAAATCGCCAAAATTATATATACATTCTTTATGAGAAATTTTTGAACGACATTTTTTATGACAACTTTAACTTTGTCTTTTCTTCTTCAATATTGGCAAACATGAGTTTCGAAAGCGTGTATGGAATATTAAATTTGATAAAGGGCTATGGAAGTTATGGCGTTCTTACCAAAAATCATGTTTGATAAAAAATATAGAGAGATGGAGGTTGTTGAGTCTATACCAACTATTATAAGTAGATTATTATTGATTGTTCCGAATCAGAGTGAATGTTTTTGTATAAGCAACAGTATGTAAACGATGTTTTTCAAAAAATTAAAATTAAAATAAAAACCTGATCTCTTCAGAATCTTGAAAAACACAATTCGAACCAGAACTTTTGTGTTGCACAAACTGAGGTTATCTCAAAATGATTTTTAAGTACGCCTGTGACTAATATGTAAATATATTATTTCGTTAATCGGTAGGTACATTTGTTATCAATGCAAGCATGCATAAGCATTCAACTCGTGACCAAAGTAACAGCATATATATATCAAGTTTCCCACTGCTGGACAAAATTGATGTTTCTTCCGGGTGTAGCCACTACTACCGATAAAGGTGTGATACATAGTTTACGAACTGATCAATTAATCGGACGGTAAATGATCGGATGCAATTTAATCAGATTCAATTTTGCGCTTATGATGAAACAATAAAAGCCGTGTAGCTTAGTGGTTGAAGGGTCTAGATGCGATTCCGGAAGACGTAAGTTCGATTCCGGCGGCGTGGAGAAACTTTTCGTCCATTTTTCGACAAATTTTAACGTTTTCAATTAGAAAGTAAAAGTACGTTTTAATAATAGTAATTATAGTATCGACGATTAGTACAAACTTTGCTAAGTTTGAGACAGCGTTGTGTTAAAATGCGTTCTCTTATAATTAATATTAAAAATAATATCTTATAATTAATATTAAAAAACAACTATAGTGAGTCCGAATATACGAGCAAATCCGGTAAAACACGTAAACCCGGCTGCGATTCCGGCACATGACGACATAGCCGTCGACCTTTGTTTGGGTTTTCAAATAAAATCGACAACAAAATGTGACACTAAACTTGTATGATCATTCTGATCATTAAGAATATAATTCTGGCCAATTCAAAGAGTTTAACTTTTTTTAAGCCAAGAGTATGGCAACTTAAATGAAATTTGAAAAGCCGTTTGACAGCTGATTAGTTAACATCCACGATGATCAGTGTTTCACCGGTGAAACCGGGCGCGAGTTTTCTTTTTTTATGTAAGAAGGTGGCAAGCGAGCTGGCGGTTCACACGATGTTAAGCGACAACAACCGCCCATGGACATTTGCAACACCCGCAGGGTTGCAGGTGCGTTGCCACCTTTCAATGAGGTAACCGGAGTTACCTCACCCACCAGACGAAACGAAGGAGTATGCACACTTCCACTTCACATATCTTCAGCGACTTTTGTGCAATAGCGAACCACTGTATATAAACTATACACATAATAAAAAATTTACCGATCCTTGTCCGTACATGGAAGATATTTGAGAAAAACTATTATTGGGGGTCATTATTAACGCAGTAGAGCCCAAAACAATGATTGTTAAGATTTTTGACTGTTTTTCTGTGCGTTTGTGCGCGCTAATCTCAGAAACTGCTTAACCGATTTGGGTGCAAGCTTTATTTAGTGTTTAGTTTTTATTTAAATCGGTTTATAAATAATAAATTTATATCAACTAAGGGCCACATTAAAGATTTGTATATATGCTATATAAAATGCTATATAATACTATAGTTGAATTGGATGAAACTATAGTTAACTACATATTATGCTCTGTAAAATAATAATTGTAAGTTTATATAAAGTAAAAAAAAATCGGCCAAAAGCACAAATTTTAAGCACGATATAAAATGTAGTACATGCAGGCGGAGTCGCGGGCAAAAACCTGGTAAATAATAATGTAACGAACATTTGCCTTACGAGGATTGTACGGTGATAAATTGGTGATTCATTAACATTTGTTGTATTCTGAACCTTTTCTTAAAGGAAGCCAGGTCATTCATCCCAGTTTGGCACCGGAAACGTGGACTATGTCTTCACTGTGTTAGAGACATACAACAGAAATATGACTGGGAGAAGACCGATGTAAACTAGAAGTATTCATATCAAACCCATCGTACATTTTTCCGGAATAAAAAGTAATACATTCTATTCCTCTGCTCACAAGCCAAAATCTGTCCATAAATAGGTAAAGAGATAAAGGTCTGCTCCAGCGTTAGATTAGGACAAACCAACAAACATAACTCTTCATGTTATTAGGTAAAGCTGTACGCTTAATTACGAGCGTAACGGCCTGGAACCCTTGCCGGCTTGCAATATAACGCCGCCCCGGCCGATTTACGATCAAAGCAAACGAGGATCGCTAATGGAACACAGTCGCATACTACTTCTTATCGGATACCTCCTAATCGGTCGGACGGTGCTAGGGATGAATATATATATATCGTATATACTGGAACAGGTATAAATACCCAGTATGAACATGCCAGTACGCGCACCGGGTATGTACGGCAGAGGCCCGTTCCATACCCGATAGGTATGGCTGGGTATGGCCGCCTCGTCCGACGGTGGCGGTATGTAACTCTCGCGACAACCCGCCCGCACACCGGGTATGACGTATGTACGGCAGAGGCCCGTTCCATACCCGCACCGATAGGTATGGCTATGGCCGCCTCGTCCGACGGTGGCGGTATATACGCTCGCGACAACCCGCCGGCCGAATAGGTACGAAGTTCCCCGAACGCTTACGGCGGCTCTTTCCGATCATGCCCGAATTGAAACGTATGATTTAGACATTTTATACCAAATATTTCCTTGAGATAAATTTATTCTTTATTTGTATTAATTTATTACAATTAGGTAGATAAATAATTGCGTAATAAGATTAAACAGTAATATTTATTTTGAATTACTTTTATTTTTATAATAGGGTTCTTTACGTTGGTAAAGATGGAGCTTAATTTAGACTGATTAAATCTCAAATTAAAAAAAATGATTGCTAAAAAAAACATCTAAATGTTCCAATTCCAACCAAAGAAAGGTTCAATTCCATACCGGGTCTCCATTAGGAGGCCTGAACATAACTAATACCTATAGGTATTTTGATACTGGGTTTTAGCACCGGGTATACGGCGATACCCGTACCTTTGAGGCCGGGTATAGAATGTTGCAGGTATATCTCATGCCTAGACGGTGCTATCGAACCGTTACGACGTCAATCGAAACAGTTTCGAACCCCAGACTGCAGCTCCCGAGTCGGTACATCACCACCTAGGCCAACTGGGCAACTGCTGCATTTTATCGAAATTACCACACATATAATCTTATGTATATATAATTTTATGTATTTATTTCTATATATATATTTATATGTATGTATCTATATATTTATTTATGTACATATATGTTACATTTTATGGCACATTTATTAACTTAATTTTTTATAGTTTCATTTAGCACCTACCATCTACGTTTCACCATGACAAGGGTTGACTGGTAGAGAATGCCATTAGGCATTATGTCCGCCCATTGTAGCCTTTAACGTCATCAATAATTCAAATTCATCAATATCAAATAGCTAAAGTTTATTGGCTTTGGAGCTATTTCCCCATGGAGGGCGACGCCGAATCCGATAGCTTAACAACTGCTACAACCGTTCCGGGAAACATATACTGCAACAGTTCTTTATATTTTTATTATCGGGTAGGGTATCCCTGTGTTTTGGGGGAGGACAAAGTTATGTGAGACTTGTCATAACTAAGAGCCCCTTGGTGACACTTGATTACCGCACTGCGTTTAGTTCATTACTACAGGACTCCCTGAGATACCAAAGCGCTTGTACTTACCTACAACGTCAAGACTTACAGGAACAATACAAAGCTGTTTGCATCTACAGAAGTCCTAACTTCTTATCCCACCTTTTCATTTCTCTTGCTATATCATAATTTTCGCTCGAACATATTATATTTACTATTCCCTTACGATTACCGTTAAAACGAACAAATGTTTAAACGTTGTGTTAAGATAACCAGTGCTAAACAACCAAGAAAAGATTTCATTAATATTGGATAAGTCTAAAAAGCTTTTCTTCTGTTAAATGTTGACAAGCGAGTAGATTGTTCACCAGATTACCACTGCCCATGGACAACTACAACTGCTCAGTGTTTGAAGATGCGGTGCCAACCTTTAAAAAAGTGGGCCCCGGCTACCTCGCTCACCAGACGAATCGCCAAATTATAATACTTCCTCTTCACGCCAGTTTTCTGTGAAGGCGTGGTGTTACCCCGAACTACCCTACAACTACGTGACGCTACCACAGTAAAGGCCCATTTACACGATGCCATTTTCTTTCAAGAGCAATGAATTAAGCGCAATAATTGACCATCAAAAATTGTAAGCTACTGTTTACACGCAGATATAGTAGAAAGAATTTAATGCGATAATTGAATGCAAGTCTTGACAAAAAATAATTGCAAATGTCTTATGTTTACACCGACACAATTATGTTTAGGAGATTAACAGGCAAGAAACTTGCACCATGTAAATAGGCCTTAAAGCTATAAATAGTTGTGAGATATTCGTCGTTTAGAAAATAATTAAGTTATAAATATATATATACGCAAGTGATGGCTCAGTGGGTACGGCAGCTGATTCGAGACCAGTGGTAGTGGCATTTATGTTAACTCTAATGTAAATAAAAACGTAGAAACTTATATTTTTACGAGCAGACCGACAGACTTTGTCCTGGTACACACGAATTAAATCTGACAACAAGTTATAAACAAAAAAATTAAGAAAATCATTGTAGTGGACCGAACTAAACCATTCTCTATTCAAAACAAAAAATTAATGATTTTTTTTTGTTTTGATTGGTCCAGCCGTTTAGGAGCAGTTCAGTGACATACAAACGTACAGTAAAATTATATATCAATGAATCAATGAAATTTTTAATTATAATTGCTGACTTATAACGTGCTCGACGTTGAAGGAAAAAATCGTGGGGAAACCAGCATATTTTCGAAATAATAAGAAATAATATTTCGATATAGTATATTCGAGATATTTAGATCAACTATGGTAGGGCCACGCAACAGTTTTCACTGTTGCACGAATGGGCAGGTCCGTCCGGGTTAGTAACAAGACCTCACAGAAGACCGGCGTAAAGTAGAAGTGTTATACTTCTGCGTTTCGTCTGGTGAGTGAGTAGGCAACGCATTTTCAACCCTGCGTGCGGGTGTTGCAAATATCAATGGGCGGCGGTTATTACTTTTTCACATAAAAAAAAAGATATATGATATGTGGGGCCGCGTGATGGACGATGCACTAATATGGGGGAGGCCTCTGCCCAGCAGTGGGACACGTATAGTTTGATACTTTACTTTTACTACTTTTATAGTATAACTGAGAAAGTTTCCTACCACTAATGATCGATACATTGATGGACAGATTACTGACATCAGTGACGTCATTCTACAGCTCGTGATTTATTGCTCGACATATATGTTAACGGTATCTTAGTGCCGTTATGCGGCTAGTAGTAGTCAAGATACACAGGCCTAAAATATTGTGCAAATAATATCCATGTACAGATTGGACAACTCACTCTTTACGGCAGCTTGATAATGATGACAAATAAACGCACATTTTCCTATTAAACTCCGTTGCTTTAAAAAAGTCTTTTTCGTTTAAAGCGTAAAAGAACGATAATGAGAGTTTAATGTATTTATCCCATTTACCCCATTAACTCTATTGTGTCTTATACTATGTGTTAATTGATGGGGAAGAAAGGTTCTCGAATTGCAGCCTCGTATTGGTCACCGCAGTGTAGGACGACCACTAGATAAAGTGACGACCTGTGCAAATGGAGAAGTCGATGGATGTAGGTAGCTCGGGATTGACTATGTCCAGGGGGCCTATGATAATTAATTAGTTTTACCTTTCGTATTAATTTCTTGATTTTACGCGAATATTATGCACATTAAACGAAACTATTTTACAGATTGCAGTCTGTGCCCTGACCGTGAACGCTGGAAAAGGTTCGAAATGTCCGTCGATAAAACTTACACTACTTTCATTTAATATGTACCCGTCTTGATTACATTTCAATATCCAATCGGTTACTATTTAGTAGAATTCAACTATTAGTAAATTCATATAGTAGCACCTTGCTGATGAGTCGGTGCTGCCGTTTCTAAGCTATTGGCTTCGGTGTCAGGGGTCATGGGTACGATTCCCACACGGGACAAGTATGTGTGTGACCCACAGATAATTGTTCCCTGTCCGGGTGTTTCATTCCCAAGGAGAGTAGACGTCAGGCAAGGGGGCGGTCGTAAAAATCATAGCCAAAACCGCTTACAACACGATTCTAATGTTGTGCCTACCCTACGTAGGTGGTATAAAAGCAGGAGGATGATGAGTTATAGTAGCACCTTTGATTCACTTCTCATAAGTATAACATTAGTACATGTAAGATATGTGTATAATCAAAATCCTTAACACAGGAAAGGTAACTGGCGAGCACAGAACTACTTTTGAACATGTTAGTAAGCAACAATTTCTTATGTTACAAATTCTCAGTTAATGTCTAAAGGTCATATTTTACTTTGACGACCCGAATGGCGTTGTGGGTAGTGCACCTGCCTCCTGCGCCAGAGGGTGTGGGTTCGATCCCCACTACTGGATAAATTTTGTGTGATGAACATAGTATTTTTCTAGTGTCTGGGTGTTAATATATGTATAATATGTATTTATTTACAAAAGAAAAGTATGTTGAAGTATGTTTATTAGTTTTCTAGTACCCATAGTACAAACTTTGCTTAGTTTGGGACTAGAGAATGTTGTGTAAAAATGTGTCCTAAAATATTTTATACTTATCACATACTAGAAATATTCAAATTTTAGCATCCTTATTATACTTATTATGGGTCTGATACATAGGAAAGCAGAATGGAGCCAGCCTTGCTTGCCCATTATATTATTTCAGGGTTGATGGGCCCTAAACAAAGAAATCCATTTGTCTCTAATTTTGTCTCTACACACATTACCAAAATAGACTTTTTTAATTTACTGGTATTTGCAGTACAGTGCAAGGGAAGGGATAAGAGCATATAAAATCTTACCTAGCACCAAAAATGTCTTTTTTTGCCAACTGGAAAGCTCCGATTATCTTCAGACGAAGCAGAAAGCTGTTCTCGTCCGTCTGCAAAGATAAAATCAAAATTATACTTATAATTGATAATTATGCTCAATAATTGCTAGATAAAACTTATGTGACTGGCAGACCGGACAGACATTGTTCTGTAGATACGTCTTAAATTCGAAAATTTGAAACTTTTTAAATTACTTTGTGAATCTAAACAATTCTTGAATCCACCTAAACATACACAAAATTTCATTAAAATTGGTCCAGCCCTTTAGGAGGTGTTCAGTGACATACACACATACAGAAGAATTATATATATATAAAGATAAACATAGACTTATTAAGGAATTTGAGCCATTACAATAAATTACATATTTAATTTTACAATTTTACATTCAACATTTAAATGTTTAATATATGGAACAATTGCCATGAACAACTGAATAGTATTAAAACTAAAAGCACCATGATGTTGCAGGTATTTAAATATATTAAGTAGGTATAAGAATTTAAATATAACTGTGCTGATAAGATATGACTCACCTTTTGCTAATCATTATCATTTATAATCATTTATTTGACATAAGTTTAAATGGCAAATGAAAAATCACATAAACAATTACATCCAGCCGTTTTCACAATTATGAGATTTGATTTTAATATAAAATTAACGAACAATGAAAATTCATGACAGATGTGTTATTGCATTTTGTTATTAAAATTATTACTCAGATTTTAGAATCTGACCATCTAAAGACTTAGGTCTTGGAAGAGAAATCCCAACAGCTAACAATATTTTTTTTAGGTAATTATATTATTAAAACAATGTCATAAACTAAAATTTATTTCACTTAAACTTTTCTTCCAAAAACTTTCCTAGCAAATACATATTAAAAAAAACATTATGATAAAAGTCTGTTTGCAACAAGAATAATTTAAGCGAAGAAAATAACTGAAAAATAGTTAGACACTTTCAAATGTGTTGTGACATTACTTTAAAGAAGTTATACCACATGCTGACTAAACAGATATAACACACTGCCTGTCCAACATAAAACTAGCCAAATAACAAAACAATAAACATCCCTAAGAACGTACATCTCGAAAGAAATAGCCGCTTAAACATTAAATCAATTACAAGGACATATTTACATAGCAATGTATTATCATAAGTTTTTAATGCATTTAGTTTCATACAAAGCTTGTTTATTATACTTACACGTGTATCCGACTGCCAAGCCATTACCCATGTGAAAATAAACTAATATTTAAACACAATTATAAACAAGTTAAGCACTATTTCGTTTTACATCAGTTGGAATAACTTAAAAGTAATGACACGTTAGCTAGAAAACTCTCTTCATCGACACCATAAACCTCGTTCTGCACTTTGATAACATCAGAAATGCGCATCGATTGTTTGCCTCAACAAAAAACCTAAACACTAAAATCATATGAAATCTTACAATAACGAATACACATAAAAAAATAAAATATCACGAAAACTATCCACTGCGCCTTAAATGACAAATCAAGTGACAGTTTGACAGTCTTTGTCATTACACTTTTTACGCATTGCACTCCTTTTTACGCCTGCGAAAATATCGGTCTATAGTAAATGTTTTTTTTTTACTTTTATAAAAAGAGGATAAAATGAAACATTGCCATAAAATTCTGACTAACCTTATAAAACAGGCAAAACTAGTTAAAATTAGGTATGTAAATTAAAAAAACCAGTTAAAGTAATTGTGAGAATCAAAGAAATCCATCGCAAATCCTTCCAAGCGATTATAATATTATAAAAATGAAAGCAGTATAATTTCAGACCTACAGTAGTGAAATCAAACGACGGTGACACATCAATCAAGTCAGTATTTAGTGAATATCAAATAAATCGTAATAAATTATATACCTATATATTTAGTTGTTTCATAGCATGCTAATGAAATCGCGGTTAGAAAAGTTGTCAAACTATAGCCTTTACATTGCGGGTCGTTGATGGTATCTAAATAGTTGCTCCACCAAGACAAAGATACGAACTTATCAGGATCGAGATGCTGGTTTTTGCTCCAATTTAAGTTTTGAGCTAAAGTTAAGTACCCTACTTTTTGAAAAACAAGTTCCATTCGAGAATATAGTAAATGTAACTATAATTATGCGTACAACTTTCCATATTAAAGATTCGAGTGGATTATTTAATCCTAATGTACATTTGTTGAGGGTGGCAACAGTAAAAATTTTTAAAATTAACAAATTTTATCAAGTGTTTCTAAAAAGTTTATTAAAACAATAGTCGTCAATTTTACAAAGTATGTAAATTAGTAAAATCATTTTCAAAAACGGTGGCAATCGTTATTAATAGCACCGGGAACTGATTGACTTGTGCGAATCTAAATTATTCATCTTAATCGTTTTAAATTTCGAATCAGCAAATTTAAAAAGCTTTTAAATTTTACCTGATATTGTAAAGAGAATCTAGGTTCTTGAAATCTTGATGTATCATTATGCCGTCTCCATGATGACCAAGATGAAGACCGACTGCGATGCGGTTCACCAGACCTCGAAATGAACTCTAATGGTCTCACGTTATGCATGACTGTTAAAGAACGATAGTCCCTCATTTCCACACACCACAACACTTGTATTCACCATCACTTCTACTCTTTAGAATCATTGATTTCCTTTTTACAAGTAAAAATAATCACAAATGTTTCTTTTATGAAGTGGCGCTGCAGTACGCCATATGACTAGGTACCGTAATCTTATCACGCCGAGAAATGAGCACGATAAAGAGTGCGGGCGGCAATAATTAACGTCAAGACGATAACTCGCCTCGGCCTAGTCATGTAAAGTTCGTACGCTTTGTTTATCTGAATTTTTGTGATAACCGTATCAGTAAGTCAATATTATCACACGCCTCCTTTGTTGATTCCGCATGAAAGTTTAAATTTTTTTTTAAGTTTTGATATAACCACTGTTTCAGATTTTATTTAATATATCGTACTACCTTACTACTAAATATTAAATAGTACGTACATACATAATATTAAACAAGTCAATTATATCCCGTTATGCGAAAAAATATAGATGAATTTAAAAACTTGAAATAATAAACTAAACCTACTAAAAATAATAAAAGTTTTGATTTACTCGTATCAACATTACGATTTATTTATTATTATTGGCTTAAAACGTATAAAGTTTTTAAATGTAGCAGAAACTTTTCCATATTCTTAATAAGTTATTTTGAAAGAGATTTTCAAAACAAGTCAAGGTTTTAAATCAACCATAAACAGTAATAAATTTTATCAGTGTTTGAGAAATCGGGCGTGATGATAGATCATTAACAAATTAGCTGTCAAATGTCTTTTCAAATCGGGATCCACAATAAGTGTCGATACTTGAGTAGTATCGAGTAATATCGATACTTGTGTTGCGCTATCTAGTAATTTCGTACTCGACAAATTTGTTCCGATACTTTATTAGGTATCGGTACTTTCAGAATTACTCGATACTCTTTACTCTTCACTATTATTGATCCAGATAATCCAGATTCTATATCCCACCCGTTAAACTCATGGATATTCCGGTTACGGGGGTCAATAAAGTATACTTAAGTGTCGTCTTTCACTATAAGCTCAAATTCAGCCAGCACGTGACACGGGACAAGAACCGGGCGGCCTGCGTACTCGGTCGCCTCTATCCGCTCCTTAACAAAACATTAAAAATGTCCCTTCGGAACAAGGTGACTTTATATAAGGCAGTTGTTCACCGCGTTTTCGCGCACATTGCTCCGAAGTAAATACACCTGCTTAAGGTCATTCAGAATCGATTCTTGCGCAGAACTACGGAAGCACCCTGGCTCATGCGCAACATCGACCTACATGTCGATTTAGAGTTGCCCACCATCGTCTAATTCCTGACGTCGGCGTCGCGCCCATATTTCGAATCCGCCACCGCGCACCTAAATCTGCTAATCCTAAGTACCAACACTACAGGCCCCTACCGCTAGGTACGTTCCGCCGCAGCTAACGAACACGTCCTTGACAATGAGACGACTATCGCCATCGACAGAATTAAAAAAACTACGCAAGGACACCAACACACACCGCACTCGCCGGAGAGTGCGGCAAACATATACTAGGTTCCGCCACGTACCTGGCAGATTCTCCCCAGTCAATGATAGAAGCGTTGCTGGAGTTTCATCCGCCACGAAGTGGTAGTAATGTTAGATCTAGAAATTCTCCCAATCAGATAATAGCTACCGATCAAGCCGAGGTCCGGCCCTCTCGGGCACCCTCGAATCGGAATGCTAATCACGTATTGAGTGACAGCCCAAGCCGAGGCCCCTCTCAGGGACCCTTGAGCTTAGTCACTCCATGGAGCGTCTGCCAAAGCGCCCTAAGAGCTTGGCGGCCTACCAAACTGGTGAAAATAATAGCGTAACGGCCCTCGAGCTTAGTCACCATAATGCGTAACAATAATACGCCGAGGTTCAGGCTACGCGCCCCGAGCGCCAGTCCACCTCAGTGGCTCATCCAGTCAAAAAAAAGAATCTATATTAGGGAAATCACCGAATCTCCTAATCAGCGGTTATTTGTGGCCGGTTGAGTACTTTAATCTGATCTTGGTATTTTGAAATGGTCCGGTTTCTTCTTTAAAGTCGGACCCATTCATACAATCGAGCGAGATGAAAACGGTGTACCTTAAATTATAGTACCTGGAGGTTTTTTTTTAGAAAATCGTATATTTTAGAAATTAAAAAAATAAAAAATAAAGATAGCAATGATCTGGTATAGAAAAAAAAGTAAAAAAAATAAGTATGTAAATGATCGTGACAAGAACCGCGGCCTTCTGTTTCGGGGCCGCCCGATTTCCGACCGAGCTATTATAACAGGGATAAAAGGACATTTTCTAAAAAAGAAACCTTGGTAGATCGATTTTTTGCCCCCAAATCTACGCATATACTAAATTTCATAAAAATCGCTGGAGCCGTTTCCGAGATTCCGATTATATATATATACAATAATTGCTCGTTTAAAGGTACTAAATAATTATACCTTGGCTACCGATTATATTGGTACGTACTGAAAGACTTTTCTCAAAGAGTAGGGCCTAAATAACGTCTGCAAGAAACCGTCCTACCAATTCACGCGTCAATTGTAACGAAAAGGACTGGGGGTTCACAATATAAATTAGTAGTAGCTTTCACTATTCAATACGTAGTTGTTAAATATTGTGTTAGTGTTCTTAGTGCACAATGTAGATTTTTCTTGTATTTTTGAATAAAGATTTTAATTAAGAATGTACGTTTTTTGAAATTTTTAACGCGTTTCCAGAGGAAAAAAAAAGTACTCAATACAGCAGCAGTACTTTTGGTCTGATACTTTCATCGTTATCGATACTTTTGATACAATACTTGGTATCGAGTAGGTATCGATACTTTTAAAAATTTGCGGAACCCTGTTTTCAATTGTCATTTGAGTTGTCAAAATGATTTATAAACTCTCTCCCCACCAAATGTATAAATCTGATGATGTAATATTTTTGTGAAATAAATTTAATCAGATTGATTTTTTGTTCTATCCCGAAGGAAAGTACTCGACAATTATATTTTATACTATAGTATAAAATTGATACTTGATTTCTAATCTTAAAAATAACTATTTACAATATTTTTTCTAATATTTTGGCTAACATGTACGAATGTTGTATTTTGTTACATAATATTGTTAAGTTTTCGTGGTATACAAATCGTTTTTATCTAAATTTATAGTACACTAGCCCGCGCACTTCGTCTGCGCCAATTCTACCGGGTCCATACGTTTCTACTTTTAGCATAGCTCCATCTATCGGATACTTGATCCAGCCGATAAATTTATCTTACACCGCCATCTGTTAGAATCTTATCGGACTCACAGTTAGCTCTTTGACATGTAATAAACAAATAATGTGCAATAGCAAATATTGAGATCAATGACTGAGATAAAAACTACCCTATAGACCAAGTTGGACCAAATTACAAATGCTTAAAAAAATGATAAAAATTGGTTCAGTAGTTTCGGAGTTTATCGCGAACGTACATCGTGACACGAAATTTTTATATACATAAATTTCAAGCTGGTCTTAGATGGAATCCCATTTGCCCAGCAGTGGGACATGTATAGGCTGTTACTTTACTTTACTTTTACTTTACGTCATGCACTCTCCCTCACTCGCGGCTGGCTACTGAGAGTCCGTCTTCATATGAACGAATCGTCTTCATATTACATTCTTCACTTATATAAGTGCAATTTTCTTTTCATACTTTTTTATTAGTCTGAGATGTCATGCGACGTAATAGAGGGCGATCAGCTTAATTGAGCGCTTGATGTAAATTTGAACGTGATGCGTATATGTACAAACGGCGCAGCTTACTTATTATGCGCCACTTACCAAATAAAAGACACGGAGTCCTGTTACTTAATACTCTGTTTACCTTTACTTATATTATACTCTATGAGCAGCTCCTTATTTAGTATGTGTAATTCTAAAGCATATTATTCAAACTATTGTTACAATTTATTATACTTTTATAGGGCATGTTTCAGATTTTTATTTGTGAAGCTTGTAATCTATAATTAAAAATTGTTAAGCCTATCTTTAATAGTGTCATAACCTTCATTAAGAAAAACATGATCACGAAATACAAACTATAAATATTTTTACTTATTTTCTAAAATAACTACTTAGTAATTTCTTTTTGTTTTTTAAATATTAAAGCTGTTAAACTTCTGAATTTGTACTATTCATTTTGACGTGAACGTGACGTTTGAAATTGAATTATGACAATTGAATTATGAGTTTTGACACAAACAATCTCAGCTGTAGTAGATCCAAGCTGTGAAAGTTTCACATAAGCGATTCAAAACAAATAATTAAAACTAATAATTATTGCCTAATTACTCATTAAGATGTCGCAACAATTGATAAATGAACAAAGCAAATACATTTTAGAGTATGTTACATATATTTTTATTTTTGTTTAACCTATTTTGGAAGAAATGTGAGACACTTTTTAATTTTAAAATTAAATTCTCTTTGCAGCTTGTTTTCTGAGCAGACCATTGATTCACAAAGCTTAGACACGCTCTCTACACAAGTGCAGAAAAGGTTTCCGAAATCTGAACATTTTAACTGTTAGTATTAAATTTTCAATACATTTGGCCACTTATAATTTATACTTTACTTTGTGGCCATAGTTCTGGTTTTCTGTGTTGTAATTATGATAAATAATTTTAAAAAATTATTGGTCACACTTATTGTGGTCGTTAATTTACTCTAACATGCATTTCAGATATATCATGTTACAAACCTATATGCTTTTATGTTATAAGTTTAAGATAATTGCACTGGCACCCTATATTAATTTCAGTATGTCTCCTGCTATCCTCACTTGTTACCGGAGGAGACTTGTCCCTTCCTGGTCAGCGTGTAGTGGCTTTGGCAATTCTTTTTGACATATACAAGCTGGATAACCCTTTTGGTTCATTGTTCCTACACCTTCTAGAGGGCAAGCCAGGTTTGCTTCCTCTTGCACCCCAGGAAAGATTATTTATCGGACAGCTTTTTGGATTTCTACCTGTGAACATTAAAGATGTAAGTATTTTGTATTAAAATCACACCAACAATACAAATTATTTGTTGTTTATGAAAGAACTTTAACTAGTAGTTAAAAATTCACTAAAGTATAATTATTCAAGTATGGGTTTGTAATTTATTTTTAATTCACTCTAAAAAAATGGAATAGCGTAAAAATTAGGACAAAACTTTATGTGTGGCTTCTCTTTCTACCCACTATTTAGAAAAAAGGCAATATTTTTTAATAATAAAATTTGGCTAATGAAAACTTGGGGGTTCAGTTGCTAAGATATTGGCTTCTTGCTGGGGGTTGTTGGTTCGATTCCCACAAGGGATATGTATTTGTGCGGTTCACGGATAAATGTTCCGGATCCAGGTGTTGGTCCCCACAGAGGGCTGGTGTCAGGCAGATTGTTGTCCCTAACCTGGTCCATAAACCACATACAATATTATTCACATGTTGTGCTCACTACATCTAGGAACAATAAAACTAAAACAAAGTGGTGCTTGATAAACTGGTAATTATTTTACCTGAGAGGATGGTGTTAATAATGACATCATGATGAGTTGTTTCCCTCCGTAATGTACTATAATGATTTATTTATATCTAAAGTGGTGAAAGGGTTTGTGGAACATTTACTGCATCATCACGGTCCATAGATAATGAAGAAGTCTGCAAAGCAGGTGATGCTAACAGAGGTTTCATCAAAAGACCTGGAATTCGACTATTCTTCACTACAAAGTCTGGTTGCCGAGAGGGCTACTGAAACGAGCTCAGTGGCTAGAGCCACTGCACCCGCACTCATTCCTTTAGGAGATGGGTATGTTATGTAATTATTGTGATGCTAATACACATACTTACCTATTTGGATTATAACTTTTTGCACATTAGAAGTTCTCTTTGTAGCTAATCAGCCTTTAATCAAACCATTATGATACCACATTTAAAAGTATGAAGTATAAAAATATCAGCATAAATCAATAAGACAATAATATACAGCGTGTCGTTACCATCGCGACAATAAATGAACACACGTCTAATGCTACTTGCCAATAATCATAAAAAAATATTAACGTTAAATAAAATCAATAATTAAAAAAAAATTTTTCAAACAAACTAATTGGGTAACAAAGAAATAAAATTTGTAACATCCTATACAAGTCGCGCCATAGCGTCGTATTACAAGCCTCTCCTTCTAACACTATGTTTTGTCTCTTTTAAATTCATTCAACCCATTCATATGCTTTTTGACCTTTACAAATGAACTTTACGTTACGCTTTTATAGGTGAGGGTGTTCTAAAATTCTTTGTTTTGGAAAATTTAATAACTCTGTAAATATTGATGTTTAAAGAATTTAAATGTTTAATACATCAATTAAATACAATTCTTTTAGTAAGGGAATCGAAAAACGCGGTACACGGCAGGGGACTTCTAACAATATTTGTGATAGTAATTCTGTATAATATTCAATCTTAGTTCGATGACGACGTGGCGCATTTGCCAAGGTATTGGCTTCGGCGTCGGTGGTCGTCGGTTCGATTCCCACACGGGATAAATATTTGTGTGACCCACAGATAGCTGTTCCGTATCTGGGTGTTTGTCCGCGTGAAATTTATGTTTGTAAAATGTCCCTACAACACAGGACAATGTTATCCTAAAGTAAGGTCAATTTTTTTTTAAATGTATTTCCTCTCGCCCTCGCAAGGGGTCCGCCCAACCGGATGGCGATGAAGGAGCTCCTCGAGGCGCTAATGTCGAACGATTACATGCCGCTGCACCGGACCCTGAAGGCGGCCGGACCCATACCTCCGCCCACCTTCATGTTGGACCCCACCGAGATATCGTTCGCCGACGAGGTACCGCAGTAGAATGTGAAATGTGGGGTAGTACCGCTATCGAGATTTTTGAAATGCGAAAGATTTTTTGAAGCTATACCTCTTTTGGCGCGTTAGGGAAAAATGATGAGAGTACAATTTTACGATGCGCGGCGTCACGAAAAACCGACACCCCGAAGTTAGCTAGACATGTACGTAGGTTTGCGTGAGATATTTAAATAAACTTTATAACTAGATAATGCGTTATAATAAAACCTTCAATGTATTCAATACGTTTTTTCTATTGTTACATGAAATTTTTTAAAAGATTTTTATCTTTTTACGCCAAAGAAGTATAACTTCTAACGCGTGTACATAAGTACACACACACCGTTTTTTAGGTGGAAACTTGTCAAGCGGGCAAGCGGTCCACTTGATGTTAAGTTATAAGATAACACTTCCCTCAATGGACCTGCCCATTCGTGCAACAAAAACGAATGTTGCGTGGCCCTACCACAGTAAGTGGTAGGGTAGTATATCTTGTTCTTTATAGAATTGTATGGGTCTGAATCTGTCAAATCTTTTGACTGACTACTGTATCTGTCTACGCACAGCCGCAATTGCTAGATTTAGTAAGTAGAAATTTGAAAAGGATTATACGTCATCAAGGGGGTCAAAATACTAAGGGCGTCAAAATATCTGCAGAAAATTTTGAAAGTCCCAATTTATGAAGGAATCTCCAAAAGAATGGCCTTTGTAACTTTTAGTTCGAATGAGTTACTAAAATAATGCTCATAACCAATTCAATGGTATATAAAATGTTGAAAAAAGTATAGTAACAACAGCCTATGTATCACACTGTTGGACCCAGGCGGACTTCACCTATATACCAAATATTTTTTTATTTTCATTTCGAAGAGGTGCCGGTATCCTCATGATGTTTTCATTCACTCAAGTCAGCACTTAAATTAACAATTTATTTGGTACTGGCACCGGTATTTGAACTATTTGCTCGATTAAATTAAAAGCGAGCGGCATTACTGCTATCATGTCTCGTTGGAACAGGGCGTCTGGAAGAATCTGGTCAACAGGGGAGCTTACGTGCCTCTATACGACACGGAATGCGAGGGCCTGCTTGGTCTGAAGCCGCCAGAGAAGGCGCCGGAGCGTCGCGCCCCGCAACAACACAAGCCAAAGGTTAATGCGACCTCATTCTTGAATCTGTCTCCTGCTTATAGACTGGATAGGGGTGTTCCGATACCCATTATGGGTACTGGTACCTATAAATTAATATTGGTATTGATACCTAAATAGTACTCAAACTAGGTCCTTATCCCAAACTAACCCGCTGCTCCCGCTAGTAAACTTTGTTGCGTTCAGACATGTAAAGTAACGCATCATTGCTGTTTACCTCATTCGATTCCAAGTACTTAGTACAGTACAAGCTTTGCATAGTTCCTTCCTTACCTTCACACCATTGCATTCGCAATAAACATACGCACGCAACGCATGTCCTAGATATTTACGCGTTTCAAGAAGACAATGATTTAATCGTCATCATCACCAACCAAGCAGTGCAACTTATCCCCTAACTTCTTCTAGCTATCAGCATTATTTTAGACTACTCTATTGTCAAAGCGTAAAACAGCTTGAAAAGTGTTCCGTTTCGTATTTCCTAATTGAAAAATGCAATCGGAGTTTAAAATAAACAAGTCCATTTTGAAACTTTCATAGTGCTAATCTCCGTAGTCCGGATGATATATTAGGATTTGTAGAAAAAAAATGGAAAGCTCCCTGAGCAATGCTAGTCTGTTTTGTTTTTCCTAATTGAAAAAATGCGATCGGACTTTAAAACAAACGACTTCAAATGGAAATTTTTCATAATTAATCACCGCACTTAAAATGAAATAATAAAATGTGTGGGAAAAAATGGACGAAAAGTTCGAAATTGAACTGCTAAGAAACCAAATGGTTTAACGAACGCACCGTATGGTCGGAACATTACTCATTAATGTCACCCACTACAGCAGGAGGAGAAGAAGGAGAAGAAAGAAGAGAAGGAGGAGAAGAAGACTGAGGAGAAGGACGCGCCAGGTCTAGTCGCGGAGGCGAAGGAGCTGACGCAGCTGGCCTTGAAGGGCGCCCTCAGCGTCCAGCACCAACAGCGGCTGCTGGCTCTACTGGACCAGGAACCGAACATCGTCTACGAAATCGGGGTCACGCCCTACCAGGTGGGATGCCGGGATACTTGCCACAACCGACTGCTATAATCTCAGCTTTATTGGCTAGCTAAGCCCGCGACTTCATTCGCGTGAAATTATATTATATATATTAATAACAATAAATAAAATTTCTAAACTAAACTAGCTTAAGTTACTCCTTATTACATTAACTAGTCTAGCCGACAGAGACAGACACACAAAAATTGTAAAAGAACATATTTTGGTATATCTACCGTGTATACATCCATATCTATTTAGTAAACATCGGTTATTTGAATCTTACAAACAGACACCCCAATTTTATTTATCTGTATAGATTGAATACCATGACTACCTTGCATCACACTATATGATTTCTTTTTATGCGAGAAAGTGGCAAACGAGCTGGCGGTTCATCTGATGTTAACTGATAACCGCCGCCCATGGACATTTACAACTCTCTTAATGTTGCAAACGCTTTACCTTTAAATAAAGTGGGCCCCGGCTACCTCACTCACCGGACGAAACGCAGAAGAGTAACACTTGTACTTCCCGACGGTCTTCTGTGAGGTCGTGGTACTCACCCGGACGGATCTGCCCATTCGTGCAACAGCCGAGGCTGCTGCGTGGCCCTACCACTGTTAAAGTTGTTGTTGACTTCGACTCTTCGCTTACAGCTTCCAGATCTCGTGGAGAACAACCCCATGGTGGCGATATCGGTGCTTCTCAAACTGATCCACTCGCAGCATATCACTGAGTATTTCAGTGTCTTAGTCAATATGGAGATGTCCCTGCACTCTATGGAGGTCGTCAACAGGTGGGCTTATGTGAATACTAGAATATATAATACTAGAATAATGCGGTGTCTTCTCTCGCGTGGGGTTTCCATTCTTTTTTTTCTTTTTGACACATTTCTACACAACGTTCTCTAGTCCCAAACTAAGCAACGCTTGTACTATGGGTACTAGATAACTGATAGACATACTTGAACATACTCTTCTTTTGTAAATAAATACATGTTATAAATATACAAACACCAAGACACTAGGAAAATACTATATTCATGTATCACACAATATTTTCCCATTAGCGCTGCTTCCCATTAACTGCGCCAATCGGGTCGTCGAGAATTTTTATACATCATCATTGGAATGAGTTAACATGTGGATGTTAAATTTGGATTTACTTTCAAGATCTTTTCCATAGAAACCATTAGTTTTTCTAATATAACATGTTACCAAATTCACTCAATTATATCTGTGGAGACGTATAAACAGGATACCTATAAAAATCATGTCAGCCAACAAATACGCTTTCGCATTTGTAATGTTAGTTTAAAAAATAATTATATTGTTATTTTATCCGATTCCAGGAAATTCAAGCCCTTGAATTTGCAAACAACAGGATATATATATTATAGATATAGTATCTGGAGGACCTGTTTGTTTTTTTTTTTTTTTTTGGTAATACATGTATTTTGGAAATTACATTTAGATACAAATTACTGAGAAATGAAATATGCATAATATTTTTTGATCTTACCGACGTAATAATAAAAAAATATGAACTGGTGTTTTTCACAAAAGAAAGAATTAAAAAAAGGGAAAAAAATAACAAAATAACAAATCGACAAAAAATAAAAAAGCAATGATCTGGAATCGAAAAAAAGTAAAAAATAAGTGTGTAAATGATCGTGATACGAACCACGGCCGTCTGTTTTGGGGCCGCCCGATTACCGACCGAGCTATTATAACATTTTTTTTTCGGCGTAATTTACCGTCATATTCGAATGATATTTTTCATTCCCTGAAAACAGGGATAAAAAGACATTTTCTAAAAATGAAACCTAGCTAGATCGATTTTTCGCCCCCGAATCTACGCACATACTAAATGTCATGAAAATCGCTGGAGCCGTTTCCGAGATTCCGATTATATATATATATATATATACAAGAATTGCTCGTTTAAAGGATAAGATTATAAATCTTACTAATATAGTAGTACATATGTGTGTGGGTTATTCTTCTGTTTGTTGACGATTAAAGAAATCGTCATCGATAACTTTAACAGTTGTCGCAAACGGTTACCATTAAATGAGGAAACGTTTACCGTTAACCGTTACCGTTACGCGCTGCCCCGCAGGCTGACGACGTCCGTGGACCTGCCGGTGGAGTTCGTCCACCTGTACATCAGCAACTGCATCTCCACCTGCGAGACGATCCGCGACCGCTACATGCAGAACCGGCTCGTGCGGCTCGTCTGCGTCTTCCTGCAGTCCCTCATCAGGAACAAGATCATCAACGTGAAGGTCGGACGGGAGCTCTCGCCGCCGCCGGAATCGAACCCAAGTCCTTAGATAGCCGGGGCGCACTTAATGAAAATCCCCCCTCCCCCTTAAAATCATTTAAATCTTAAGTTAACCTCGCAGACAGACGTGAATTGAATGACGTGATATTTGTACGTAAACGGGACCATAGATGACCCGGAATTGTTGACTTTTTTTATGTGAAAAGGTAGCAAACGTGCTGGCGGTTCGCCCGATGTCAAGTGATAACCGCCGTCCATTGACATTTGCAACACCCGCAGGGCTGCAGATGCGTTTCTAGCTTTCAATAAAGTGGGCACCGGCTGCTTCACTCACCAGACGAAACGCAGAAGTGTAACTTCGCTACAACTACTTCACGCCGGTCTTCTGTGAGGTCGTGGATAAGGTGAATCAGCTGGCTTGCCACTTTATCACGTAAAAAAATAACAAAAAAACACCGCCTAATAGTTTAACGGTAGGTACTCAAAATACAGTGCGATCTAATATTGATTGATACGGAACTCGTCGATATTTTGGGGCCGATATTGATATTTTTATAAATATCGATATATCGATATTTCTTCAGTTTTGGCACCCCTTTTATGAATTAGAAAATTTAGAAGACTGATATGAAATATTAACATTTTTTTTTAAAACATTGCCCTTACTTATGACAACTTTATCCTGTGTTGTAAGGACGTTTTACGAACATGAATTTCACTTGGACAAACACCCAGATGCGAAATAACTATCATGGGAATTGAACCCATGACCCCTGACGCCGAAGTCAATACCTTGGCCACTGCGCCACGGAGTCATCGCCGAACGTAATTAAAAATAAACCTACATAATTTTAAAAAAACAAGATAATACCGCAGTTTCTTGTCGGCTTATCTAGGCAGGTCTAGTTTAGTGAACCGTTGGTAGGTTTTACGTTCAGTAAGAGCTTAAAATGATCCTATATTGAATAGGGAAATTTTGACTAAAAAAAAGAAAACGCCACTCCGTCTCCGACAGGAGCTGTTCATCGAGGTGGAGGCGTTCTGCGTGGAGTTCAGCCGGATCAGGGAGGCGGCGGCGCTGTTCCGGCTGCTGAAGCAGCTGGACTCCGGCGAGGGGACCCACAAAGAGTCCAAGGACAACTAGCATCCGGCAGAAAGGGGGGAGCTTCTACTCCTGGTCCTCTCAGGACTTGCCGCCTCGGCCGCCCATGGGCGTCCGTTTGTCTGGAACTGGCTGTGTGCTAATGGACTGCCTAGGCAGCCCATGGGCTCCCGTTGTCGCCGGGTCTTCTCAGGAATTGGCTGTGGTCTAATGGACCGCCCATGGGCTTCAGTTTTCTCAAGTTCTTCTCAAGAACTGGCTCTGGACTAATGGACCGCCTCGGCCACCCATCGCCTCCCGATTTCGCCACGTCTTCTCAGTAATTGGCTGTGGTCTATTGGACCGCACATGGGCTCCAGTTTTCTCCAGGTCTTCTCAGAAATTGGCTGTGAGCTAATGGATCGCCGATGGCCTCCCGTTAGACTCATCGTGAGAACTCTAAAACCCGGAGGTCCCGAAAAAACGGGTGAACGGACCTTTAAAGGCTCTCGCATCAAAATCAAACAAAATCAAATAAAATCAAATCAGCAAGTCTTTGGTTAAAGTACGAACTTTACTGTCGATACAGCCCTAATCCAGACCTCATGTGGGCGAATACGATTTCCGCACGAAACTGAGGCACTAAGTAGCTGAAATAGGCTGATTGGCCGTTTACTCATATGACAATATACCAAGATGGACCTCTAGGTTAGGTTGACGATAATTTTTAACAGTCTTATTTGTAAATAGCACTGTTTGTCTGACCGCGTGTTTATATATGGCATAATGCCTACTGACTTTGAGTTTGATTATCAGGTCTAGAACAGTATAAGTCTGGTATTTTTTCGGCCACAATAAACGACCGCATAGTATATTTTTTAAGTATAGGACTCTAGGTCCTTTGTACATATTTAGATTCGTAATATGTTCGTATATATGAAATAATGCGATATTAACGATGGTCTTACAATGGCGACAGATATAGTTATGATAAATATGGTACCGTATGAATATTAATTACCACGCTAATATTATTTAAATTATATTCTAATTCGTAGTCCCCTAAACAATTCCATTCTTTATTGTTTTTTTCTTGCTATGGCATACTATACAGTTATAACTTATAGACTGTAAATATGTATGCCTTTAAATACAATAATCAAATACATATTGCATTTAAAGCACAGTTGTAATGTTACATCCAATTAAATCAATTGCAATATGTCGATTTTGGTATACAACTGTTGGGTTTTAATTTCTCTAACAATTGAGGTTGTAACTAATTTGTGAGATGTAGTCGCTAAGTTCTTTTTTATGTGAAAAGTTGCCGTGCGAGCAGGCGGTTCACCGAATACCGCCGCCCATGGACATCAGCTAAACGCAAAGGTTGCAACTGCGTTGAGAACCTTTTAAAAATTGGGCTCCGGCTACCTCACTCACCAGACGAAACGCGAAAGTATACTTCCAATTGACGCCGGTCTTCTGTGAGGTCGTGGTACTTACCCGAACGAGCCGCCCATTTGTGCAACAGTCGAGGCTGCTGCATGGCCCTACCACAGTGGGGATTAGTGTTGCATATCGATAGTCTGCTCTTGATAGACAATCGATTATCTATCGATAGTTAAGGTAAATGCAATAGTATCGGTAGTCTATCGATAGTATTGTCACGTGCCAATACTATTGATAACAGCTATTGATAACAGCAATACTTTCGATAGTATCGATATTAATGCATGCGATAGTATCGATAGTATTGCAATTGCCATTAGTTTTTGACAAAAACTATCGATACTATCGACTGTATTATCGATACTATCGACTGTACTATCGATACTATCGACTGTACTATCGATATTATCGATAGTACAATCGATATTATCGATAGTACAATCGATATCCTGAAGTTTTCGAGGTCAACTATCGATGGTTGTGCAACACTAGTGGGGATCTTTGGTTGGTTAATTTCCTTCTAGTTAAACCAGCGCCTGTTGAAATTAAAACACAAAATTGCAGACATTGCAACAGCATGCCTAAGTAGATGTCATGTGAAAAATTGTACTGAAAGATCTTTACGTGTGTTGACATGTATGGGATAATTTATAATATACGGCACATTTTGGCTCTTGCTGACAAAATTTTAGATTTAAGAACTACAGTCAAGAATGGCCGTTGTAGTGTGTATAGGGAATATGCAAAACATACTATTAATTATTTACAGGTACATAATTAATCTAAGAACTAAAGTAGTTTTTAATAAATGAAATGTGTGGTGCATATCTATTTTTCCATATTAATATGAAGTAACACAAATATTATGAAGGCCTTATATCACAGTAACCTTCTTTCTGTGACTGATAAAATAATTAAATCTAGGTAGAACATTGAAATGCCAGCATTTATGGAACTAGTGTCCCTGTTTGCTTCTATATTTGTAATGCTATAAAGTGTAGTTTGAATTCCAGTACAAGTCAATATTTATGTAACTTAAATATTTATTCAAGTCACACCTTATGAGATGATGAGTAATTGAAAGCCAAGTGACCTTATACATTTATTTAATAGATTACCATTGTTTGGGTTAAAATATTGTGCTTATGGAATGGAACTTAATAGTTTAGAACTACAATAGTTTTATGAAAAAGCTTTCATGGAAGCTTGGATGTAATAGAAAAAGTTAAATGGATTTGTAATCTGAAATGACTGTTTTTTATGTTAATATTTAAAATGATTTTGGTACTTATGTAAGTTAACTTCTATATTTGGATTTGAATACTATACTTGCCAAGTTTGTGGTAGTCTAATAAAAAGGTTTTATTTAGATTTAAAGTTTATTTTAATAATTACAATCTGTAAACTAGTTGTTAATATTTTAACTTTATTTCATAAATGCCCAAACTACTTGTGTGCACCTTCCAGAATTTTCCTTATTTCGTCATCAGAAGCTAAATCTAGTGGTGTACAGTTTTCTTCATCGTTAACCAACTTAGCACCATTTTTTATAAGCAGCTTTGTTGAATTCACATGTCCACAGGATGCAGCATAATGTAAGGCAGTCTGACCGCTATTATCTACAGCATTTATATCACAACCGCCTTTTAAGGCCGCCTCCAATGCACTAACTGCATCTCTGTCAGCAGCCCAATGTAATGCTGTGAGACCATCCTCATCTCTCTCAAATTTAAGCTCTGAAAACTGAGTCAAGAGTTCTGTTACTCTTTCCCCTAAGTCCTCTCTAGCTGCTTCTAAAATAGATAACTCTTGGTGCACCAATTCAGGTTCTGGACTGTAGCGGAGTGAAGAAACTGCAACCCAAGCCTCTTTTGCATTATCTTTGCTCTGAATAGACACACCACATTCTGGATCATATTTTTGGACCAATGCAACATATTTCTCCTTTGCCTCATTGCTCGGCATATCATCTAAACTTTTCCAAGCATCCCATTTTTTACGCCCTCTTCCATCTAACCAACTTGGTTTTGGAGTGTTGCATTGACCTTCAGTACTTTGTTTGAACAGCCCATAAAGTTCTAAGAGCTGACCATTTGATAGTTTTGAAGTGATCTTCCTTACATGGTCAGAGGCTTTGTTGAAAGAAACATCAAGAGGTGATAGTTCTTCTTCAGAAAAGTCGGAGTCTGGATATTCTGGTAGTGCTACAGCCATATTGGTATACTTAACTATTTTGAATCTGAACTGTTAAGTTTAAACCTTCCAGGGTGTGAAGTTGCTTATTAATTGCATTGGCAACTGCTGATGGGTTTACAAATTCAACAAAACCATAACCCTTACTTATACCAGTAGATCTATCAAATATTACTCTAGAACTTTGTACAGGACCAAATTGAGCAAAGTATTCTCTTAATTGGCGATGACCTACAGTCCATGGAAGGTTGCCTACATAAAGGCGGGCTGCTCTAGCGGTGCTGGCCATGCCCTAAATGGAGATAATTTCAAGTAAATGTAAGGATCGGTCACCAATCAAGGCTCTGTAGTCAATTCCAGAGCTTTCGCTCAAAGAATCTAAATCCAGGAGAGCGCCTTTTAATCCCCACTTCTTCAGCAGAGCTTCAATGGACCAATCAGCACTCCGCTCCTGGTAAGCACACAAAAATCGACCGTCAGTTCCTTCTAAAAGGTAAGCAACTGTAGAAAGTACCTCTTCGAATTGCGACGGTTCGTAAAAGCAGTCTGATGCTAGAAGCAAATCGACTGGTTTTAATGTATGAACATCTGCTAAAAAAAGACCCCACGCGAGGCCTAATAAGTGAACATCGCGACCAGGGATGAGGCCATTGGCTTCGCAACACGCTGCCAAGTGCCGCAATGATCGGGGCAAAGCGACACTGTCAGTCAACGTAACATGAGCTCCACACTTAGCCGCTAATATACCGGGTAGGCCAGTGCCGCAGCCGAGCTCTAACACTCTCAGTCCACGTAAATGCCGTCTCTGACTCCACAAATACCAAGCTAATAGCGGCGCAGATGGCCACGTGTAAAACGAGTAGCCCGCAGACAACAATTCAGGGATCACAATCTCCAAATATTCACCTCGCGTATCGCCGTTACTTGCGGATTTTCCACGAAATACAAATTTCTTCAATTGACCGCTTGCAGGACGACCATCGCTCATTGCATAAGCATTATTTGTAGAAGTAGATAGTAGAATTTATAGATTACAAATTGAATTGGATGGAGCAATAAAATAACCACAATTTGACATTTGGCCAATACTACAGAATAAAAAAGTTGCGATTGTTTACGGTAACTGAAATAAGTAATATTTAAATTTTAGTCTCCTCCTACAAATTTTATTTTTCTATAAATAAGGCATATTATTATACAATGTTTAACAATTGGTTCTTAGTATTTTGGCTCCAAAATTCAGATCACAACAGAATGCCATGCCATAAATTTTTATTCACCACATTCGATCACTCTTTAGTTTGTAAATGATCTGAATAATATATGTTCTATTTTTAAAAAGCGTATCTGTTGATCGGTATAAAGTTAAAATTTGCTAAACAATAATACACTAAACAGTAAGCACTTGCCATTGCCACTTGTCTTTGGAATTTTAGTTGGTTTTGGTTTGGTCATTTGGTGTTGATCTTTGCTCAACGTCCACATCACGTTATATTAAGTTTCGTAAATAATTAAATATAATTTATATTAATTTGATCGGAGTAAAATGTCAGTAGCAGTTAAAGGTAAGTGTTTTAAAATGCAATATGTACTTATTTGTATTCCGTATTCATTTTACATACTTCCTAATCAAATTTAATGTTTGGGGTCAAACTCCAAAGAATATCGAGATTGTTTTCATTTTTTTTTAACTTTCAATAACATTAAACTTCTGGTTGATGCAGTTTTTTTTTAAGTTATTGTTGTTATTGTTTTTATCATTTTACTTAAAATTAAATAATTATATACTTCTTGTACGGAATAAGGCTGTTTTAGGTACGTACCTATAACTTAGAACTTTCTTGCAATAACTTAAATGCAATTTTATCTTTGAAAAACATTAAAAAACATACTCGTACAATTTTTGTTCTACTTTAATTTCCGATGTTGATTCACTTTGTTGTAATAACGTAAGTCATAGCATACTGATTACGATATAATGTTCGTGTTTTTTTTTAAACATTACTAAATACGCTTGCGGTGTTATCCGTAATGCTCTGGTCTGAATTAAATAAATCTAGGTACCTATTCTGTATTTAACCTTAAATAGACGAAAGCAACAAGTGTATAAGCGGTACTATAATCTATTTTTATTTCTGTTTTCGAGCATGAACCTTTTTTAAAATTCTTGAAATAAAAAAGTAAATATGCTCAAAATTCGTTCATCGTACTTACTAAGGTGGGCGGCGCTGATCAATTTACATAAGATGATTTTGCTTAAAGATTGTGATCATTTAAATCTAATATATGTATAAAATTCTCGTGTCATGGTGTTTGTAATTGAACTCCTCCGAAACGGCTCGAACGATTTTCGTGAAATTTTGTGTGCATATCGGTCAGGGTGGAGAATCGGACATCTATTTTTCATCCCCCTAAATGTTAAGGGTGGTCCACTCCAAACAGGGCCTTTGCGTTTCAGTGGGACGTGTGGGCTAATGCTTTACTTGTTTTTAAATACCACTAAACCGTTAATTAGTATTATTTCACGGCGAGTATTTTAAGAGCCAGCTTGCCCATTTCCCTTTTAAATCATTGCATAGTATAAAACAAAGTCGTCCCGCTGTCTGTCTGTCCCTATGTACGCTTAGATCTCTAAAACTACGCAACGGATCTTGATGCGTTTTTTTTTTACTAGATAGAATGATTCAAGAGGAAGATTTATATGTTAATACATTGCACCGGTGCGAGGCCGGGGCGTGTCGCTAGTATACATATATCTAAAAATTAGCTAAAGGAACTAACAATCCAAATTTCATCCAAATAAAGACCTGTACTTTGCCATAATGATCTTACCAATATTCAACGGAGCTTATTAGTCGCACTCTCAGAGCTGACGTTTAACAACATTGTCCCCGTTAACCGATAATTAGGGATTTATGAAATGTGGAGAAACGGAAAAGGTATCGAGGCTATACAATTTACATACAGTTTCAGTCAGAGAGCCGTGGTAGCTCAGTGCCCGGGCGCTCGTCTTAATTTAATATACTCGAGCAGCCTGAGTTCGATCCCCGGTGCCGGCACTTATGAAATTGTTAATTTGAAGTGCTGACTTATCACGTGCTCGGCGGTGAAGGAAAACATCGCGAGGAAACGTGCATATTTTCTAAATAATAACAAAGAAAAAAAATATTTCGAAGGTCTATTGAGTCTGCCAATCCGCAGCGAGGCCGCATGGCGGACTATGCCTTGTACCCTCTGTACAAAGGAGGCCTTCGCCGAGCAGTGGGATATGTATAGGCTGTTACTTTATTTTTACATATTATGGTTCGACCTTCAACAGGTATCTTCATCGTAGGCGCCAAGCGCACGCCCTTTGGCACGTTCGGCGGCGTGTTCAAGAACACGCCTGCCACGGAGCTGCAGACTGCCGCCACGGTGGCAGCACTGAGGGAGGCCGGCGTGGCCCCTGGCCAAGTGGACAGCGTCGTGATAGGCCAGGTCATGTCGGTGAGTGTCCGACTATATCAAGTCATTTACTCGGTGTGGGTTTTACACAGGGCCGGATTTAGAGTTCTGGAGGCCTCGGAGCAACAAAGTAGTGGAGGCCCCTTGGCCCAAATTATTTTCCATCGATTTCTGCTAATATTTAATATAATCATGTAGAATTTTTTTTCCGAAGTCTGTCCCCGAGGCCCCGGGGCTGTAGCCCCGGGCCTCGGCGCTACAGCCCCGGGCCTAAATCCGGCCCTGGTTTTACAAAAGATAAGAATGTTTAGTTATGTGTAGCAGTTATCTAGTACCCATAGTACGAGCATTGCTTATTTTAGGACTAGAGAACGTTGTGCAAAAATGTGTACAAAATATTTATTACCATTTACTCGGACGGCGCGCTTATAAATACGAACAAAGACATCGTTTTACATTACGTATACCCGTAAGATAAAAATATACACTGCCGTGATAGCTCAGTGGCCCGGCGCTAGCTTTCGATTCAGTGTCGATCGAATCGAGCAACCCGAGTTTCTCAAAATCTCGGTTTTGGAGCCAATGAAATTGCTAATTAAAATAAGTCCTGACCAATCATTGGTTGAGTCAGTGGTTGAGGAAAACATCGCACAGAAAACTGCATATTCTCGAAATGATAACACGTAAAAGTTGTGACGTACTTTTATGTACGCTCTTAAGAACTTATGAAAATGAAATGAAAATGAAAAATACAGCAAAATATAAAACACAGTTGTTATGGAAAATAAAATAAAACAAATCAAAGTATTTTGCTGACGACGGATTGAACCACTCAGAATAAATAATATGATTTCCATTAGTTTCCTCACTATATTATATTTTATATGTATATTATACTTCTTTACCGTAAAAAAATAAAAGAAAAAATCTAAAAGTTTTCCCTTAGCCTTGGTCAAGGGTGTCCAGTTTTCTATTTTTCCACTTACTTGCGCACCATTTATATTCATTTCACTAAAAAAAAACGCATTTCTTATAGATGTTTTTGTTTTAGAAAATCCCCACATCGATTTCGATCCAAGGCGAGGTTCGAACCTCCATTCGATCGCGATCGAATCGCCCTTGGATTGCAATCGAAAAATAATTGTTCTCCTTTGTCAACATATTATCTTATATTGATTTTCAACCGACTCCAAAAAAGGAGGAGGTTCTCGATTCGACTGTATTTTTTTTATGTTTGATACCACAGAACTTTCGTCTGAGTGAACAGATTTTGAGGATCCTCTTTGTATTTGAAAGCTGGTGCTTCCCATGGTCCCATATTAATTTCATTGGTATTGGATCTTGGACTCCGGAGATACTTGGGAACTCCTGAAAATCAATTATAAGATGAATACAGAGCGAGATATTTAAAGTCGGTTTTGTTTTTCGTTAATAAAAAAAAATTGACTTGTTGATCTACATATAGACGTGAGGACCTGCGGCAGTAACAACCTGCGACATTAAATATATCTCCGTCTTCTATTTCTTTTTTTTATTTTACAGTACAGAAAGTATTCTATAGAGTCCTTGGATATTGGTTAACAACCACGTTATAATACTCCGCGATGAAAATTGCACGTCGACCTTTGGAAAGAGAATAGTACACTATTTACCAATGTGACGTCTGTCAGTCGTCATATACAGGGTGGCTTTTCTAAAGGTGCCCAAATTCACACAGGAGGTTCAGACTCGGTAGTTTATTGAAATAACAACAACCTTTTTTTTTTTTTTTCAAAAAAATATTGCTATTCTATTCCCTAACGTAGTATACTTTTGAAACGAACTTGTGTGCGTATTCATTATGAATGATCGGCGGGTAAAATAAATGAGTTGCCCATAAATCACGCACTTTTTGACATAAGTTAAAAGGAATGTAATTAATTAATTACGAGTGATATTAAATATTTATTATTTTTTATATAACATTATTTATGTCTAGAATTTAATAAAAAAAAATGTATACACTTAGAAAAGCCTCTGGAATGAGCTGAACGTTTCTTTCCAAAGGTCGATATGCAATGTTTATCGCCAAGTGCTGTAAATTACTTACTTCACGTTTCAGAAGTAAAATCTGCGGTCATATCAGATTACAAACTAAAAGAGATATTCGTAATTGTTGATAAATATTTATATAAAGATAAGAGATAAATATAAAGCGATGGTTAGGTAAACTTTTTTATCTTTGTTACAATATTAGGTAAAAAATTGAATAAGGTTTGTTTATACTATGTCAAACAAATGCTACTTTTTTCTAAGGCGACCCTGCTAAGCGTTAATTTATAATTTAATTTATTATATTATATTGACGACCCGATTGGCGTGGCGAGTAGTGACCCTACCTCTTGCGCCAGAGGGTGTGGGTTCGATCCCCACTACTGGATAAATATTGTGTGATGAACATCGTGTTGATATGTATTTATTTACAAAAGAAAAGTATGTTTAAGTATGTTTCTCAGTTTTCTAGTGCCCATGGTACAAGCGTTGCTTAGTTTGGGACTAGAGAAACGTTGTGTAGAAAATGTGTCCGAAAACATTTAAATATTTATTTATTAAAAAAATATTTGGTTTCATAAGGAGTCGTATGCAATAGAACTTATATTAATTTATTCAGAGGCCCTTATCATAAGGCGTATAGACTTTATTATACATAAACTCAAGACGCTGGTAGGGCCACGCAAGAGTATTCGCTGTTGCACGAATGGGCAGGTACGTCCGGGGAAGTACCACGACCTCAATTAAGACCGTGAAGTAAAAAAGTTTCTTTTTCTACGTTTCGTCTGGTGAGTGAGGAGACCGGAGCCCACTTTATTAAAAGGTCCCCATCCACTTTATTAAAACATCTGCAACCCTTCGGGTGCTGCTAAGGTCAATGGGCGCTGATCTTGTGAGCTTCTCACACAAAAAAAAAAGCAAAATTTTTTTTACGATACCACTTTAAATAGAGCTTATTTGCTAAACATTTATCACTTAACATCGGGTGAACCGCCAGGTCGCTTGTCACCTTGTCACATACAAAAGACGGTATTGATTTAGAAAAATCGCCAAATCCACACACCATAAGAAATTAATATACTCACTGTTGCATCTCAATATATTTATTGTAATATTTTATGTCGTTAGACATGATCTTAATTATATCCCAAAATAGTGACAGACATAAATTAAATACTAGAAATAAGGAGCAATTAACTGCGCCATTGTTTCCTCTATAAAAAGTAAATAGGTCGTTTGCGCATGTATAATAAAAGCCGACAGTTGACAATAAGTCTGCCACTTGATGAGTTTAAACAAAAAATAAAAGTAAGCTTTTGCCAAAGTATATTATACCATTGCGGAATATCTTGACGGCGCCAATGTGTGGAGTAAATACTGTTGATACTCACGTAGGCTCAAATAAGACTTAAACCATATTGTTAACAAATCTTTTTAAAAAGAGCAATTGTTGAGTTTCGCGCCGGTCTCTTCTCAACTGGAACTGCTTTCCGAACCGGTGGTAACTTAAGAACGTGTTAATTTTTATGTAAAATTTTGACATTTCATCCGAATAAAGATATTTGAATTTGACCAATAATGAAAGTGGTTGAAGGGAGACGTACACAATCTAACCTTATCTTCGCCAGGCTTCGCAAGCTGACGGCATCTACACGCCGAGGCACTCCTCCCTGAAGGCGGGGATCCCGCAGGAGAAGCCGGCCTTGGGCATCAACAGGCTGTGCGGTTCCGGGTTCCAGTCCATCGTGAACAGCGCGCAGGTGGGAGCGTGTGTGAAAGAGACAGATCTAGACCAGTGGTTCTCAAAGTGCTCAATCGCCCTCCCTAAGATAGCTTTTCATAATATTTACGATTCCACGTCTACTTCCATTTCCGTTTCCGTTTCCGTCCCGTGTGGGAATCGAACCCACGAAGCACGACGCCGAAGCCGATAATAGCTCAACAACTGCGCCACGGAGTCATCACCGCTCAATCTGCCGCGCCAGGCCTGGCCACTCAACCTATTCAACAGCGACGAATCGACACAATCGCTGTATACACTAGACTCATTTTCTAAATTGAAATGTGTGTCATTAGTGAATAGTTCAATGATAACACACCCTGGAAATTAATCGATTAAACATGTTTCTTGTAAAATGAAGGTTAAAAAAATGTTCCGCTGAGTTTCTTTCGCCGTTTCTTCTCAGGTCAGTGACTTATTTTCCGAACCGTTCCGTAGCGTTTTGACAATCAAAATGTAACTGTAATGCTTCTACCTATATAAGTGTTGTTAAGTGAATACCGCCGCCCGTGGACATCCACAGCGGCGGGTTGCAGATGCGTTGACAACCTTTAGAAAATTGTGCTCCGGCCACCTCGCTCACCGGACGGAACGCGAAACTATTATACATCCACTTCACGCGGGCCTCCTGTGAGGTCGTCGTACTCACCCGGACGAGCCTGCCGTTCGCTATTCGTTGATTTGACGTGACCAGCCTGTCGCCAGGACATCCTCGTGGGGGCCGCCCGGGTGTCGCTGGCGGGGGGCGTGGAGAACATGTCCCAGGCGCCGTTCGCCGTCCGCGGCGTCCGCTTCGGCACGGCCCTGGGCTCGTCGTACGCGTTCGAGGACACCCTGTGGGCGGGCCTGACCGACTCGTACTGCGGCCTGCCGATGGGCATGACGGCGGAGAAGCTCGGCGCCCAGTTCAAGGTCACCCGCGACGAGGTGGACGCCTTCGCGCTCGGGTCCCAGCAGCGCTGGAAGGCCGGTCAGTCAGCGCCACCGACCGTTTGAAAAAATTACTCGCTCCTAAAGCAGTTCAACACGCCCACCAAGAACCGCTGAAACTCACTAAATTCAAACCAAATTCCATTGCAAATTTTTTCTTACTAAATTAAGCAAGGATACCCTCTGCCGTGATACTTGGAAACCTTCATACCCTCTGTACAGAGGAGGCCTTTGCCCAGCATAGGCATATGTATAGGTTGTTACTTTACTTTTTACATGTGTCAAACCTTTTTTATCATATTTTTTTTCAATGGAACGATAATATGAATGGATGAAACATTCTTCGAATTTGCTTATATAAATGTTCGGTTATTTATAGTCCTTTTAATGTGTAATAATGTTACTCGAGGCTACTGGATCATCTCCAATATTACAATTTTAAAACGATATTTAGTTAAAATGTATTCCAAAAAAAAAATCAATATTTAATTGCTTGTTAACCTGGGCTTTAGTATTTAACTGCTAGTTAGCCTGGGCTTTAGTATCTAACTACTCATTAATAATAACGCAAACGTTCGACCCGGAACAGCGAACGACGCGGGCGTGTTCAAGGCCGAGATCGAGCCGTTCACGGTGACCGTCAAGAGGAAGGAGGTGAGGGTGGAAGTGGACGAGCACCCCAGGCCGCAGACGACCCTGGAGGGCCTCAAGAAGCTGCCGCCCGTCTTCAAGAAGGAGGGCCTGGTCACCGCTGGAACGGCTTCGGTATGCCCAATCTTGAGCCCGACTTACACTGGTCAAGGGCAGTGGTGAGTGGCGGGCACCGGACAATTGTCGGGCTCATTTAAGTAGGTGCGTTTGTAGAAACGCAGGAGTTGTGCCACTACTTTACGCCGGTCTTCTGTGAGGTCGCGGTACTTACCCGGACGGACCTGTCCATTCGTACCATGCAACAGTGAACACCGTTGCGTGGTCTTATCACAGCTCGCTGGCCACGTACTCACATACAAAAAAACGTGGCCGGACCAACAGCACAGCCTGCTGCCATCCAGAACCGATTCGACCCCAAATTTTTTCCCAGGGTATAAGCGACGGCGCCGGCGCGCTGGTCCTCGCCAGCGAGGAGGCGGCCAAGAGTCTGAAGCCCCTGGCGCGGCTGGTGGGCTGGTCGTACGTGGGCGTGGACCCCAGCATTATGGGCATCGGCCCGGTGCCCGCCATCGAGAATCTTCTCAAGGCCACCAACATGACCCTAAACGACATTGACCTTGTCGAGGTAAGACGCAATCTCGCGCCGTAAGGCTGTGTGCTTTTTACCCGACCGCCGAAGGAGGGTAATGTTTGAGTGTACGTGACTATGTATATGTGCTTGTTTTGGCTTGCTATACAAAAAAAAACCTTTTTCACCTGAGTGAAATGCGGTACCATAAATTATCTTGATATGGTTCCTCGCGAAAAGTTATTTTTTTTTAATTTCAGTTTAATTTTTATTTTGTTACTGATTTACATTGTCTGGATTTTTCTGAAGCCAAGATTTTGATAATGGTCTGCCGTTGCGAGCATCACGGAAAGACTACTGAATAGATTAGAAGTATTAGATTTCATTTCAAAGTTTAGCCAGTTTATTTATTAGACACTTGGCCCTTATTCATAAAAATAAAATTGTGATATCTTCATCAAATCTAATGTATTGTTAAAGTTTTAAGAAACAACCATTTTTATAAGCAATACACCTTCACTGATGTGTATTGTTGCAGTGCGATATAAATTACATTGTTAATAAAATAGGCAATGCAGACGAAACCGTCATCATCTCCCTCTCTCTCTAATTTAAGAGCTAGTGCAGTATTGTATGCCCTCCATCCTACCATATTCAAAGCCCTTTCCCATACCTCTCTGTCATCATCATCATTTCAGCATTTTGAGTCCATTGCTGAACATAGGCCTCCCCAAAAAAAAACCCAACATTTATTTTTTCTTTAGTTCTATGATGAAAAGTAAATAAAATAACCAACGTTGTAAATAAAATAGGCGCAAGTATCAGCTAGTTTTGTGATGAAACTAGTGCCGTGGAATGACCAACTTATTGCTTATCCAGATCAACGAGGCGTTCGTGGCCCAGACCCTCTCCTGCGCCAAAGCCCTGAAGCTGGACCTGGAGAAGCTGAACGTGAACGGGGGCGCCACCGCGCTGGGCCACCCCCTCGCCGCGTCCGGCTCCCGAATCACGGCCCACCTCGTCCACGAACTGAGGTATGACGATATAGTGATATCCTTACTTCCTTACTAATATTATAAAGGCGAAAGTTTGTATGTATGGATGGATGTTCGTTACTCTTTCATGCAAATACTTCTGAATGGAATGGAATAGGAAATTATTAACTGGTATTTTATTTACATCCGTGATAGCTTGTATATATTTAGTTTAGTTAGTTAAGTCTTATTTTAGCCTATGTGCGTATCAACAGTATTAACCCTATTACCCTACACTTATACCCTTGCAATTATTTTGCGTTTAACTTGATCAAGCGGTAGACTTAATATAGACTGTGGGATTTTATTATACCTTACACTTTGCCTCATGAACGACCTATTTACTTTTTGTACACGAAACAATGGCCTAGTTAATTTGTTCTTATTTCTAGTATTTAATTTAATTTATGTCTGCATAATTATTGTCTGCTCCCTTCCATTCGGTATCGACTAAACTTTTTTAGAACAGAATTCATACAGTAATTGTAACTAAAAAGACCTTATAAAAGTCCCTCGTTTAAGTTTTCTTGTCCTTTTTATTTTATACGTAATTTAAAAAAAAAGTTGCATCATGCATCACCAATGAAATTACTAATTGCAGTTTTAAGTTTGCAACTTGTAAATTTTTGTAGATAAATAGACAAAATCTTTCAGCATCCCGGAGCATATATATACAAATTGTAGTTTTAAGTGCTGACTTATCACATGCTCTGCACATTTTACAAATAATAGATATAAAAAATTCGCAGACTGCCAATTCACAGTGGAGGCCTTGGCCCAGCAGTGGGACATGTATATGTTATTTTTTCTAGGTCGCAGTGGTCATGGGACTTAATACCAAACCTGTCTCACACAAAATACAAATACCTTACTTAAGTTAAATATTAATCAATATTTCTTTATCACAGACGTCGCGGTTTGAAACGCGCCATCGGCTCAGCGTGCATCGGAGGGGGCCAAGGAATCGCTCTCATGGTCGAGGCAGTTTAATAACCCTTCTGCCATAACTGTCCACGATTTGTTCTCCCTCTTGCACTCACTGCCACCCATTAAAGTGTTTGTCTGACTCTGTCTAACACCTAGAATGGTGCCGAGTTGTGGTTATAAGAATGTAAAGACTTGGTTACTAAGAGACTTGATAATTAGTTACTACCAGTAAATAGTTTCTTTTACGAGTTTGTCGTATAAAGGCCACTCCACAAAATCGAGAGAGACACAATTTGGAATTCAAGTATTTTATTACTGAGCAAAATGTTTATATATTAACAGTCAGATGTTTATATCAGACGGACATATAAACTTAAAACAAGTTTATATGATTTAGTATTATGATCTATTATATAGTTGGGAACAAGTCACTATTTTTATTATAATTCTATTTATATTTTTAAAATGTTTATTTATACTTTTACATAATAAATAATCATGGATATATTTATGCATGCACTCAGAGCATGTTCCTATAGATTTTATATACAATATTTGGATGGTGCTTAACATAAGGTTTTTAAGAGAATTTGTTGATATCACAGGTTTTTTTATATTGTACTAGCGTCCCGCCCCGGCTTCGCACGGGTATTTAACAAAAATTTTAAAACTAAAAATTATATTGTATTATAGTCTTAGGTGCATTGAACCAAACTGCTGATCCTATATTGGAAGAGTAAATAAATATAATTTTTTTTAATTACGTAAATGTACTTTTATTAAAATCCTATATTCCCTTGCCTTTTCCGACAATTCCTTTCATTATTACCTAATTTTCATACTTGTATATTAATGTAGAATTTGCCGAGTGGGGTCGCCCCAAAGCAAGTGCGATAAGATAGATAATTTTGATAAGTACTGAAAAATTGCTTATCAAAACGCTGAATATTATCAGTTGGATTTAAGATTCGATAATATTACTCAATTTTGTCTATATATTATTATTAAATGTTCTTGACATGAACTTACGGAAGGAAGGCTCAAGGTCATTATGTTAAAAGCTGCCAAACGAGTAGGTTCCCCGCCAAATATCGAAGACAAAAAACGTGGGGTGCTCTTTTGCCATATTTTTGCAATAACTCTTAAACTTATATGGAAAATTTTAAGTCAGTCCGGAGCACCCCATGCTGTTTACAGAAAATGATTTTTTAACTAATTTTTACTTCATAATTATCAAAATTTCTTAACTATATTTCATAATTATATTGTACTTTCGAATTGCAATTAAAGCGTGTTGTTTTTTTTTTTGTTTTATTTATTTATATTTTACACTCGAGACGAAACTTTGAAACGTGATTTTTTAACCGACTTCAAAAGGAGGAGGTTCTCAATTCGACTGTATTTTTTTTTAAATGTTTGTTACCTCCGAACTTTTGCCTGAGTGAACAGATTCTGATGATTCTTTTTTTATTTGAAAGCTTCACATGTGGTCCCATATTAGTCTCATTGGTATTGGATCATTTGTTCCGTAAGTATCTCACTTAGGGAAATCAATTATAAAATGAATACAGAGCAAGATATTTGAAGTTTGTTTTGTTTTTCGTTAATAACAAGTCATTTTGTAGACTAATGAATGCTCAAAAAATTTCAAGCTACGCCATTCGAATTTGAGCCTTCGGGCCCTGACACTTTACCTAAGTCATATTATATTATACTACTTAGTACTTTAATGCATTTTTAACAATGCATGGCGCCATCTAGTAGGCAATACAAAGTGTCAACGGTACGACAACGACTAACTGCATATAGTACTGTGGTTTAATGTCTGACTCCAAATTCCAAAGCGCAAAGATATGAGATAATCACCTTTTATCATTCTATGTTAAAAAGTGTTATTCGCCTGACGTGTTTGTTTGCGACGATAACGATTAAATAATATGGCTGTAGCTGTCAATAAAGGTATCTTTTTTGTTTTTTGAAATAAAATTTCTTTATGAATAACTGAGGGTTTAATAATTTGATAAAATGAGTGTCGCTGAAGTAGTAATTATATTGCAAGTAACAATAAATATTTTATCTGTGTATTGTTAGTTACTTTCTAATCGTCACTATTGCGTTAGGAAAAAAATATGAGAGTAAAATTTTTATGATGAGCGACCAACCCTCTAAAAGACATGATGCTTGGTAACCAATTTAATCTTGCCAATAAATAACCGACATTTTGAAATTTACCAATAATTCCAAGTTATTTATTTAAATTAACCATTATCGATAGCATTTAATATCTTCACGCTAAAGAACTATAAATTGTTAAGTCCGTACATAAGTACACATATATTTATTATAAATTTTTTTTTTAATAAGTAATAGCCTATATAAGTCCCACTGCTGGTCAAAGGCCACCTCTGTACAGAGGGTATTACGGCGTAGTCCACCACGCGGGATATATTTCGAAAATATGCAGGTTTCCTCACGATGTTTTCCTTTACCGCTAAGCACTAGATAAATCAGCACTTAATATAAATTGTTATTTAATTGGTGTCGGCACCGAGATTTGAACCCAGATAGCTCGGCCATGTTGAACTAAAAGCGAGCGCCCGGACAACGACCTATCACGGCTCTTTGTAATAATTATTGTATTGGAATAAATATCTCTTATTTATAGTAATTATTTACAAGGATATTTATAGAATTTTCCGGCTATAGAATTCTCTAAAACATGAAATCAGCTACAGGCAAATCCTCCTGGTAGAATTAATTTATTTTTGCAACAGCTGGGGTTTCCAATGTTAGGTTTGGAATTTGGAATTAAAGTCCCAATCGTTTTAGTGTTATTTTCAAATACACGATAAAGAGTTTACTGGCCGAGAATGTACCAAGCAGGGGCCAAGAACATTTAAAATTTACATATCTCTTACTTATTCATGCGAGAAGTGTGCGCGACTGCATTTAGTGTGAACTGCAACTTTTTTTTTTAATTTACGTATAAAATAAAAGGAATAAGAAAACTTAAGCGAGGGATTTTTATAAGGTCTTTTTAGTTGCAATTACTGTATGAATTCTATTCTAAAAAAGTTTAGTCGATACCGAATGGAAGGGAGCGGACAATAATTATGCAGACATAAATTAAATTAAATACTAGAAATAAGAACAAATTAACTAGGCCATTGTTTCGTGTACAAAAAATAAATAGGTCGTTCATGAGGCAAATTCTAAGGTATAATAAAATCCCACAGTCTATATTAAGTCTACAGCTTGATCAGGTTAATACTATTATAAGTTAATACTAATATACGCACATAGGCTAAAATTTGACTTAACTATACCTGTCCTATTATATTTTAAACTAATCGCTTTAAAAAAGAGCAACTTTTGAGTTTCTGCTCGGTTTCTTCTCAACAGAAACTGCTTTCCGAACCGTTGTTTACGAACATATTTATTTTTCCGTAAAATTTTACCGTTTCATAAGACCGCGCAAGCGTCAATGGAATGAATATACAGGGTGGCTTATTGGCAGGTTGTTTATTGAAATAAAAACAAACTTTTTTTTTCCAAAAAAATGCCATTCCATTCACTAAAAACCAGAACTTATTGACAATGCGCAGTCATTCATGAATGCGTCGTATACTTTTGAAACGAACTTGTGTGCATGTTAGTTATGAATGATCGCGCGTAAAATTAATGAGTTGCCCATAAATCACGCACTTTTTGAGATAAGTTTAAATGAATGTAATTAATTAATAACGAGTGATTTTAAATATTTATCATTTTTTATAGAACATTATTTATGTCTAGAATTTAATAACAAAATGGATACACTTAGCAAAGCCTCTTTGTATTTTGATTTGATTTGATTATGCGTAAAACTTATACGATTTTCAAACAGGCGTGTTCATCGTGGCGGCGAAACGGACACCATTTGGTAAATTCGGTGGTCTGTTGAAGGACGTGCATCCTTCGGACCTCTTAGCAGCCGCTGCCAAGGACGCTATTAAGGCGGGAAACATCTCCCCGGCAGCTATCGACACGGTCAATGTCGGGCAAGTGTACGTAGTAAGTATGTAAAGTTGTAAACGCTAAAAAGCAATTTAATGGGCCCTAAGTCCGATGAATCTTGAAAATGGAAGACAAAAGCAACAGATTATCTGATTTTTTTTTTTCTCTTTATTGTATTTAGGGACTTTTACACAAATATGCATATGTCAGTCCCATTGTACCTTATAACTAACATGTTCACAGAATGACTTATATTTCTAAGATTACTCATTGTCAAGGAAACGCAATTGTACAAATTTATATAAATAAAAAGCTGCCTTAGAGCTAAGTTTAGACAAAATATGGTGGAAAGTACCTACATCGAATAAATTTTATTTTAATAATTTGATTAAGTAATCACGGGCTAATTTATACCTCACACATTCTGTTAATATATGATTGAGTTAACAGATTATCTGATTAAAATTATAATAGAGTTCGACAATGGTTTTAAAGTCTGCGAGGGTTTTAAAATAAGGAAACTAGCCGTTCGGTATAGAAAAATAATCATTTACTATTTATTTTTTATATATTCATTGAGAAAATCATACGCCGCATAGATGTTTATGACTTTTACCGATTTCATAGGTGTGCTTAAAATTTTAGAAACGTTATATTAAATTAAAATAACAACATGATAAAACTCAAGTAAAAAATTAAATAAAATTAAAAGAGACATTACATTAAAATAAAATTAAAGTAAATAAAACAAATACTTACTTACTTACTTGGCTGGCTCAGCGACCCAAAGAGGATGTTGGCCTCCGACACGAAAAAACGCCACTGCTCTCTATTCTGGGCTGTTTCTTGCCAATTGGCTGATTGGAGAGCTCTCAGATCTTTTTGGACTTCGTCTTTCCAGCGATATCTGGGGCGACCAACAGGACGCTTCCCTTTTGGTTGCCCCATATATGCTGTCTTGACTGCAGGATCCTCCCCCATCCTCTCCAAGTGGCCGAGCCAACGCAGTCTCGCGGCTTTCGTTTCGCCGATTATGTTGGGTTCGGACACAAGATGTTCAATTTCCCTATTTTTCCGAATTCTCCAATTCCCATCCTCGTCTTTCACAAGTCCCAGAATTTTCCGCAAGATCTTGCGCTCCGCCACTAAGAGCGGATGCTCTTCCTTTAACGTCAGTGTCCAAGCTTCACAGCCATACATTAAGATAGGTCTGATCACCGTCTTATAGACACGTATCTTATAGCTTTCATGCTAATGAGCTTGGACACTAGGAGTTTGTGCAGGGCTGCTGTGCATCTTAGGGCGTAATAAAACAAATAATACTGTAAATTTAAAAATAATTAATTTATGTAAATAATATGTTTTGGGCTTACGATTGATAAGGAAACTTCGTATTTTACTGCCTTCAGTCTTCTCCAAAATGTTTTATGATTAGCTCGGCGGGGCTTCTGACGGAGGGCTCTCCCCGCGCCACGCCGCTCTCAAGTCCGGGGTCCCTCAGGAGAAACCTGCCCTTGGGGTCAACAGACTGTGTGGGTCCGGGTTCCAGGCCGTGGTGAACAGCGCTCAGGTAAGCTTAACTTCCAACCCTGTTCAGCTCGTAGAATTAGCGCATCTGCAAAAGGCGAAACTGGGTTCACGAGTAAATGGGAGGGGAGGCTGGCTGTCTAGTTAAATGTTTTAGAGCAAGGATGAGCAACGAATTTTATCGAATTTCCCCCATCAATATATTTTTATTAAATTAATTATAATGAAATGGTAGTACATACTGAACCGAAATATTTTTTGTTCGTTTTTCTGTTCTTTTCTTGTTTATTTTTACCTTGCATTAAAATTTGTAATATATGAAATCTTTACTTTTTTTAATTTTATATTTTTTTATTCTAATATAAATATTTTGTTTATTATAAATATTTTTTCGTAAAATATTGTGCGGCCCGCCAAAAAAATTTGAAATTTAAATTGGCCCATTGATTAAAAAGGTTGCTCACCTCTGTTTTAGAGAGGAATCTTACCTTTTCTTCTAATCTTTTCTTCCAAAGACTTAATTTTTCCAGTTGGCAGCCCTAGCCGCGCTTCTGCCCATGCTTGCGTTTTTAAACGGGAATTGTGTAAATCACTGAGCAATAAACTTGGGAACGGAGCGTGACCCCAATGACCGTTCACTGTATTAACCCTTAGCTGGAGCGATGAAAACCGCCATGACACATATTTACAGGGTGATTTTTTAGACGAAGTACATACTTTGACTTTGTCGTAGCGGTAATTGAGCATTTCATAATTCAAATAAAATATTAATATTTTATTTTGACAAGAAATAACCAGAAAAATATCAATTCAAACATTGTTTGTTTATCCCGTTAAGAGATCCTATTGATAAGTGGTTTTGTAATTATGGGTTCAGCGAAAAGTTTTAGTGCACGCGAATACATATATTCTTAAGGTGTGTATGTTTGAAATAATTAAAAATAACCTTTGAAAAAAAATCGGGTCACAAGTACGTACCGGATTCAGATTTAGAATCAAACTCTGCGTTTGCCACATTAATATGTCCGTCGTCTATAAAATCAGCCGGTGCAACTCGCAGGACATACTGTCGGGAGCGGCGAAGGTGTCCCTAGCGGGGGGCACCGAGAGCATGTCGTCCGTGCCCTTCGTCGTCAGGGATGTCCGTTTCGGGACCCAGCTGGGGGCGAGGTTCGAGTTCGAGGACTCCCTGAACAAGGGCTCCCTGGACACCTTCTGCGGCTTCACCATGCCGGAGACCGCGGAGAACGTGGCGGAGCGGTACGCCTTGAAGCGGCAGGAGGTGGACGACTACGCAACTCTATCTCAGCAGCGTTGGAAGAGAGGTTCGATATGATGATTACATATAGATGTATATCATGTCATATATGTATAATTTTGTATGTGTTATATAACTGTTATCATAATGTATGTATACATATTATATAAAATATTTACCTTATATAGCTAACGCCTACAATTCTCTCTCATTAAATTTCCGGTTGGCTGGTAGAAAATGCCTTATGGCGTTAAGCCCACCGTTTGTACCGGTTAGTGCAAGAAAGTGTGCAAATAAATAAATAAATATGACGAAGGTATATAAGAGGTATTAGAAGTCGGTTTCGTTTTTCTTTAAAAAAATATGGACTTTTTTTTTTAATTGCAGCATTTATTTATTTATTTACACTTTTTTACACCAGAAATAAAGAAATATATATATAAAAAGCAAATTACAAATGAATATAAAAGGAAGTACAATAAGCGGTCTTAGCGCTCAGAAAGCGATTTCTTCCAGACAACCATTGCGACAACAATTATTGCTAATGAGACGTAAAGATGAGAGCAGTGAGAGTTGTACATGAATCACTTATAAACATCGGTTGAAGGCATTTTTGCATCAATGAGGTAGGTAGTCAAAGATTTTCGGGAAAAATTGGAAAAGAAAAAGGAAAGCATGTGTTCATAGTTCCAAGTAATGAGCTTTTAATAGGTTTTTAAAAGAAAGAATTGACTTAGCTTGTCGAATGTGAAGGGGCAAAGAGTTTCCTTTTATGTATTACTATTTTTTTTTTGTTAAACTTAGTTTTTTGTTACGTGCGTCTCTTTTCTAGAATTAAATATCTTATCCTTTAAACGTGCAATTCTAGTGTATATATATATATATACAGCGTGTCGTTACCATCGCGACAATAAATGAACACACATATAGGGGATAACTTTTTAAAGTTGTATTAAACATATTTTTTTTATTATGGATTTTGTTTAACGTTAATGTTTTTTTATGATTATTGGCAAGTAGCGTTAGACGTGTGTTCATTTATAGTCGCGATGGTAACGACACGCTGTATACATACATATATATATATATATATTTATTCCATATACAGCGTGTATATATATCATATACGTTATATATATATGTATATATTTATATACATATAAATATATATATGGAAACGGCTCCAGCGATTTTCATGAAATTTAGTATGTGCGTAGATTCGGGGGCGAAAAATCGATGTAGCTAGAAAAATATCATTCGTATATGACAGTAAATTTCAAAAAACATTTCAAAAAAAAAGCTCGGTCGGTAATCGGGCGGCTCCAAAACAGACGGCCGCGGTTCGTATCACGATCATTTACACACTTATTTTTTTACTCTTTTTTCTAGACCCGATCATTTTTTATTTTTTTTATTTGCAAAATACATGATTTACGAAAAAAAGGGTCCTCCAGGTACCAACTCCTTATTGTCTTTTTAAATTTTTGCCAGCACACGACAGTGGGGTGTTCAAGGCGGAGCTCACTCCCTTAACAGTGAAGGTCCGGAGGCAAGAAGTTGTCGTGGACAAGGACGAGCACCCGCGCCCCGAAACTACGGCCGAGGGCCTCGCCAAGCTGCCGGCCCTGTTTAGGAAAGGCGGCGTTCAGACTGCTGGCAACTCGTCTGTGAGTTCGACCTCTCGCGATCCCATCGTACTTTATCTTTTTTTTTATGTGACAAAAGTTCTTATTGATTAAAACGACACCACCTTCTGTCATCGTGACCTTGGTGTCGTGCAACAAATAAATTCATCCTCATCATCAAATCAATAAGTATAACTTAAGTGCTAATTAAATTAAACTATTGCGTCTTCTTTAAGGGCGTGAACGACGGCGCTGGTGCTCTAATCCTGGCTAGCGAGGAGGCGGTTAAGGAGCACCAGTTAGCCCCCCTGGCACGGCTGGTGGGCTGGTCGTACGTGGGCGTGGACCCCAGCATTATGGGCATCGGCCCGGTGCCGGCCATCGAGAATCTTCTCAAGGCCACCAACATGACCCTCAACGACATTGACCTTGTCGAGGTAAGTGATGATATTATTGATATATAATCATGATTGTCTGCAAGCCCCTGGTTGGGCCACGACCCTACAGAAGACCGGCGTCGTGAGAAAACCTGCATATGTGAAGTCCGCCAATTCGTAGGGGGGTCGCGTGGTAGACTATGCCCTATAACCCTTTGTACAGAGTAGGCATTTGCACAACAGTGTTTAGGGATATATATAGGCTATTACTTTAGGGCCTCTGCACGGCGTCTGCTGTTGTACTAATGGGCAGGGTCGTCAATTTTTAAAGATTGGCAACGCATCTACGACCTTCCAGTACTTATAATGTCCATAGGCGGCGGCATTCACTTAACATCCGGTGAATCATCTGAGAGTCGTAAAGTCACGAATATGTTTATAAGAAAATGATTACGTCGGTCGTACAGCATGGAAAACTGAGTTTACTATTAAGTTAAAAAAAGACACGGAGTCTGATTTAGGACATTAGACGACAAATGCCATTCGATAGGGGACCATCGGTGTAAATAGTATTGCCATATTGTTCAGTATTAATGTGACGAGAGCGTAAGAGAAACGCAATGAAAGTATTGATCAACTTCTTCCACAGATAAACGAGGCGTTCTCGGCTCAGACCTTGGCGTGTGTTAAGGCCCTGGGCCTGGACACTCAGCGGCTGAACGTGAACGGGGGCGCGATTGCGATGGGACACCCTGTAGGCGCCTCGGGGGCAAGAATAACGGCGCATTTGGCGCACGAACTTAGGTCAGCCGGGTATAAAAATCTCTGATAGAAGCTTTCACTTATTTAATCATGTCGACAGAAATATGTTGCTCTACCCACGTGTCAAATTCAAATATCTTCATTCAGGCATTATACTTATTGATTCAAAAAGGTATAAAAAAAAGTCACTGATCTGAGAAGAACCGGCGAAAGAAATCGGCGGGGCAGTTCCTCTGTCAGTTCTCTCACTACGCAAAAACAAATATGCAAATGAAAATTACGCCATGCTGCAGTAATAACTATAGTATAATAGTATAGTATCTCTACAAATGTTACTTAAATGTGATTCTTTGTAGATGTACCAATTCTACCTAGAGCCTGAAGCAGCAAGTTGATAAAATAACTTTACACTCTGCACAGATGACTGCACTCTGCACATAATTTAATCTACACCATCTGTTTCACAGACGGAGAGGCCTTAAAAACGCGATCGGCTCTGCCTGCATCGGCGGCGGTCAAGGCATCGCTGTTCTCCTGCAAAGCGTTTAGATGTGACTTCTATTCCACGATGTATATTGTCATTGCGAAAACCCGTGAAAAAAGTTCTACTGTCAAATAGACGAACTCACTCGTCAATTTATTATAAAAGAGGCAAAAGAAAATGTAACCTCGATGACAACCGTTACGGCGGAAAATTAAAATTGTATTTATTACAACAAATGTTAATACATTATAATTATGGTGCTATATTTGGCTTACCAATTCCCATCCTATCATATGTGCTGTTTGTTTGTATCCCCGCAGTAATTTAGGTTCAGAACACGACAATAGCTAATCTGAAATAATTTTTCACTGCAGCTTATTTGCATCTTAATCGGCCAGGACAATAATATTTTTTTAAATACAGAGTGTCGTTACCATCGCAACAATAAATAAACACACATATAAGGGATAACTTTCTAAAGTTGTATTAAATATTTAAATTCTTTAAACATCAATATTTACAGAGTTATTAAATTTTCCAAAACAAATAATTTTAGAACATCCTTACATATAAAAGCGTAACGTAAAGTTCATTTGTAAAGGTCACAAAGCATATGAATGGGTTGAATGAATTTAAAAGAGACGAAACATACTGTTACAAGGAGAGGCTTGTAATACGACGCTGTGGCGCGAATTGTATAGGATGTTACAAATTTTATTTCTTTTTCACTTAATTATTTTGTTTGGAAAATATATTTTTTTACTTATGGATTTCGTTTAACGTTAATATTTTTTTATGATTATTGGCAAGTAGCGTTAGACGTGTGTTCATTTATTGTCGCGATGTTAACGACACGCTGTATATTTTTTTGTAATATTTTTCAATATGATACATTAATTAAATTGTATAGAATAGAAGAGTTCATCGAAATTAATATGTGTCTGTTAACACTTATCTATTGAGTCTACGTTTTACATACTTAAAATTTCACGTGGACAAACACCCTGATCCGAAACAACTATCACAATTAACAACAATTATAACAATTGTCACATAAATAGTTGTCCCGTGTGGGAACCGAACCCACGAACCTAGCTTAGCTTGGCAACTGCGCCACGGAGTCATCAGGTAGTTGGAACTTATCATCGTACAGGGCTTGGTGATAAGATCATCGCCGTGCACCGGATTATGTTTACACATATTTTTATTCGCAGACCATCCAACTCTCTGCTTGATCAAAATGATCTCCTTAATGATCAGAGACCAGAGTGATAAATTCAAATACTTTAACCATCCTTTTGGCAACTCAAATAACATTTGAAAAGCAATTTGACAGAAGGTTAATTAACTTCTACGATCTACGACGATCGGTGTTTCAGAAACCGGGCGTTAGCGCCTAAATAATATTTTTAGGTTATAAAACATTTTTTACCAAAATGTCTAGGATGAGGACGTATAAAACATATGTCATGAAGCATGTATATAAGTGTGAATAACTGGAATAAATGACGAATAAAACACTTCATAAAATGCAGAGTAATTTTTATATAAGTAAACAAAAAGATCATTAGGTTTATCACAATGTTCTGATAAGAGATATTATCGCTCCTACGGTAACCACTTGCCGTATAGTTTGCCGGTGACAACACAAATATTTTATATTTCATCACCTAATTCTCGCTTTCACTTTTGCTAGATAGGTACATATATTTTCCTGAAAATCGGTTACCTGGTCATGGCGCTTAAAACAAAAGGTAAGTTTATTAAGACTTGTTTGACAATTAACAAATGAGAAGAGTTGTATTCAGTCTGTGTTATTAATGAATAGTGTTCGATACTAAAATCATGTTTATTGTTTTCTTTTTTATCTTAAATCGAGTTGGTTAGTTTTTTATAATATATTATTAAATATGTAGGTACTACATTACGATTTTGATAAGATATCCTATAATATCTGTAAAATACTTAACGTCATCTGCTGATGACTGATAATCTAATATTGCAATATGTTGTATCTTGTATTATGTTGAATGATTCGTTGAATGCTATAATAAAAAATAACCTCATCAAGCTCCAATCTAGGCATGGGCAAACATGTCGATATATAAAAATATTGATATTTTTCTATACAATAATTGATATATATATATATAGTCGATATTTTTTATCGCGATTAATTCCAGTCAGATAATAGCTACCGATCGAGCCGAGGTCCGGCCCTCTCGGGCACCCTCGAATCGGAATGCTGAATGCGTGTTGAGTGACAGCCCAAGCCGAGGTCCCCTCTCGGGGACCCTTGAACCTGATCACTCCATGGAGCGCCCGCCAAAGCGCCCTAAGAGCTTGGCGGCCTCCCAAACCGGTGATAATAATAGCGTGACGGCCCGAGCCGAGGCTCCCCCGGGAGCCCTCGAGCTTAGTCACCATAACGCGTAATAATAATAATACGCCGAGGTTCAGGAGGCGCCTAAATTTGGTTTCGTGTTTAATGTTACTAGGTACTCTTTGCTCATTGCTCCTCGTGCATCGTTAACTTAAAAAAAAACTTTTCAAATATTTTCTTCATCTATTTTTTATTGCCCATCCCTACTCCAATCACAAAACGCAATTTTAAAAATATATTATACTATAAAAAAAACGAAATTTTTAAAAATGTTCTTTAGGGATCGATATATTTTGATGTTATCAAACTCCCTTTTGTAAATTAACTCCGTTAAGAAAAAGATATCTTTGAGCACTTAATATTTGTTATTTATTAAAAATGGAATTGAACAACTCATAAAATATACTTTTTGACTATAAAATTCCTGTATAAGTAATTATTTCCTTTTTTATTTATTTTAGGTCTTTTCGTCATTGGGGCCAAACGAACGCCATTTTGTAACTATGGTGGACCTCTCAAAGAAGTGACTGCCTCGCATATTTTTGCCGCTGCAGCAAAAGATGCTATTGATTCTGCCAACATTAAGTCTGATATTATAGATTCTACAGTAGTGGGGAATATAAACTTTGTGAGATTTAATTTTTTTTATTTAAAAACAAGCAACAGGCTAACAAGATGACACAGTATATCTTTTAGTGTCTCCTTCGGCTTCAATATTCAAAGTTTTCTTGCTATCATTTAATGAATAATCAGCAATAGTATTCGAAAGTATATATTTTTCATATATTTTCTTATACGATTTCGAAAAATAATTGCAGCTCAGTCAGTGCGATGGCGGAAAGACTCCTAGGTACTGTGGGTCCTACTCGGGCGTTCCAATAGAACGACCGGCGTTAGGGGTCAATAAGGCTTGCGGGACAGGTTTACAGGCAGTGGTTTCTGGCGGCATGGTAAGCCAGTGCTAATTTTTGTCTTATTCTTTCTGATCTGGATGTTTTGTTAAATAAAAAATCAAGTAGTCCGTACAACAGAAGAAATCTTAGAAAAGTAAAGTTTCCTATTTAAAAAAACTATACACCTACCAAATAAATTCCATCTGTAATATTATTAAAGTGTGATCGGCCACTTGTAAAGGCAAACCAGATAATATTTACGCAAATGTAATACGTCGCCATAGGTAATGTTTAACGGAGTGAGTAAACTGTTTTCCTTAGTTTAGCTACGTGGTCCTAGATCTTTTAAATTATTTACAACAAACGCTGTTAAACGAATAAACTAGAATTGCGTGCCATCGAAATGTGGTTAGCAGCCAGTTTCGCCACGAGTGGTTTCCAGTTTCGTTCTGTTTGCAGGATATCTTAACTGGATCGGCTAAGGTGTGTCTTGTTGGTGGCACTGAGCTAATGTCGTCCCTTCCCATGCTGGTTAGGAACGTTCGGTTCGGGACTATTCTAGGTGCGAAGTACCAAATGGAAGACCATATAAAAAGACAGCTAGTAGACAGCTTTTGCGGGTTGGGCATGGACGAGATAGCGGAAAATTTAGCAAAACGATATAAGTTCTCCAGGGAAGCTGTCGATCGATATGCATTGGAGAGTCACTTGAAATGTACTTCAGGTTTGTTGTAAAAGTATTTAATAATATTTACGGTATCTAGTAAAAAGCATGATTGCCTCGTTTCGTTTAACCTAAAACAATGTGACTCCGTGGCGCAGTCACCAAGGCATTGGCTTCGGCGTCGCGGGTCGTGGGTTCGATTCCCACACGGGACAACTATTTGTGCGACCCACAGATAGTTGTTTCGCATCTGGGTGTTTGTTTAACGTGAAATTTATGTTTGTAAAACGTCCCTACAACACAGGATAATGTTATCCTAAAGTAAGGGCAATGTTTTTTTAAAATGAAAGAAAGAAAGAAAGAATGTGCAAAAATAACAGTCCCACATTTTACCTTACAGACCTTCTCTCCTGTCACGTCTTTTATGCTACTGTCTTTAATGTCTTTAATGCGATACCATTAACTATCTCTGTCGTCGCCTTTAAAATAAAAATCTCTATATGTTTTGTTTTCTTTTGAGAATACTCCTCGTGTTTTCTTTCACCGACAAGCAAGTGACGAATCAATTTGGTTTGATCAATCATTGGTGCCGGCGCTGGGGCTGGTACTCACGTTGCTCGAAATAATGTTTTAAAAAGCTAACGCTAGTAACAACTGACATGAGAAAATTACATGATTAAAATTCCTAAATGAACTACAGTGCTATTTATTTCATTTCAGCTGCAGAACAGACAATATTCGAGGACGAAATCACCCCTGTATTAAACAGTGATAATGAAGAAATTGTTGCGAAAGATGACATTCCGCAAACGGATTTAACTTTATCCGAACTAGCTGCGCTGCCTTTGGCGTTAAACGGCGGTTCTGTCGTCACTTCTGGTAACTCTTCGGTATGAAATTTAGATTTTAAAAGTTATAATTTTGTCGGTAAACGGCGGTTCTGTCGTCATTTCTGGTAACTCTTCGGTATGAAATTTAGATTTTAAAAGTTATAATTTTGTCAAAAATTCATTTCGACGCTGTTTTGGCAATAGACAAAGGATCTTTATGTATCGGAAGGACGCAATGGCGGTTTTTACATTCGACAGTACTCGCACAGATTTTAAAAATTATTTATCGAAGCGAATGAAAGGTTTTCGAGTGGCAGACGCTTACTCCCATCCCTGTGCCCCCGCACGGCCGTAGCTAGGGGGGGGGGGGGGGGGGCATTGTAGGGCAATGCCCTACCTTAAAATCACAATGCCCTACCTTAAAAATACCAAAATAAAAATGCGTAAATATGACCACGTTTTTCAATTTCGTACACGTCTCAAGTGATTTCCCATCCTACTTCGCCGGAATTTGTATATTCTTTCTATGTTGTACCTACTGTGTTCTATTTCATGTTTCTACTCCACTTTATTTAAAGGAGAAATTTGAATTTGTAGGGCTTCTAGGGGAAGATCCTACCTTCTTCGAGGAAGCTCATTTTAAAGGTGCCAAACCACAAAAAACGTAATTTTTTGAAAAATCTTTTACCGCACAGGCTGTTAAACTCTACTACTGCATTATATACTATACTATTGCACAACCTACGTAGTAAAGTTCCTTTACGCCATTGGTTGCCTGGAAGAGATCGCTATGAAGTGATACGGCCGCCAAATTGTGAATTCCATTAATTTGTTTGTCTATTGTTAATTTTGTGTATCCTCTTTTGTGTGGTGGACAATAAAGTACTCATTCAAAAACTAAGATACATTATTGTAATAAAAATTGTAGCGATAGGTATCTCAACTTTTCCGAACATACTACAGTTTGTCAAAATCAAAATAATTTATTTATGGACTTAGGAAACATAAATACATTTCATCTATCGATAGTATTTTTTTAATCTACCACCGTTTCATCATGAGGTTCCTCTAACGGAGAAGAAACAGGCGAAAGAAACTCCGCAGGTATCCTCTTATTCGTAATTTTTTTCTTAAAAAATTAAAATATTATACAGCTGTTTTTTTTTCTTTCTTGTAGAAATAGCTTGGGTGCGATCAACTCATTACCGTGTGTGGCATTCATTTCATATTCTAATAATTCTTTGTTCTGTGTACTCGTATAAAAAAGTACCTGGAGGACCGAGCTTTGCTCGTTTTTTTTTTGGTAAATAATGTATTTTGGAAATAAAAAAAAAATAAAGAAAGCAGTGATCAGGTATAGAAAAAACAGTAAAAAAAATAAGTGTGTGATCGTGATACGAACCGCGGCCGTCTGTTTTGGGGCCGCCCGATTATCGACCGAGCTATTATAAAAAAATTTTTTGCGGCGAAATTTACCGTCATATTCGAATGATATTTTTTCATTCCCTGAAAACAGGGATAAAAGGACATTTTCTAAAAATGAAACAGATAGATCGATGCTTCGCCTCCGAATCTGCGCACATACTAAATTTCATGAAAATCGCTGGAGCCGTTTCCGAGATTCCGTTTATATATATGTATACACAAGAATTGCTCGTTTAAAGGATAAAATAATAATAAAATAGGCATTTGAATGATGATGATCTAATCAATTCGATTGCAAGTCTCGATGAATTGGATGTAGATAAAATGCTTCCACTGAAAAGTTTGGGTAAGTTTAAAAAATTTAATAATTCAAGTAAGCTAGTGTGGTTAAAGTTTACTAGAGTCGTAACGAGGACAAAATGGAAAATACATTGCAAGTGTTGTACAGGCAACGAGAGGCGTTTAAAGATACATATGAACTTTTTGCATCTGTGGCGACCATAGGATGTAGCACTGCAGTGTGCAAATCTACGTTTTCAACTTTAACTGCAATCAATAGGCCTCAAAGGCTGTCAAAAAAAAAGGACAAAATCAGTTGATCTAAAGGAAGTTCTTCGCATTTTTAATAAATAACATGGCGAATCGAAGAATTCAGCTGTGTTAAATATTTTTATTATTATGTTAATTATTATACTAGGTCTGCAGAAACAATTTGATGTAAGTGGTATTTTTGGTCGTATCATCTCATCCAAAAATTAATTATTACCTCACTCTCACTCAGACGTGGATCTCTACATCCAAAGCTGGAAGATCAACCATCTTGTTCGCTTATTCTTCATCATGCTCATGTTCTGCCACAGAAATTATTTGTCTACGAATAGCCATTGAACTGACCTAGAGGTAAGTGAAATACATGATGTTTGATTTAGGAGCTCATGCTAGTTGGGGCAAATATCCCTTTATGGCCAACCGCTCCCCTGGGAGATAAAGGTCAAATACTTAGGAGTCACTTTCGACTCGCGTATGTCATTTAATACGCACATTAATAACGTTCGCAATAGAGCCACGTTCTTCTCCGGCCGGCTACACAATTTAACTAACGCTAAAAGTAAAATGCCCATAAGGCACAAGTTATTATTATATAAAACCTGCGTACGATCTATTATGTCCTACGCATGCATGACCTTCGCCCACACGCACCCTACTCGCTTGTACAAATTGCAAATAGTACAAAATAAGTTCATACCCCGCGCAACCGGTGCGCAGTGGTATCAACGCAACGTCGACCTGCACAGCGATTACAGACTCCCGACGATTCGCGAATATTTTAAAGACCTGACCAAACGGTTCTTCGATAGAGCCGAACATCATCCCAACCCTCTGGTGGTAAGCGCAGCAAATTACCAACCCGACACAAACGCGAACGTCAACAAGCGTCGCCCGCGAAACGTCCTCATCGACCCGGTCGAGGAAGGGGACTTAGATACGCCGGACCCACCGCCGGGGGTCCCGCCGGATAACACTACACCCACAGTTAGTGCAACAACAAACATACTAGTTCGCCCTCGCCTCCGAGCACGGCGAGACCAACACAACGCGTACACAAGGTACACCCGCGTTCCGGGGCGGTTCTCACCGCTCCCAGCCACCGATTAGCTAAATGCACAGTCGACGGCCATCGGGGTTTCGGTCCGAACCGCGACCTCGATGGCCCTTAGATGAGACACCATAGTTAAACGCACGCATGAGCACATGCGTGGCCCTACCCACAGCAGAGGGCCCAAACCCGTGGGTTCTGGCTAGCCCACCGGTTCTGCGTCAGATGAAGCTTTAATAGTTTCAGTAAAAACGTCAGTTAATACAAGATACAAGAAGGAGCTCATGCTTCGAGGGCAAATCGATTATGATAAATTTAATTTAATTGTTTACTTCCGCCCTACCTGTAATCAATGCTGCCCTACCTCAAATTCAACTCTAGCTACAGCCCTGTGCCCCCGTCGTATGGTGCCGTTTTATGGTGTGACGTAAGTGTGGGGAAAATCAACGAAACAGAGGCTCAGGATCGGGCTTTCATGTCCTATAAGGCCTATATTTTGAAGTGGACACAATCACGTTCAAATGATAATGGTGATGATGTAGTGTAGTGGACTTCTATCACGTCACAATGCAACTCATAGAAACCAATAATTTAATAACAGCAAGCAATCAAGCTACCAGTAAAACCGCAGTTTAACTGCGGTAGAGGCACGTAACAGCTTTGGTTTTTGTACAAATGTGCAGGTCCGTCAGGTTACGACGGACACGACCTAACAGAAAACCGGTGTGAAGTGCAAGTGTATTCTTCTATATTTACGTGTATTAAAACTGTATACATATGTGAGTAAGGTAGTAGGGGCCTACTTTATTATAAGGTGGTAACGCGACTGCAACACTACGGGTGTTGCAAATGTCCATGGGCAGCAGTTATTACTTAACATCAAGTGAAACGCCAGCTCGTTTACCACATTCTCATATAAAAAATAACAATTACTGTTAATAAAAGCAGTAAATGTACCATTTTAATAACCACACCACGTCGATAGATATTATATTTATGTTGCCATAATCGACGAACGGAAAATGTCAAAACAGCTGATGCATTCCTTTAGGTGCCGGCAGATGGCGCGGCGGCGCTGATCTTAGCTAATGAGGAGTCGGTAAACAATCATCAGCTGACGCCGCTGGCCAGACTGACGGCGTGGGCAACTGTTGGCGTGAATCCGACGGAAGCTGGTCTAGGGGCCGTCCTCGCTGTCCAGAAACTGCTCGCCGCGACCGAAAAGAAGATACAGGACGTTGATTTGTTCGAGGTACGAAGCGTATATACGAGTTAAGTTCTGAATTACATTTTTAAAGACCGCCAACGCTGCTTCCGTTGCCGGTTTCAAAATATAATTCAAAATATAATTCTAATCAAATCAATTGCGAACTTCTATTCTAAAACACCCGGCGATTGACGCTAAAATTTAGGAAAGTGCTAGAGAGTTTTCATTTGAAAGATTAAGAGTGCAGATTTTATTTTTAAATTACTAATTTTACATTTATTATTTATTCCTTTACGTGCTTGAATCAAACAGTTTTTATGAATTTATTAATAGCTATTCACACATCTGTTGCTAAATGTATGCATTTTTTTTAGAGAATATGATTTACCTACTTAGGTAAATCATATTCTCTATTCTTGTGTGGTTTCGAAACGATTGCTGCTGGGAAAATCCCTCCTATATGCAAAGGATATTAGGATATAGTCCACCACGCGACCCCAATGCTAATAGACAGATTACACATGTTACGTGTTAAATACGATAAAACTGTCTGTATTGAAAAACACAAACATCTTGACTTCTGCAACAGATAAACGAAACATTCGCTTCACAAGCGATGGCTATAATCGAAGAACTGAAAGTAGAGAGCAATAAGGTGAACATCAGCGGAGGCGCATTGTCCATTGGCCATCCTGTGGCCGCCACAGGGGCTAGAATGGCAACACATTTGGCACACCGGATACGGTAAAAACTTCGCATATACCTTACTGTATATTGCTTAATAGCAATTTATCGAAAATAGGATCAAGTAAATACTAAATACCCAAAATTATAGTACAGGGTATATAGTAGAGTTTTATGTGTAACAGTGTGTAGTATACAGGTGATTTTATATACGACGGACATATTAACGGAGCGTATGCAGAATTTGATTCTTAATTCCGATTAAGTATCGATCGTTCGATGTGGTAAGTTTTTTTTGCAAACATTATTTTTAATTTTTTCAAACATTATGGATACCCTATCAGTAATTACTGCTTTACCGTCTCAATACAATAACCTATTCACACGCACTAAAACTGTTCGCTGAACGCATAATTACTAAACCGTTTATCAATAGGGTGACCACTCTTAACGGGATAAGCAAACAATATTTGAATTTCTATATTTTTAGTTATTTCTGGTCAAAATAAAATATTAATATTTTTTTCGAATTATGAAATGCTCAATTAACATTATGTCATAGTATGTACTTCGTCTGAAAAATCACCCTGTATAGTGCATAAATTTTAAAATAGCATTTATCAATCACGTTTCGGAAACGAGCTCAAACTGCGCAATTATGAGCGATTGCGTACGTCTACACTACGGATATGTCTCTTTTTCACTTAGGAATATTTTTAAACGCCGTAGATACCGAGCAAAATTAGAATTACGAAGTAAGGATCACTAGTCACGTCTGCTTCTTATTTAAATAAAATATTAAAACTCGGCAGTTGAACTAGAAAGTCTGGCAATACTTTGCGTGCAACATTTATTTTATGCACATGTTATAAAAAGTTAACATTTTTACTTATAGGATACACAGATAATAATTATGGAGTGCAGCGATAAGGACTTACATAGGGATAAGATAATTCAGATTAAAAATGTCCAGTGATCAATAATAAGCTAATAAGCAACAGTTTTGTAGGATATTAGTTTTAAATATATATTAATATCCTATAAAAACTAATTTTAATTTTTAAAGTGTCATTCTATGCATTTGAAACGAAAAAAAAAAAAAAAAATATACAAAAATGGACGAAGTTTTTCATCACTGCGAGTATTTGAACTTACGTCCTCTCACATCTGGGATACGCGCCCGACGCTCTAACTACTGAGCTAAACGGCTATCTTCACATCTTCCTGTTTTAAGCAAATACCCACCGGAATAGCGCTAGCGTAGCAAAGGTATATGACTATCTGTCTAACCAAGTTGAATTTTTAGTCGATAACCACGATATCTATTAATTCATCACCACTGCCTTGTGTTCACTTGCTGTTCCACCAATTTCAACGGTTTTCGACGGTCTCCGACGGTCGGAACTCCTCTTCCCCCGCGACTCTTCGGTAGCAGAAGATAGGGAGAGTGGCTCCGCCCCTACCACCCTCGACCTGTCCCCTGCACCCTCCAGCACGCATCCAGAGTGGGCTCAATGAGCCCACTCGGAGCGGCCCTCTCGGGGTGGTGTGGGTTCCTCTTAGTTTCGCCGTGGGTCATGACCAAGCCACGGCTTCTAAGATCCACCGCCACGGCAAGACGGGAACCCGGTTGGAGAGGTTTTTTGATTCTAATTCCTATTAATTAATATCCTATTTTATCTTTTGTGATACTGAAGAATGTGAGCTGACTGCAAGTTAGCCTTTGATGGAGCCATTGAACTAAAATTGGAATTGGAAATAGATTTAACTCTTATACAATAAGAATGTATCATTGCAGAAGGAATAAGGCGAGGATAGCAGTGGCTGCTTCGAGTTGCGGCGGCGGGCAAGGCATTGCTATCATGTTGGAGTCTGCATAATCTCAAATAGAAAGATACAGTGTCTCTATCTTTGACCATGAATATTAGAGCAAATATTCAATAATTTTTTCATCAATGTTTTTCACTGGTAAAATAATCAGTTAGTATTAAAAGAAATATACAAACTGCCATTAGTTAAAAAAAATAAACAGTTATAAAAAACTTTCCATATATTTTATTGGCGTAATAATCAAAATTAGCTTATAAATATGTGCAACTTACAAGTACCTTATATAAATTTTAAAAATGATCTCATCTTGTTAAAATCATTTGCCAGTTCTTGTTTTAGGCAAGTGTTGATGAGTTTGTTTGCTAAGACTAAAGTATTTAAAACCTAGTCACCTATTAAGCAATAGGCCAGGTTTGTTATTAAAATGAATATAATATTCATCAAAATAAATATTTTAACAGTGTAAAGAATCATATTGCAGTATTGAAATTTTGTAAGTATTATAAATAAAGCAATTTCTTACCTTGTTCTATATTCTATCAGTGATCCATCTAATTTATAACACATTAATACATGTTCTATTAATTTTCATCATTATTTAAATGATAAAACATAATAATTTAAGGACATTTCAACAGTATATAAAAATTATGGTTTCAGCAACAAAACCAATGATCAGATTTTAGGTCTAGAATATAAATACATATATCTATAAATAAAATTTATTAAGTCAATGTTTCTCCTTTTGTTACCTGAAAATGAAATAAATAAATATCAATACATTATATTATTATTCATTATATACACAAACTTCTTTCCTATAAGATACCCTTTTATAAAATGTTTTTCAGAGAATAGAATAAATTTTACTTTCATTTGTTTCGGATCTTCACAATAGTAAGACTGCAGTTTCATCTATGTATATACAATGTGGCGGGTGCTTCTACCGCAACCATAAATTAACACACATATATTTTAGAGGATAACTTTTTAAAATTACATTAGACATTTACTTTCTTTAAAAATCAATATGTCCAGAGTTATTAAAATTTCTAAAACAATTTTAGAACAACCATACAAATAAAACTGTAACATAAAGTTTAATTGTAAAGGTCAAAAATCAAATGAATTGATTTAATGAATGAAAGTCTCTGAATGTATGAATCAGTCAGTTGTAGTTGTATAGGGTGCTACAAATTTTTTTAAGTGTTAAAAATTTATTTATTTATTTTGTTTTAAAATTATTATTTTTTAATTACAGAGTTTTCTAATGTTTATATTTGTGGCCTTTAATGCAAATTGCATATTAAACGCATTTAAACATTTCGAAGTCATTGGCTTACCTTTACAATATTTTCCAGTGATATGGTAAAGTAAAAGGTATGTCTTATAAATGCCATTCATTACAAAGGCAGAGTTTGTATCTGGGTTGCATAATAATATAAAAGCATGGGTGTTAGACCCAGATTTAAAAGGTCAGACAATGCTATAAATTACATAAAAATTTATTTATTTTCTACCCAATATTTACAACATTAAAATTAACTAAATTACATATTATCTAATAAACCTAGTTCATGCGGCACTGTGCCACAAATGTTTGACCTTTGATGAGAGATTAAACGAGTAAGCTACACAACAACATGAAAAATAAATAATTTATACTCACACAGGCTTCCAAGTAGTCTATTTTTCTCTCCAGTGAGGTTAATTTTTCATTCAAAGTGGCAAGACGGGACCGACAAGACATATCTACAATGAAGAATGAATCTTTATGATGTAATGATGTTATAAAGAATAAAAAGAAATGCCAAACTTGATATGTTAACCATCCCCAATATTTAAAACATAGCATTATAGTATTTAATCCAAAAGACATTAGTAGTAAAATGGGATAGTGAGAAGGTGGAAAGTGAGCTGGCGGTTCACCTGTTGTTAAGTTATAATTGCGGTCCTTGGACCGACATTTGCAACACCTGTAAGCTACAGACAACAACATTGCCACTGTTGCTACCTTCTAATAAAGTGGGGCCCCGACTACCTCACTCAACTGACGAAACGTAGAAGTATGATGTACACTTCCACTTCACGCCAGTCTTCTGTGAGGTCGTGGTCCATACGTGGACGGACCTTTCCATTCGTGTAACAACCGATGCTGCTGTGTGGGCCTTCCACAATTATACAGGGATTTAGAAAATCGTAATACGTTTTCGTGTTACTTACCAAAAGAATTCAGGAAATCAGTAATTTTTTTAATACTTCCCGTGATTACTTCAATATATTCTCTGTTAGCCCAATCCTGTTGTATTTGTTTTTGAATAGTTTCTCGAGGGGGTGTCGACATTTTATTTAAGTATAATCGTTTCACGTAATACTGTACAAAAACTAACTTTCAAGAAACTGCACTAATCTACAATAGACAATTACCACAAAAATCACAAAATTTCATTATTATTATTATTGATATCATGACAAACAATATGACATCAACGATTTAAAATTAAAAAAAACTACTAGACACTAGATTATGCAACGTTCTGCCGTTGCCTACCTTGCGGCCTTGCGCATCCTTTTCCTAATCCTATTTTTTAGACATTTCGTCATGTTGTAGGACTTGTTAGGTTTATAATTTATAAATAAGACAAACAGATACATTAAATACAATATAACTATAGATATGTATTAGATAAGAATTCAAATAACACAAATAATAGATAATGAATAAATATTAAGATCCAAATCCCAATCAGTTGAAAACCCTCGGTAAGGAGAACAGACGGATAAAAGCGTGGAAGGGAAAGAAATCGGCAAATGCTGTGGTCTGTATCGAGGAGCACCGCCTTCTGCATTTGAGTTCGGAGGAGTCTATCACGGAGACTTAGTTGCAGGTGTTCTGAGAGGCTGAATGAGATTGACCCAATCTCAGAAACAGAAAAGACACCACGCTGCTCCACATGTCGCTCACCTCACAAACTATTTCCCGATATATTGTATTCTTGTTTGTCTATTTCAGTTTTCGTGAGGTTCTTATCAAATGGAATGGTAATGTTCATTAAAATATCCGCGGCTGTGTCTGGTCGACCAACATGATATTAAGATTGATCGCGAGAATCGTTCTGTTCGATTCTCAGTAATTTTTGAAGACGGCCTCCGGAGTGTTCGTGCAATAAAGCAGTCTTTGATCCACGACACCGTATCTCAGAGAGAGCTCTGGATATGAGAGCTTGGCTAGTAGGTTGTACGCAGTTACAGACTATTTTCTTCTTTCTTCATATGTTTATGCGAGAGAAACGCCTACGCATACCCGCCCTCGGGCATTTACAAGTCCTTCGGGGATCAACTATTTTGCATGGACAATGAAGCTCTCCAAGATCGCTGACCAGGTGCCATTGGAGCCAGGAGATCCAATGTAAATAATTATTCTCCCCCGCAGCCTGGTCGAAGCGGATGCAGTTAGAGTGCATATAAAAACGAGAGTTAAAACGACTCAAGCACAAGCTCAGCTTTAGGGCGTGTCTCCGATTAAGTTGTCTGTGTTTATAACGTGTTTATTCATCACACAAATAAAACCCAAAGGGGTCACTGAAACAGTAACAGTATTAATTTTATTATATTAACAATAGAGCCGTGTAGAAACTTCCAAGCACTTCATCCCTCCATTCGGTCTTCCAGTCGAACAGGCCTTGTACTCCATGTTATTTCATTGCTCGTTGGCCAAGGAATAAGAGACAAGCCCTTCATTACAGCTGATGACGTCTGTATAGATTGATTCTGATTTTGCTTCGTTAGGGCATTTTTTTAAAAGGCACCGCCTGACACACTTCCATGGTCACCCACAGCTAGTGTAAAAACAGACACAATAGTACGCCCTCGCCACCAAGCACGGCGAGACCTGCACAACGCGTACACTAGGTAGACCCGCGTTCGGGGGCGGTTCTCACCCGCCCCCCCAACGATTAGCTAAAAACATAGTCGACGGCCATCGGGGTCCCGGTCCGAACCGCAACCTCGATGGCCCTTAGATGACATACTATAGTTAAACGCACGCATGACCACATGCGCGGCCCTACCCACAGCGGAGGGCCTAAACCCGTGGATTCTGGCTAGCCACCGGTTCTGCGACAGATGATGCTTTAATAGTCTCCGGACTGACAGCAAAAACATCAGTTAATACAAGATACAAGACTTCCATGGCAAGTATAGCCTCATCTCTGGCCATCTCGGATGATGCATCCGTTGGGACGTCAAAGTGGTGCAAACTTCCATGAAGTTAATATCGATTTGACTCCTCCTGAAAATGACAAGTCTAAATGAGAAATGATAAATGGCTATTAAAAACTTTTGTCAGGCGTATAAAAGACACGTCACGAAATACTTTTTCATGCTAGTCTCATTCTAATTTTGACTAAAATTTGCATAATAAATTGTGTTTGAGTAAATCAATAGCACAACGCAGCGACAATAATTTTATGTCCATAAAACGTTACGTTTATGTTGGTAAATGTTAATGTCATAGATGAGACATATATACTGAAATTATACTGAATATAACTGGTTAATGTACTGCTGAGAATACCGGAAACAGCTGTTAATTTGACACTGACAGTGATTAAAATATTCAGGTTACTAATTTAAACGTGTAGTTTTATCAAACTGAACTGGTCTGTTTGGGATTTTATATTCAAGAATAAATTAACGTGTGGGGATGGATGAAATCGAGTACAAAATAAAAACAAATAATAGTGTTTTAATAGTAAATGCCATAGATAAGTTAATATGTACAATAAAATCTAAATATAAACCAGCTGAACGACAAAAATTCGTATTGGAGAATGAAGAACTCAAATTTCTTAGAGACAAATGTTCCTCAGAGAACACTCTCGTGAGCCTTACGGCATATCAAGGACTGTTAGCTTTGGTAGAGCTTGGAGTTCTTGAGATTGGGCACACTATGTCTACCGTCATTACTTTACTTCCCAGTGCTCAGTAAGTTTTACTGATAGTAAAATGATTATTGATGCTAAAATAAGTCTTATACATGTATTCTATGCCATAAATTAAGTTTATTATAAGATATGCAAAAATACAACAAAAATGGGTTGAAGACAATTAATTTTTGTTATAATTTTGCAAGTCGCCACTATTTCAAATATCCTTTACAGTTTAGATTATGCTGCCTTATTTAACTCTGAATTGCCTTTTTTATGTAGATATAAAACAATTTTTTTTATCTTCATAAATATACATGAAATAAGATGGACATAAACTCAGATAAATAATTTGTGACCTGCACCATTTTACAAATATTTATCTGGGATAGATTATTGCTCAGCAATAAAAAAAACTAGTTACTTCAAAACCTAATTTATAAATTGAAAATGGGGTAAATCATGTTTTTACCCCATTTTTAACAAAAATCTAAAAAAATATGTAAGTTAAATAGGTATGTTGAACAAATTTGGAACTAAAATTAGATTTTTTTAATTTTTGTAGACCCAAGTATTGTAGACATTCTTTGAATTGATATAGATGTTTTTTTCAGCAATTATACATAATGCCAACCCTTACAAATAGCTCAATACTTAGCAAGTTACGGAGCACACTCATACTATGTGACCCATTTTTGACAATTAACTTGCTCTTCCTTGATAACAATCCGTAGTATATGAAAAGATTTTTTTTCAAACAGAAAACAAACTCTGGCCTGTACTATCTTCTTCTTTCCTTTCTTTACCAGTTTTCAATGAATATGCCAGTGTGAAATGTTAATTCTGACACCCTGTAAGTTATTATACAACACCGTTGAACAAGCTAATATTATAATGTACCCAGTGGACAAAGGTTCAAATACTCGTAGCGGCAAAAACTTTGTCCATTTCACTACAATACACCTTAAGAGATTTAGGCATTTCAATATATGTATAGAGAGTAAATAACTAATTTCTTTATGAATTTCTTAAACAGTAATTCCTTTTTAAGCAATTACTCGGCTACAATTTCAACAATGGCCGGGCTATTAGTCCTTGATCTCCGTTCGCGTCTTATACCGGGCCAGGTATACAAGTGTCAATTCTCACTCAAGTCGCCCCAACATCCTCTCATTTCCGTACTGCAGAAAAATAAGGATGCCGAAGATGATGTCCTTGCACAGATGCATGCCTTATGCACACACCCTGAGTACAAGTAAGGTCTTGTTGCGTTTTTATAAATTTATCTCTTGATATATTTTTTGCTTAGGAACAGTGAACAAATAAATAATTTTATATTGGTTTTGAAAATAGTTTGTTCTTAATATAATTATTATTGACTTTCCTATCACATTTTAAGTGTTCAGTGATAGCATCCACTGTAAATTATTTATTAAAGGAAAAATTTTTGTTCATTTAAAATAATAATCAAAGTTTAAGTAGTAAACAAATGTTAAATTCATAGCTCCATTGAATGTATAATCAGTGAAAATTTGGTTGATTCCAGGATATCATCAAACAGCTTAGAGCTCCTGCGATCCGTTTTCTTCTGGCTAACATGTAACCCTCAATGGACAAGCAAAAATGTCAGACCATGGCAACTGTTGCTAAGTTTGCCACAAACTCCAGCTCAGACTTCTCTTCTGCTTGATTGTATCAGCTGTCAACAGGTTTCTTTTTTATTAATAGAATAAGTAGGAGCAATAAGAATGATAAAGTCTTCAAATGACTTTTAGAAAACATGCCACATAATTCAAAACTGAGTATAATGAATAGGAAATATGTTTAAATGTGTCAATGCAAATGTATTTAATTATGAATTAAATATGCAAACAGTTAGATATACATACACAACATATAATGAATATTCATAATGTTTAAAATAAAGACACACTTGTTTTCAGGGTGTTACATACATAGGATATACCCAGTGGCTACAATATTGTGAGATTTCTCTTCACCAAATTAGGTAATAGAAGGGAATTCTTTGGAATGTAAAAAAATGGAAAAAAAGGTAGTAATACACGTTTTTCTAGCATGCAAATGAAAAACCACTAAAATTTAAACTGTCATTGGCAATATTTAATTTGGTAGGGCCACTTAACAAGTTTGTTGTTTCATCCATGGGCAGGCTCGTCTGGGGAATTACCACAGCCTGACAGAAGAATGGCGTGAAGAGAAGGTATTAAGCATTCGTGTTTCATCAGGTAAAATAGGTCACTAAGCCCTCAGGTGTTGGAGGTGTAGATGGGTGGTTCACTTAACATTAGGTGAACCACCTGCTTGCTGACCACTTTTCACATAAAAAAATTAATGTTTTTCTTTAAAATACCGAACTGTGGTGTCGTTTTACTTCTTTGTCATTTGCACATATAGTACTTATTTCTATGACATATAAACTATATCTCTGAAGGGTTAATCTGAAAATATTTTGTGAGGCAACTGTGCTTTCTATTTTTAAAAAATCGACAACAAACGTGGTGGCATAAAACATGGGTGGCAGTAAATACTTAACACCAGGTGAATTGTCAGTTCAATTGCCGACTTTTCACGTGACTGCTGGTGTTGTACAATTAAGGAAACTCCATCGATCGGATCTCCCGCAGATCTGCAACCCTAAGCAGTTGGAGAGGGCCTTCGCTGCGTACAGCATGGTGGTAGACGCGGCGATATACCAGCAGCGGCGGGAACACCTAATCGCGTTCCTCCCAATGCTCGCGAGGATATCCAACGAAATGCTGAAGCACGGGTGAGTACATCGCTGCGTCCCCTTCTCTCCTTCCTGTTCTCTCGCAGACTTTTGGCAGACGGTGGTAGGGCTAGCAGCAGCCTCGGCTGTGGCACGAATGGGTAGGCCCGTCCGGGTAAGTACCATAACCTCACAGAAGGCCAGCGTAAAGTCGAAGTATGACATATACTTTCGCGTTTCGTCTGGTGAGTGAGGTAGCTGGAGCCCAATTTTCAAAAGGTTGTCAGCGCATCTGTAACCCTCGGGTGTAGCAGATGTCCATGGGCGGCGGTATTCACTTACCGTCAGGTGAACCGTCTGCTCGTTTGGCAACTTTTCGCATAAAAAAAGAAAGGCTGTCGCTATCCATCGCGTCTGGGGAAAACATCTCGACCAGCTATTAGCTTTCTCGTGTTTTCTCACAGGCTGTCTCTTTCATCCAGCGTGGGGAAAACATCTAAGTTTACGCGTCCAGCAACTAGTTATATTGCTCGCTTTAGCAAATAGCTGATAGTAAGCCATTGTAAAACAGCAAGCGGACATATAACATACTATTTATTTATCTATTGAAACTTCATTGTCACACCTGGGGCTAAGGGCGGATTTAATGCCTAACGGCATTCTCTACCAGTCAACCCTTGTCATGGTGGAAAGTAGGTGGCAGTTGCTAAACCGAAGAGTAAATATAAGAAATAAATAAATATCATCGAACTCATACTATGTTCAAAGTAACGGCCAAGTTGTTGACGTTAAAAGGCGGGAGATGTGACATCGATAGTGTGGAGACACGATTGGCGTCACTTCGTTCTTTTGCTAACAGCCGGGACCCGCGCGCCTGCTACAGCCTAATTGAGAGGTGTTTCTCTTTGGATGTGCCGGAGCTGAGGAATGTAGCCGGATTGACCCTGCTCCTTCTAGCGGAGAACCTGAGCCGCAGCTCCGCTCTGTACCTCCACGAGCTCTTCAATTTGGGTAAGCGTGGGGCGGGATCGCAAATAGTTTATAGATAAATTTAACACCAGATTTTTGACAATTAACGTACAAAAATGATTCTGTGACACATTTTTTTTGACAGAGTTATCGGCTAGCTACATGTCGCTGATTAATTTCTTTTCGCTCTCATTTTTCCCTAACGCATCGAAAGAAGTCAAGTGACAGCCCCAGGGCGACTGCTGGGGAAATGCCTCCTCTGTACATAGTTGAAGCGACCCCACTGCGGATTGGCGGACTTTGCATATTTTAGAAACAATTTTTGTTATCACTTCGAAGATGTGCAGGTTTGCCCACGGTGACCTTCAGCAAGAGAAGCTAATCCAAACACCCCCCACCAGGCCTGCACGTGATGAATAAGCACGAATGCCCGTCGATGAGCGTGAACTCCTTCGCGGCTCTGTCCCTGCAATGGCTGAGGTTCCCCTCGCACCTCACTGCCAGCGCGCTGGCGGCGGGCGCTCGGCTGCTGGACGCCTCCCGCGCGGCGAGGGGGGGCGGAGGCCTGAGGGCGGCGAACCTCAGAGGGAACCCCGCCTTCGGGGCGTTCGCCCTCAGCGACGCGGCCCTGGGCGCCGCCTTCAAGCTGGCCGAGACGTGGGAGCGCCTCGAGGCTGACCCTGGACGGCTCCTGAGCTGGCTCTCCTCGCTGTGCGACGCCGTGCGGCTGCAGCTGGTGCCGTTCTTCGCCGGTCTACTGCTGGAGGGGGACCCCCGTCTGGAGCGGGTGACGGTGGAGGCGGTGAAGGTTCTAGTGCGGCTGGTGGAAGCGAGGAAGGACGTGGCGGTGGCAGCCCTGCCGGTTCTACAGTACGCCGTGGCCAACGACCGCAGGCCGTGTGTACAGCTCGAGTGCTTGAAGGCCCTGCCCCTTATGGCCAAAACAAAGGTAGGGTCCTTTTGCCTCTTAACGGTTTCCCCGGTTACCTCACTCAGCGGAAGAATAAAATTACTGTTGGTATCTAATTCTGTGCGTCTGGGCGGGAATCTGGAAGACGTGGGTTCGATTCCCGCAGTGGCGAGAGGCTTTTCCTCCTTTTTTTCTATGAATTGTTTTAATGCCAAATACATACATAGTTTGATTTTACTTTTATAACGATTTCAGGAGAATATACCCACAATAGTCTCCATACTGAACAAATTGAAGGCCAACAGGGGTGTCCCAACTTCTCTACTGATCGTGTTGTACACGAGCTTGGCTGAGACGCAGGTGATGTTCAATATTGTCATCAGTGCTTGTTTTTAACCGATTTTTAACCGTGGCAGGGCCACGCAACAGTACCACGACCTTACAGTAGACCGGCGTGAGGTGTTGTGTGGAATTATTTATTTATTTATTTATATATTTATTGTACACAAAACACAGGATACAAAAAAAAATAATAAAAAGAAAATAATGTACAAAAGGTAAGCTTAACTCAATATGTAAGTTCTCTGCCAGCTAACCTGGTGAGAAAATAGGTGAATTGATCAGAATGATCTTAATGCTCAGAATGATCAATTCAAAGAGTTTAACCATCCATTCGGCAACTTAAATGACACTCGAAAAGCCATTTGACAGCTGATTAGGTTAACGTTTACGATGATCACAGTGTTTAAGAAACCGGGCGTTAGTCTAGTTTTAGGCCAGTTTATCGATGAGTATTATTATTATTTGTTTAATTCATTCTGTATATTATTCACAATTGTGTATAATTGTGTATGTTGTAGGTGCGCTGTTTCCCCTACCTGCAGGAGTTGTTGGTGGACACCGGCGTGGGGAGGCCCTCTGACCCCAAGTGGGAGGTGGACCTGGCGAAAGCGTCAGCCGTCAAGCGCATCTGCGAGCTAAGGTCATACACCATATTGTTTTAATAGTAAGGTTTTTAGGGTTCCGTACCCAAAGCGTAAAACGGGACCCTATTGCTAAGACTTCGCTGTCTATCTGTCCGTCTGTCACCAGACTGTTTCTCATGAACCGTGGTAGTTAGACAGTTGAAATTTTCACAGATTTCACTCTGGGTACGGAACCCTAAAAATATATAGGTATTAGGAAGACACGTGTAATCCGCCAATACGCAATAGTTACGCGGTGATTTACGTCCTAATACTCTCTGACCCGAGGAAACCTTTGCTGAATACGTATATGCGTTTCTGAAGTCATACTTTTTTGGCGCTTTTGGGAAAAATGATAACAGATGGAAAAATGATTTTCACGATGCGCGCGCCAACTTCCTGTTTACCATGGCAACCGATAACAGCTTTTTGGCATTTAATTCCAAGTTATTCAATTAAACCGTTATCGATTGCATTCAATGTATTATTTTCACAGACTGAAGAGTAATGAGGCCTAGAAGATTAAATTATTAGTAATTTTTCTATTGTCTCGCTCAAGAAGTATAACTTCTTACGTACTATCCCACCTAGGTGGGGTCGGCACAGGGGTCGGCACTTACAACATGATTTTTGTGATTATGTTTTATACGACCCACCACTTACCTGATGTCAACCCGGGAAACAAACATCCAGATCCGGAACAATTGTCTGTGGTCACAGATCACATAAATACTTGCCTGTGTTGAATCGAACTGGGGTCGGGCCCCAGACGCCGTCACACTCGTCATATTATATAGCTATACATATAAGGAGAGGAACAGGTTTTTACTGAGCTAGCGCGCTTACCATCAACCAGCCACTCAACATCGTGTGGCAGTCAAGCGCTGGCCGGTTTGGAATACTTTTAATGCTGGCCAGTTCTTTTTTTTAAAAACAATAAGTTGACACGCCCTTTTTTATGTATTTTTTTTAAACGTGCCTTTGACGAGTCCCGCTCGCCGCCGCAGGCCGTCGAGCCACGGGCTGGAGCTGGTGTCCGTGATATCGGCGCTGCTGAACAAGTGCACGGACAGGGGAGGGGCGCTGGCCACCTGCCTCGCGCTGGGCGCGCTGGGGGCGCTGTGGCAGGGGGCGGCCGTGGCGCCCCCCGGCGCGTGGCGGGCGCTCGAGCCGCGCCTCGGCCGCGACCAGCGCCCCGCCGTGCAGATCGGGTGGGTCACGTCTGGTGGGGGTCGGGTGACCTTCGGCGGTCCGACCCGGGAGGTCGCTAGACCTTTGAGGCGACCGACAAAGGTTACAGTTCTGCATTTTGACCTTCGAAACTACCCTTGACTTTAAAAGGTCGTCTGGCCTCTTATCCTTGTATATGTCAATCTACTGGTATTCAAAAAACACACTACCTCGACACATTGACTATCAAAGATCAATTCAGATCGTTTAGGATTACTTATAATAATTTGGCTTCGGAAGGTCACGCGACACTTAGCGTCTAAGTTGCGTCTGCCAGTAGAGTGAGTAGTACACCTTTTTCGTGCATCTTTATCGGCCAATGTGTGATGTCCAAATGCATATACGTCACGACTTTACCCCGCAATATTAGAGTTTCAATGGGATTTACGAGTGTCACAATCTCGTGGAGCACCGATTTGAAACGGAAGTAATGTTTTTAATATGAAAAAAAGGGGGAAAACGGACAGGAGGCCCACCTGATGGGAAGTGATCACCACAGCTCATGAACATCTGCAACATTGGCGTTGGATCCTTTCAGGAACACTTTCAGGCCACGCCTTTGCGACGGTCAAACAGACAGACAGAGTGCAAAACGCAGTGCATTTCAGGCTGTGCCGTCTGCTGGCGCTGGTGCCTCCGCTGCGCACCGACTCGGCGGAGTACGATCGGCTGGTGCAGGAGGCGAGCGCGCGGCTGTGGCAGCGCGTGGCGGACGCTCACCACCCGGAGGTGGCAGAGGCCGCCTGCCACGCCCTCGCCGCCTTCCGCCTCGACGACTTCCGGCTGGCGGACCTCCCGGAGGTGGGGACCGGAATCGTCCTTTGGCAAATACATCCATTTCCGGGTCGCATTAGTAGTAAATAACATTAGCGCGTGCTAGAATGAAGAGAGAGAATCGATTGGACGTAACGCTTTCCGCCAACTCACCTACCGCTAGTCGTAGTTAGGATCTTCGTTCTAAAGCACACATACATTTTTATTTTTTTGTTTAATTTTATGCGAAAGGTTGTCAAACGAGCAGACGGTTCACCTGATGTTAAGTGAATACCGCCGCCCATGGACATCTGCCACGCCCGAGGGGTGCAGACGCGTTGAAAACCTTTTGAAAATTGGGCTCCGGCTACCTCACTCACCAGGCGAAACACGAAAGTATTTGTCATACTTCCACTTTACTCTGGTCTTCTGTGAGGTCGTGGTACTTACCCGGACGGGCCTGCCCATTCGTGCAACAGCCGAGGCTGCAGCGTGGCCCTACCACCGTTAAAACATTATACATACATTATACATACATACATACATTTGACTTAATATTATAATCTGTCAATGTTAATTTATAGTCACATAACAACAAATAAACGCAGTAGAGATATCAGTTCGCTTAGAGCTTACTTTTTCAACTACAATATGTACTAAACGATACATTATAAGTAAAACAAAGCGTAATAACTTCTTGGATTTTATTAATATTATATCTCATATGAGTAAACCAATGTTTGTTGAATCCTTCATTACTTATAGGACTGATAAAAGGAATTGACTTCATTACTTAATACTTTTTACTCTTGACTTAATATATATTTTGCCCGATAAAAGGCTGGTTGGAAGAAATAAGTTTTAGTAAGAAGAAATCGGCATGGAATTGTTAACCACTTTTATCATGTTTCCATTATCTTTTACTCAGTGTGAAATGAGGTCTATTTATTTTGCTATTGAGCCAATCCGTGTATAATCTCCAGATATACAGACAGACGGTTAAGTTGCCGCCCTCATATTGTAAGACGCCCGCCGACGCCGCCAGGAAACCGGAGGAGGTGCTCGATTACATACCAAGTGAGTCCAAGAAGCATCGTCATCGATATAATCATCTTCGCCGTTATCATTGTCACCTTTATCACCATTATCACCTTCACCATCACCATTATCACCTTCACCATCATCATCTTCACCATCACCATCTTTATCATCATCATCATACTTTAGTAGTCCGCTGCTGGATGTAAACACTCACACTAAACGCTATACAAAGATGCATATCTACCTGAAATCACCCGTATATGTTAAATGAGGTCGTAGAAATGAGGTAATAGTCTCAAGGTTGCAGAATGGGGCATGGTATTCCCAGCCGGTCGCAAAAGGTGAATAAAAGGGTATTTATACAAAAAACAAAGGGTGAGTTTGTGAACCCACAAATTTGTGATTTTTGTGGGTTCACAAAAAGTTTCTGATCATGTGTACTCTGATCGTGCACAAGAGTATTATTTATAAATAAATAAAATTAATAAATATTTCAGGATATATTTTTGCACAACGCTACCTAGTCCCAAACTAAGCTAGGCTTGTACTACGAATAGCCCCATACCTATCATAATTTGTTTGTAATCTTATGGTAGGGGTTTGCTAGTAAGGAACTCTTTTTAGGGTTAAGCTAGACTTAATACGTTTTTTTAACCTTAACTTTGTTTTCGATTTAATTTTGCGTACAATAAAGAATAAAAGAATAAAGGGTTCTAGATAACTGATAAAAGTACTTAACACATTTTTCTTTTGAAAATAAATACATAGTATAGATACATTAACACCCAGACACTAGAAAAACACGATGTTCATCACACAATACTTTTTCACTAGCGCAGGCGCAGGAGGAGATGTTTAACCTTAACTGATAACGCTCCGTTCCTATATTCACAAAACGTGTCGTTTTCCTTACGAGCCGTTACATTAACTACGGATAGTAGTTAGGTACTACCGTTCCTATAATCTACGAGCTGATGTGTGTTATGAAAGTAACGTCACTATGGATAGGGGGGCATCGTTAAGTGTCTCACTGACGGACGCTCGTTACCATTAACCGACGTAAAAAGTTGTGGAACGCTAGTTAACGCCTCGGTGCTCGTAATCAAGAAACGGACAGTGGCCGTTAGTAACGGCCGCTCGTTCTGCTGCTTGCAGGCGAGGTGTGGCCGGAGGTGTTCCGCTGCACGAACCAGTCGTGCCTAGAGGGCGTGCGGGTGCTGGCGGCAGGGCTGCTCAGGCGCGAGCTGGCCGCGTACCGCGGCGGCGCGTACGCGCTGGCGGCCCGCGGAGAGCCGCTCGACTACGCGCACCTGCCAAGGGCGAGCGTCGCGCGCGGCCTCTTCGACTGCCTCAGGCGGCAGGTGGCTCATTTTCTCTTATTTATTTATTTAAACTAAAACCACATATATATTGGACAATCGCATACACATTTGATATTGCTGATACATATGAAAATAACGGTGCGTGTTTTTGTTATAGGAGTTTATTTCTAAACCTCTCAATGTTTTCAAATAGAATGGATTTTTGTTAGCAGCTCTTTAAATCTATTCAGACTGCATTGAAATATGTCTACATCGGCTATTGGTTTAACTAAATTGTCTTATAAGTGGGTAGTTATTTTATTAAAAGGTGGCAACATAAGGTTGCAGATGTATTGGCAACTTTTAATAAAATTGACCCCGATTACTATTCACTAGATGAAACGCGGAAGTATAAGGGGCACTGACTTCTGTAATACAGGGTAACCTACCAAGAGTTCGACAATATTGTTACCATGTCTTATTTTTATAAATACCATTATTATAATTGCTCTCTTTTTTATATTATAACACTACTGTGTACTGAAGCAAAGAATGTTGTATGGTAGGTCAGATATACCAAAAGTCCATTCAATATATGCGGGTAATCTGAACAAACAATGGTATGTCTTCGTCACCAGGTGATATCACCCTCGTACGACTTCCCCGAGGAGGCGATCCTCTGTGTTCTGGAGACGCTAGGGCTGGAGTACCCCAAGCCGCTGCCGCCGGTGGACCTGGCCTTCCTGCAGGACGCGATGAGGAGGAGCGGCAGGTGGCGCCAGGGCTGCCTGCGGCTGGCGGCGCGCCAGGCCCAGGTCTCGCCCTCCGCCAGGAGACTGCTGGATGCCTTCCTGGAGGCGGTACAGTCGGCCAAGTGCGAGGTGAGTTCGATTCGGTGATTTTTTCGCTGTTGGTAGTGCCAACCTCTTGCGCTAGAGGGTGTGGGTACGATCCTCGTTACTGGAAAAATATTGTATGATGAACATAGTGTCTTTCTAATGTGTGGATGTTTATATATGTATAGTGTTTATTTATTTACAAAAGAAAAGTATGTTTAAGTTTTTATAAGCATCACATGTTCACTGATGTGTGTTTTGTTGCCATGGAGAAGTGGGGCAAGCGGCTAGTTGTAAAACTTATCAATATGTAATACCGAAGAATATAATCAAAACATAATTTTCTTTCTTCAAGGAGACTGACATCTTGCTGATGTTCGAGTGCCTGCCCATACTGTGCCGCGGGATGCCGCCGAACAGCCTTCGGGGGCCGATAGAGCAGTGCTTGTCCGACGCCTTCCATTCGCTGGCCAAGCCGAAGCCTCTCGGAAGGGCGCTAGAGGTCAAAGAGGCGAAAGAGGCCAAAGAGGCCAAAGAGGTGGACGACGCGCAGCCGCTTCTCGTCCGGCAGCTGCGCCACATAGAGCGGTGTCTCGAGAGCGACAAAATACACGACGCCAACAGGACCCTGCTGTCGCAGATCGTGGAGACCTACTTCGGCGTCATCCCAGACGACAGTGTCGTGAGTATATGGAGAAAAAATCAAAGAAAGAAAAGCTATTTATTTGGCATCAAAATGAGAGATTGGATACGAGTATAACAAAATAATCTAAAAAAAAAAGAACGTCAAAAATTTTATGATAAAGTGGGCTCCGGCTACTTCACTCATCAGACGATCAAGTATAACATTTCCACTTCACGCCGGTCTTCCGCGAGGTCGTGGTACTCACCCGGACGGAGCTGCCCATTAGTGCAACAGCTAAGGCTGCTGAGTGGCCCTACCACCGTAACTGCCGGTTACTTTACTTTTTTTCACTGATACGTCATGCGCGGCGGCAGGCGTGGGGCGCGTACGTGTCGTGCTGCCGGCGGCTGGGCGGGTCGTACCTGGAGCGGATGACGTCACCGAGCAGCTGGTGGGAGGTGAGCGGCGCGCTGGTGCGCAAGTCGTGCTCGGTGCGGGCCGCCCTGGCGGCGCTGGCCGACTGCGGCGCCCCCCTCGCGTGGCTCAACGACCTGGTCGACGCGTGCGCCCCCCTGCTAGAGTGAGTGCTCGTGTGTGCCTGTGTGCGTGTTTTACGTGACAAGTAGCCTTTCGCCGCTGTAGCGCCCCACTGTGAGGCTGTGTATGGATGTGTCAGCGAGAAAGAGTGGGCTTGGCGTATTCTTAAGAAAGCGCTTTCGATCGTGTGTGTGTGTGTGTATCTATCAACGAGAAAGTGTGGGTATGATGTGTTCATATTTGAAAGAACACGCCGTTCTATGGGCGTGTGTGCGTGCCCCCTGTTCATATGTCGTTTGCGCATGTGTGGGTGGATGTATGTAGGCGTATGTGCGAAAGCGGCTGTTTGCACACGGGCGTGGGATTGTAGGTAAGACGTATTCTTAATAACGCAGTCTTGCATGTGTGTGCGTACGTGCAGAATCGTTCCAGCTATGCCAGCCGGCGCCGGATGACGGTTTTAAGTTATAGTTCGCAGTAGAAAAAGTTTCTCTTAGTATATTTTGTATTGAATAACAAATTAACGTTTCAGTGACAGATACTGACTACAGTCCGTAGTGAGTTTGCGTGGTGGTTTTTGGCAGAAATGGAATGCGTGTATTTAACATTGGCTTCTTGTCAAGATCCATCAAATATTGCATGGAGCTTGTGTTTTGAATTGCCTTTTACATATTGGGACTTGGTTCATTGAAACTTTTTTTACCATTAGATGGTGACTCATTCGTATTCTGATGCAGGGAGCAGGAGTATTCGTTGCGCTGTATGATGCCGGCGCTTCGACACGTGGACCCTGATGCTGATTCCACCAAGCAGTGGTTCGTTCAGCTGATGGGGCGCACTCAGGCCGCTTTTAAGGAGTAAGGATGTTTATACAGTTTTTGTGAAACGAAGTTGTATAATAAGCGGTAAAGTAAAGTAAGCCTATACATGTCCCACCGCTGGGCAAAGGCCTATGTACATAGGGCATAGTCCTCGACCAGCCCCACTGTTAAGTCAGCACTTAAAATCAACAAATTTAATTGGTGCCGGCACAGCGGATCGAACTCGGGTTGCTCGAGTGTATTGAATTAAAGGCGAGCGCCCGGATACTGAACTACACTCGTTTCTCTATGTCATTGATGTACTGAATGTAATATGGAAAATATTAATAGAGAGACAAACAAAGAGATGTGTTATAGTGCTGTATACACATGGAGTACTAATGCCCGAAGCTTCTTTATATTGCATTTATAATATTTAAAGAAGCGTTTAGTATCATTCTATCTCACTCTTATCTGCGTGGTAATCATTTATTTATTTAAAGAACGCCAACATAATGTACACTATTTAAGACTAAGGAAATTAAATATACATCAACTGTTTGTTATTGTCATTACAATTAAAGGCGCTGACGCTTGCAATATAATGGGCGAAAAAAATATAGTTAAAATTGTTTTTATTTATTACAAAATCTAAAATTAATCCGAAAATTAATCATCAGTGTCTTATTGAATCAGGACCGAGGAGGAATTCGCCAAGCTGTACCTGATCGACGTGCTGATGTTGAGCGTGATCACGTTCAGCGGCCTGTGGTCCCTCGAGCCCGATCCCGACGTGTTGGTGACGAGCCGAGCCAGTCGCCAGGCTCTACTTCCCGCGGCCTCCGCCGCGTTGTTGAGCCGCCCTTCTTGGGACCAGTACACTCTGCAGGTAAGTTTTATTATATTTATTTATTTATTTACACCTTATGCACAGTAGTACAAAGGCGGACTTAATGCCAAAGTTAAGTTCAAATATGGTCCTTTGAGCAGGATGAAGTCATTGATCGATGTTATTAGTACATATTTGTTCACTTTTTAAAGTTTTTCTTACGCAGTGAGCGGTCTATTATTTTAACATCACCAGCGTATGTCGGAGCACGCACATTCAAATCCTGGTAGCGGCGAAAAGCTTTCCGTATATTTCCTACAAAAAGTTCAGAGCTGTTTCCCGTGATAATAAACGAAAATAAAACCCAGTCAGCTCCGTCCGGGTGAGTACCACGACTCCACAGAAGACCAGTGTGAAGTGGAATTTTTTGTTACACGTCTGCGTGTATTGCAATTAAAAGGTGGCAACGCATCAGCACTCTTGAACCTTTCTTGGGGAAGAAAGGTTCTCCAGTGGCAGCCTCGTACTGGCCATCGCAGTGCAGGACGACACCTCACTAGATAGAGTGACGACCTGTGCAAGTATACGGGAAGTCGATGGATGCAGGTGGCTCAGGATCCTGCTTCATGGTCTATGGGGGAGGCCTATGTTCAGCAGTGGACTCAAACAGGCTGAAATGATGATAATGAACGCTGCTGCAATGTCTATGGATGGCGGTTATAACTTAACATCGGGCCAGCCGCCTGCCATAAAAATGTCATCATGATCAACATGGTCGCAGATGCTGGAGTGGCTGTGCCACAGTAGAGGCGCCACTGGCGACCAACGCACCGCCCAGACCTGCCAGAGGGCGCTGCTGGCTCTCAGACACTCTGACCACTTCGCCACCCACCGGATCTGGACCAGGCTGTGAGTATTGCAGCCTTGCAGCCTTGGCCTCATAGAACAGGGCGATGGTGTCCAGTCTGTCGTTTTGTATACATAAAATATTTGTTTTGTCAATCGTGGCTTACACCTGTTCTAAATTCAGTGCCGTCTACCGATATTTAAATTGCGCCCCGTGTGTCTCCGTTTGAATTGATCAGAATGATCAATTCTGAGAGTTTAACTAAAAATCCTTTTGACAACTCAAATAACTTTTGAAAAGCCATTTGACAGCTGATAAGTTGACTTCTAAGATGATCAGTGTTTCAGAAACCGGGTGTAAGTCTTTGAACGATGTTTTGAACTCGAGATGAAACTTTTAATAGTGAATTTTTGTAAATGTATGAACAAAAAATTTCGGCGCAGCGGGATTCGAACTAGCGTCTTCCGGTTTCGGCCCCAGACAAGAGCAAAGGCGACATCACTCGTTGCAAATGTTCATCGTTAAATGTTCTCTGTAAGGTGTCGCATGCTGCAATGGATGCGCGCTAGATGGCACCAAGCATTGCTAAAATGCAATAAAAAAGAACGAAGATTGTTGATGTCGAGATTTTCGAGTCGTGAAGTCAGCGACGAAAGTTTTTTTCGTCCAAAAAATCACAATTTAACATTTGTTAAAGTCATTAAACAACCCTCTTACCTTTTAAATTACTTCTGTTCCAGGGAAAGTCATTTTGCTGTCAACGAAGCTGCCAATGTAGATGACTAAATAAACTTAGGGGTTAGTTACTGAAAAAATAAATTTTCCTAAGTCATAATAGTACACAATTCCTCAGTCTATGGCAGTTTTCAAATAGTTTAAAAATGTAAAATGTTGTCCTCTGCTCCTTTTGGTTGTGCTATTATTTATTTGAAATTACTCTTAAGTCCCATATTTTAATTTAATCTACTTTATATTTGTATATATTATAAGCTCCTCACTAACATACATTTCCCTTGTCTATAAATATCTTGTCTATTCCATATTATTAACTGTCTTACCACAATCTAGCCTTGCCGAGTAATTAAAAATATTTGTACTTATTATAATTCTATCAATGTATTTTATATTTGTATACATATATCAATATTAACATCTGTAGAATATTTCTAAATGGCCATGAGACTGGCACATCTGAGAATATGTAAATCAAATTATTCCTCATTGATATCCTACATCTATCAATGCTTTAACAATGGAAGATCTGATATTAATAAGATACATGAATTTTTAAGATTTTCTGTATTATAACTGCAGTTTGAAATAAAGTAAATATAAACAATTTGCTATATTTTATTTTTTACATTGTATTTGGAAATAAGTTTCTGCAAGGAATAGTTAGAAAAGTCTCCCGCATACCAACCAATGGTATGGTTGGTTAAAGATAAGTATAATGAGTACATTACAGTGTGTTTTCTGTTCATCTTCATCATCCTAAGGTCTTATCTCACAGGTGGAATTTGTATAAAATGGGAATCACATTGAAAGAGATATTGGTTCGGTATTTAACAAACTGCCGCCTTCCTGACTCAACCCTCCATGTGCACAAACCCAGACTCAGGATAGTTATCTAAGGGTCAAAAACATACCAGTGTGGGATTTGAACAATATAATACTAAACATTACACACACAAATAATAATTTAGCGACTGCGCCATTGGACTCAATCACTGAAAAATCAAATTATTATTATATTATATTGATACCAATAAGAAATGATTATATATATCTCTGGTATTAGCATACATAGTAACTACCAATATCAATGAACTTTACAGATGTTTTTTAATTTAAGGTATTAAGTTATATCTTTTATAACCTTTATTGGTATTTTTGTCATCTACGCAAATGCTTGTCATTGCAAGCCATGCCGAATAGTTTCTATAATTATTCGATGACTACGTGGCGCAGTTGCCAAGGCTTCGACCCCGGAGGTCGTAGGTTCGATTCCCAGACGAGACATTCAGGGTACACGGGTAATGTTATCCTACAGGAAGGGCAATGTTTTTAAAAAAGAAAAAAAAAATATTATCATTACTATACATTGTATTTTATTTCTACCCAAATTGGAAGGGTATATAACTGAACTCAGACAAAAAACTACAAAATAATGAAAATATTTACACAACAGCTTTCATAACTTACATGTATAATATCTTGTAGTAGTTTACTGCAAAAAGAATATCATATGAGGGATTGACTTTGCATGAAAACTTTAAAAAACTTACATGGAGAAACAACTTGTTGTGCTTGTTTAACTATGCTGAATAATAAGTGTTTGAGAACAAACAGTGTTCATTAGCTTATTCGTTGTAAATCGTCAAAAAAGGAAAGACGGCGTACATGGAGAATCTTTATTTACTACTGGGTTCAGTAATCAATTAAAGAAAGAAATTCCGACAGAAGATATTATAAGTAATTTAGGGATATATGGGTTGCAGGAAAGCCGACACAGGATATATCAGAAAGGTTCTTAAGAAAAGTCATCGACACACTCCACTTGAAGGGAATTAATTGGAGAAGTTTTCATCACACCAAAAATCTAGTGAAATCGAAAATTCTATTGAAGAATTGTTGGGAATGTTACTGGTAAGAGAGGAAAGCTTTTTTGTTAAATTAGGGGGCAGTTCAGTATTAGTGAAGGAGATCATACTAATGAGATAGACATAATAGGTACAAGATAACTATTGTTATGGGAAATGTTACCATTTCCAGCTAGGGCTAAAACATCAGGAATACAGGAAGTACGAGTTGGAGTAATTGCTTGATGGGCTGACTTATCATAACTTTGATTTTTGTATTGACCGATAGGACGACAAGGTAGGGTATACTTTCTTGGGACATAATAAGTTTAAATTGATCTTTGCCTGGAATGTTCAGGGCAAGATGAATCTTATGCAGAATATTTGGTTGCCTTGAACAGGACATGCCTTTATGTTTTTGCCCACAAAGGAAGCAATGTGATGTTTACCTGCACAGAAATGTTTAAACCAAACCTACAACATTCAAGTCACTGAAAGGTACAAAGGAATCAAAGATGTATAAAAACAATAAATGTCTGTTGAAAGTTTTTGGCCTGAAAAGTCAGGGCCACAGTTTGAGTGGGAACCTAGGTATGACTATTATTTTCATTGACACTTCTTTAGTTAATCTTCTAGCTTTAATAATGGGGCCAAAACCTAAGGGAATCTTAATCCTAGAAATTAAGTCTTCTGAAGTCCAATCTATGGGGACTTGCCAAACTGTAAACTCATTTAGTTTACATCATAGGAAGGGATAACTGCTTCATATTCAGCTGGAGGAAGGGCTGGATGATCAATAAAAATGTAAGCTGAATAAAATTGAACAGGAATTCTATAACTATATTGGTAAATATATTGCAAATTTTAAACCCTATTGATAGCTCTGCCCGACCCGAGTTAGCCACTATAACACTTTCCTAACTTCTTTTGAAATGACAGATATAAGGTATAATTAATAAAAGCAAATATTTACATGATACATTCCTATTTGTTGAAATTTATTCACAAATTAACTATTTACTAGAGTGAGTTCTATACGACTGACTTAGAGTTAACATACCAACCGCTATGCTATATGATACTTATTACCATTAACATTTATTATCAGTTGGGATGGTAGTCAAGCACTAGAATACGATAAAATAAAATCATTAGCACTAAACAATGAATGTTGCCGATTGCTTCTCTATTATTATTTCACTGCCACTGATCTGAAGCCACTTTTAGCTAGCGCTAGATCTTATGTCAACCAAGGGAACTGCTTGTTGTTTCACTTTCCTTTGAAGGCCGCACCATGTTAGAGTTTTTTCGTCATGGGACCACAGATCTAAAGTCACTTCTTCTGTCTTTATTATCACCAGCACTAGATCCTATGTCAATAATGTGAAAAGATGCTTCTCTGTTGTTTCACTTTCCTTCGGAGGCCGCACCACGTTACAGGGTTTTTGCGTCGTGGCGGGCGCGCCGCCCTCACACGGCCGTCTCGTCCGCGGGGGCCTTCGCTACAGACTCAGCGGGGCTCTGCACCGGGACCCTGATGATCTCCTCCTCTATCTTAGCATCCACCGGCATGTTCTGGAATTATTGCAAAGTTGAAACAGCTGTTAATGTGGCAAAACGATAAAAGCTATAGCTCTGCATAAATAAGATCCTGCTGCATGATATGGCCTTGACTGGGGAAGTGCCACAATCTCACAGAACCACTGTTTAAGGAAAAAAAAAGTAAAAGTAAAGTTGATACTACCCAGCAGTGGGACATGTATAGGCCTATACATGTCCCACTGCTGGGAAAACGCCTCCTCTGCAAAGAGGGTATTAGGGCATAGTCCACCACGCAGCCCCACTGCGGATGGGCGTACTTCACTTATCTTCGAAATATATATATTAATATATATATGTGGTGGTGTCAGCACTGGGGATCAAACTCAGGTTGCTCAAGTATATTGAATTAGAGGTGAGCGCTCGGACACTGAGCTATCACGGCTCTACTGTTTAGGTATCACTTTATAAATTGCATTATGATATATTGTATAATGGCAATAGACTACTGTTTCATATCAGTTGACCCTAAAATTATTAGGACTAAACTAACTAGTCTCATGCAGACCTAAATTCTCGAAAGCGAAACTTAATTTTCTACAAGGTGTATTTCGGAATGGGAATGTTTGAGTTAAATAAATTAACAATTCCCTGCCCTTTAAATCATCAGCAAACTATACGATTGAGTGCTCCTGTTCTTTTGCTAGCATTCAACACAAATTCAAATTCAAAATAACTGTTCATTATATATTCAAATAGACGCTTCGTTCTTATGAAACGTCGTATTTTACAAAATTGATGTATAAGTTTGTAGTAACCAAGTGGTGTGCACCAATTAACTGTATAATGTCATTTGTTCTTGGCGCAGCAGGAATGTTCTTGATTACATATATGTTAAAGATTAAAAATATTATCTTCTTAGGTCAATACAATTAAGATATGGCCTACTATCGTCACATACTGCAATTCTTGCAAACTCCTTATTTAAAATGTATAGGGTACTAGCCAATGACTTAGAATCTTAGAACCATGAAAATTTCGAAAGAGCAAAACTTCGCAGTACAAAGAAAGGACACATACAGGGAGATGTGTGCAAATTTACACACAAGGTTCAGACTCGGTAGTATAAACGTTTATTGAAATAAAAAACGTTTTTTTTTCCAAAAAAAAAAATGCCATTCTATTCCATAAAAAACAGAACGTGTTGACAATGCGGTAGTCCTTCATAAATACCTAAATTTTACTGTGCACAAACTTGTGTGCGTGTTAGTTATGAATGATCACGCGTAAAATAAATGAGTTGCGTATAAATCACTCTTTTTGAGATAAGTTGAAATGAATGTAAAAAAAAATATAAAATAAAATAAATGTAATTAATTACTTACTGAATGTAATTAATTAATTACTTACTGAATGTAATTAATTACTTACTTAATGAATGATTCTAAATATTTATCATTTTTTATATAACATTATTTATGTCTAGAATTTAAAAAAAAAATGGATACATTTAGCCACCCTGTATAAAACCCCCAAACTAGATTTGCTATGCTATTTACATTTGTCCGGTTTTTGTACTGCACATGGCTTTTTGCTCACCTCCAGGGCGGTGTACTGGTTGTGCAATACGGCGGGGAGTTTATTAGCGCCGGGTAGGGCTGCGAGGGCGGTGGGGCGAAGGCGCGCGGGGTCCAAGAGGCGCGCGGGACGCCGCTGCGGGCTGTCACGGGGCGAAGCCCTGGAGCAGGCCCCCACGCTTTTCAACAGGCGGGCACTGGAACGAAGAGAAGGAATACAATGGCAAAGAAAATGAGGTTTTGTTTTCAAGACTCAAGAAGTAAACTGTCCTTAAAGAGAATGAATACAATAAGTGAGTGGGACGGACAGTTCGCCACGGACTGACCTTGAATATTGGCAAATAATTTATAAGAGGAAGGACTGATCTTAATAGATTTGTTATTCTGTACCAGAGAAATACCCCAGATTTTATGTATACAAAGTTTGACAATGTTAAAAAGGGTTTACAAACTGAACAAATCCTTATTAGTCAATAACAGAGGACCAGAAACACGAATTTCATCATTAATTTTAATTCCGAAAGTGAATTCAGAATTCAAAATCGGAAATGGCAACTTTACGCGTCAAGCAGCTTCAGCAGCAGACGGCTGTAAGCCCTGTACTCGTCGTCGCCGAACTCGGCCGGGTGGTGGCGGGCGCACTCGTACGCGTCGCAGAACTGGTGCACCAGCTTCTGGCCGCGGCCGTCCAGAGGCGCCGCCAGCGAGGAGAGCAGGAACGAGCGCAGGGACTCGCGCGGCCGCCGGCGGAGGCCCGCGTCCTGGCGGGCGATCTCCTCCTCTGAGGAACAAAGTCGGGTTGAAGGAATGTACAAAGAATCGGAAATCATAACTGTACCCTGCAAAACATCAAAAGTATAAAAAGTAACAGCAGTAGGAGTAAAGTAACGGCCTATAAGTCCCACTGCTGAGCAAAGGAATCTTTTGTACAGAGGGTATTACGGCATAGTTCACCATGCGGTTTGTTCACTTTTTCTAAAATATGCAGGTTTTCTTAGGATGTTTTCCTTCACCACAGATAAATGCCACAGCATGTGATAAATCAGAGCTTAAAATTAACAAATTTCAATAATGCCGGCACCGGGGATCAAACTCACCTTGCTTGTGTACATTGAATTGAAAGCAATTAGTGCCCGGACCATGAACTTATCATGTGCTTATTGGGAAGGAAAACATGAATAAGAACATTGCATACTTTAGAAATAACAATAATAAAAATATATTTCAAACATAGTGGAGACCACTCAGTAATCCACTGCATGCAGTAGATTACAGGGTGGACTGTAACTACCACTAACTACCCTGTAAACAAAAAAAAGCCCACTGATGAGGCCCACTGATATGGATTGTTATAATGGTTCACCTATACTTTATGCAATAACATAGTGACATATTTATAAGACACAAAGATTATACAATGTAGAGAAAAATTGGTAATACAAAAAATTTTGTGATTTCATACCCAAGGTCTTGACATCATCAACAGCGCGGAAGCGATAATGATAAGGCTGCTGGGGTTCCAAAATGTAATGTGATGGTTCTGCACTCAAAAGTCGTGGTTCATGCACAATTCTCGGTACAGCTTCTATTCGCCGTTCAATCTCCTTTTTTAGACTCTGTAATGGTTAAAGATTATTTGTAGTATCATATACAATATAATTAAATACAATATAACTATTGGTATCTTATATTTGACATGTTACTAATTGAAACTATGTTTACGGATTTATCGCGTTTATTTTTAGTTTTATTTCGGAAGTTTACAGTGTTCATGGGCACGGGACAGATCGAGGCATTGGATATCTGAGTGTAATTGGTAATCCTTATTGTTAAGCCTTAAAATTAACGGTGGTAGGGCCACGCAGCAGCCTCGGCTGTTGCACGAATGGGCAGGCCCGTCCGGGTAAGTACCACGACCTCACAGAAGACCAGCGTAAAGTGGAAGTATGAGAAATACTTTCGCGTTTCGTCTGGTGAGTGAGGTAGCCGGAGCCCAATTTTCAAAAGGTTGTAAACGCATCTTTAACCCTCGGGAGTGGCAGATGTCCATGGGTGGCGGTATTCACTTAACATCAGGTGAACCGTCTGCTCGTTTGACATTTCGCATTAAAAAAAAAAAAATTTACTCACTTTCTTTGCATCCGCACCTATCGGTACATGAGGTCCACGTCTAGACCTTAGAGCAAACCTGGTTATTTGTCGCTTCGCAAAAATAAACAAAATCACAAATGTCAATACACCACCACTTATTATAAAAATTATGTTTCTTATACTCGTGAAAGCTTGCATGTTTGTAAAGGAAATTTCTCTGTATTTTGAGAATATAAGATAATACTTAAAATCGGATTATTTTCCTATTTTGTTTTTTTTTTCCTATAACTTTACGTTATTTATATTTTTCCATTTACGTTAATATTAATGGCATTCATTATTCATTGATTCTCATTTTTATTTTCTTCTTCTTTCTTTAATATGGCTTTCTCATTTCTCAAATCTCATTTTCAATTTCTAATTCTATCACTTTGACATTGACAGTTGACTTTGATTATTATATTTGGCTTGGGATAGATGATCTTTCGACATTAAAAATCGAATAACCACTTCGCTTAGGTTTATATCGGTTGTTTCAGTAGCATTTTAATAATTATTTATAGACCTACGTATAAAAATTATTATTACAGTACAAAATAAGATTAAATATATGTAATGAATATCTATTATATATATATAATAGGGTGTAATCTTTAATTTTTTTTATGTCAAAAGTTGTCAAGCGAGCAGATGGTTCACCTGATGTTAAGTGAATACATATGCCACACCCGAGGGTTGCAGAAGCGTTGACAACCTTTTGAAAATTGGGCTCCGGCCACCTCACTCACCAGACGAAACGCGAAAGTATTATACTTCCACTTTACGCCGGTCTTCTGTGAGGTCGTGGTATTTACCCGGACGAGCCTACCCATTCGTGCAACAGCCGAGGCTGCTGCGTGGCCTTACCACCGTAAAATTAATTTAATTTTTAATTATTGTTGTATATTTGGCTATTGTATTGCGATTATCTTTTCCTTCGTTCTGGTGTTCTGTTATCTTTTGTGCAGGTCGGTGGCATATCCTGCGGGGACCCTGATCGTCCATTATTATCATATATCATTATTGATTTAAACTGGTAAAGGGAGAATATGAAGTCTTTTCGTGTTGCTGCAAAAAAGAGAAGGAACCATACTCATCACAACTCGGCTGTAGAGGGTTGAGGGGCCGAAACATCGTAGTACTGACACTTCACTCCGCATTTCTAACTTTTCCGCATCTGCGAAAGTTGTGGAGGGTCTGGTGAGACGCAATATGAAATTGTAGAGGATAGATAAAATATCTCCTCCGTTAAAGCCCCCACCTTCCCCGCACCCTTTCTGCGTGCGTGTGGACCCCCACCAACAGGTTCTGTTGTGGTGGCCTTACACCACATTGTGGGATCCTCTTTGCTTTGCCGTGGGGACCTAGCCACGGGCACTAAGCCTCTCCTCTGCGATAAGTCGGTATGCCATTTGGGACGTTCCAATTTATCATTGGCTAAAAAAAGTTAGATTATACTCAATAAGTCATCGCTCGAATAAATGAAAAGTAAGAATTATCCCCTTAAGCTCAATAAGTAATCGCACAAAATGCCTTTGATTTTCATTAGTATTATGCAGGGAATATTCCGCGTATTCAACAACTGACTATTCTGATATGCGGGATATTCCATTTATGGTGAGCGCCTGCAGAGAAAATATCGCAAATTTACAACTACAACAATGGTGGTTGCGAGTTTTAGGTAAGACTAACTATTTAATACAATGTTTTATGTAAGAATAACTTGACAGTTATTCTTAGTCAGTTGACATTGACCCGTACAATATTTTTGCACAGTACCGTAATCAGTCACCGAAAAGTTATGTGGAAATAGATACAGTGGACCCTCGGTAATTCGGCCCTTGTCTAATCTGGTACCCCTGTAATCCGACAAGCCTATCACTGTAGGTATCTTTGTATATTACTAAGTTAACTTGTACTACTAAGTTATCTTAGTCTTACTTTTCCTCTATTTGCTGCATGAGTTATTGGAAAGTTGAGTGAGTTATATTAATTACCTCTTGATTATATTAATAAAAACATATTTAATTAATCAAGTTGACACTAGCGGTGCCACTCGAAATATTTTCAATCGTATCATGAAGTAAGTTTTCAAATACTTGAAAATGGCAGCCACCCCTATAATAAGTTACTCTATGATGGCAGCTGTAGTATCTGGCATTCACAAAGCTGACACTCACAGAAATCCGAGTGAGTATTGGCCTATCTCCTCACTCGGGACTTTTTATAAATGTTGGAAAGTCTCGTAAAGAAAAGGTTAATTTTCTATCTTGAATCAAAAAGATTTTTCTCCTCTTGAGAGTTTGGCTTTCGAAAGAAAAAGTCAGCTGAAGATTCAGTTTGTCTGCGAACGGAAAAAAATTCTCCACATTTCGATTAAGGTCGGGATTGTACCTATTCATTTCTTTATCATACAAACCGTTTCGATACAGTATCGATAATATTTGGAATATTGCAGGCGTGTTGTATTAGAGACATTAAAGTTTTTTTAAAAATTCAATGCAAGTATTTCCACATTTTTAGCGTTCTGAAGTCATAGTAATAATGAGAACAAGTGGTTGGCAGAATTAAACCAGAGAGTCTACGAAGGAAATATCGGGAGTGTGTGATCAATAGTATTGGCAGCTAAACAGGAGATTGACTGTCCATGATATTCCTGACTCATTAGACTTACCAAACGAACGCAAAATATCATAGTCAATTCTCAAATTTGGATTTTGTATTGTTTCTGGTCGTTGGGCCTCTACATTCAGTCGATCAAAAATGGCGATTTTTTGCAACTGCTTGGAGACGTTACTTCGCATGATTTTCTTAACACGACTTGGGATGCAACCTGGATTCATTATTATACCACAGACCAGAAATTCAAGCAGGAAAAATATCTTCCAGGAAGCGAAAGAAGAAAACTCAGAAAGAAAGTCTTGTTCCATCAAGCTGATTCACACGTTAAATCCATGTTTCAAATTCGTGATTGTGGTTTCGAGTTATTGTCCTATCCATATTCCTATTCTTCTGATTTGATACTTTGTTTCTGGTCCAGAAAAATCATTGCAACAATTTTTCATTGATTGAATTTTGATTTGAATACCTTGAAGGACAATTTAATATTTATGTAAATAATGTTAATTTTAATAACTTAGATGATTCTATTGTTCATTGTAATTTTTGGCGACGGAAAATTTACTCTAGCAATTAAATTGAAGCTATCCTTTTTTGATTTTATTCCAATAATAATGACATTTTCTGTCTAGTTGAAACATATTTTTCAGTACTGTCGAAAATTGTTGCACTTTAAAACTTAAGTATGTACTTTTTTTTACTGTTTTAGATTTAAACAGCAAGTAATAAAGATCCAAGAACATTGAACTTCATAAAAAGAAATGAGAAGAAATGCTATATGGTACTTTAAAAGGTCCTGGTTTAAAAGGTCCTACTTTAAAAGGTTTAAAAGGTCCTTTGTTATTAATTTTTGGTTAAGTATTTACTTTGTGGTAATGAAAAAAGCAAAGCAAAACGTCATTCACGTAATGATTTGTACTAATACCGTTTAAAATTCAGGAAAGCTGTTATTGCAATCCGTATACATAAGACATATACTTTTGTCCATATAAATATACGATAATGTACGCTTTTATGTTTGAACTAACTTTATAGTGGAAATATCACTGTCCTTATTCGACCACGAAACCATTTGTTGTTGGCCGAACAATCGACAGTCCGTATTGGTGCGATTGGTCACCGCACGTAGCCGCCATATTTGACATCAATATGCGCGTCTCGTTTCCCGCCAAAGACGTTCGTGCCTCGCCCAACGCTCAATAGAAAGAATCATGATGAAGGAATTTGTGTACCGCCCGTACGTACCGGCTATGATATACGATGAATAACTAATAAGAGGTTTCTAGGAACAATATTATTTTCAAATGCGTGCATAGTTTATTGCACATCTTCGAGTATGAACCATTGTGGGTTTGTGTAAGATTGAAAAAAAAAAATGTAGGTACCTAACTTTTATATGAATCCTTTTATGCATAATGAATACAGTAAATAATGAATATCATATTTTGTATTTTAGGTAAAAATATATTAATATTATAAATAACTTGATTTGTGTAATATCATCAATCAACTTTGAATCAAAACCTGCCTTAATGTTTACTTCTGTTTTTTTTTTTACATTTCAATACACAATTATATTTTTGTTGTTTGGCGTTGTATTATGAACATCTTATCAACATTGAATTACGTTTTTCGACTCTCGAAAGAGAAAAACCTCAATATTGATTAAGACCGCAATATTATTTTGTTGCTCTTCGGAATACGTAAAACACTATAACGGCTCGAATTAAAAAAAAAATAACTGAAAACAATGAAACCTTTTTAAATAACATCAATACACTTACACGTACAATGTTCTATTTGATAGTAAGAGAAGACGTTGCCTTTCGCAACCAAATTGATGGTATCTATTTTGCAATTAATGTAGTAATTATTTTGACACCATCTTACCAATTTTTGCATAATAAGTAATACAATTTTTATTTATAAAAATAGATGAAACTCTTGTGTGCGATTGCTATAAACAAGGGGTGAGCAACCTTTTTAATCAATGGGCCAATTTAAATTTCATATTTTTTTGGCAGGCCGCTCATAATAATTTACGAAACTTTCTTTATAATAAATATTAGAATAAAAAAATATACAAATTTTAATGCAAGGTAAAAACAAACAAGAAAAGAACAGAAAAACGAACAAAAAATATTTCGGTTCAGTATATAAGTATTATTTTATTATAATAAAATTTTATAACATGATAAAATAAATTCGTAGTAAAATAGTAAAGGGCAAACACGAGAAAGTCTACATGTCTAAGGTATACAGATAATGTATAAAGTTTTTCTATCCAAACCCGCAACGTCAAAACCGTCACCAGGGTATAATGTCCTAAATTATGACTCCTAATAGTCTCGTTACAGAACAATTTTTTGCAGAACAATTGGAGCGAAAAATTCGAGAAAAATTAATTAATTTTTCATCAGTCATAATCTTTACATATAAAAATTTAATTTATGTATGTTTGTGTCTAAAAAACTCAGAAACTAGGCTATTTGGACGGGCCCGTCCGGGTAAGTACCACGACCTCACAGAAGACCAGCGTAAAGTGGAAGTATGACAAATACTTTCGCGTAAATAATTCTGGTGAGTGAGGTAGGCGGAGCCCAATTTTCAAGGGTTGTCAACGCATCTGTAACCCTCGGGTGTGGCAGATGTCAATGGGCGGCGGTATTCACTTAACATCAGGTGAACCGTTTGCTTGTTTGACAACTTTTCGCATAAAAAAAAAATATTTTTACAACATAGCAAGCGGTTCACTTGATATGTGAAAGCCGCCGCCCATAGACATTTGCAACATTCGTAGGGTTGTACATGTGTTAACACCTTCCTTTTATTAAAGTGGGTCCCAGCTACCTCACCCACCAGACGAAACGCAGAAGTATAACAGTTCCACTTCAAAGATCCGTGATAGCTCAGTGTCCGGGCGCTCGCCTTTAATTCAATATACTCGAGCAACCTGAGTTCGATCCCCGGTGCTGACTTATCACGTGCTCCGCGGTGAAGGAAAACATCGTGAGGAAACCTGCATATTTTCGAAATAATAACAAAAAAATATATTTTGAAGATATGTGAAGTCCGCCAATACGCAGTGGGGCCGCGTGGTGGACTATGCCCTGATACCCTCTCTATAGAAGAGGCCTTTGCCCAGCAGTGGGACATGTATAGGCTGTTACTTTACTTTACTTTACTTTTTATTATGGAGTACCTGGTTTTTTTTTATATTAGTTATTATATATAGGTGTTATATTAGGTACATAATATATTAATATTATCTGAATTTGATTCATATGGCTGAAGTTTTCGTAACCTTTGCCTTTTGGGTATTATAAAATTATGTATGGTTGACCTAATTTAGATCTATAACCTAGTAACAGGACAAATGTTGCCTGTTAAACACTAAGCGATATCTTACATAAACACACATGCGTGTAGTAACAGCAATATTTACCACCAGCGTTACTCCGTGAATTCATATTTAGCGTTCAAACAACTTTTTGTGACGTGTCTCCTGCGCCGCACCATTTTGACGTGGTCCTGCTAAAATCGAGGGCCTTGAGAATTGAAACATGCATCTAAGAGTACCGAGTAGAATACGTCCAATTAATTTTCAAATACTTGTAAATAAATAGCGCCTGTTTAATATCTTAATCTTAAAATGATTAAGATAAATGAAAATAAAGTTTTGGAATAGTGACAGACATAAAGTAAACACTAGAAATAAGGACAAACTTACTACGCCATTGTTTCGTCTACAAAAAGTAAATAAGTCGTTCATGGGGCAAAGTGTATAATAAAATCCCACAGTCGATATTAACACCCAGTTTCCGAAAACTCAATCAATTTTAATTTACGATAAATCTCTTGTCAATCGTTGTTTAACATGACCTGAGTTGCTAGAACGTCTGAAAACAACATTGATTTTGATTTGCAATTAGTCACTGATTAACGGACAATCATCAGAAAATCGAGTTTCTGAAAGCGTTTTTCGATGGTCAACGAGCTGTCAAAAGTTTTATTAAGTAATCTGTCAATTTGGACGATCAATCGTTGGTTAAAAATGTATTTTATCAAAAATCATAGTTTTTATTAAAAATAAACATAATTCCCTAATACGTTGTAAGGACATTCATGTGTTCGATTACCTATTTATTATTATCATGCGATTAAAAAAAATACAAAATGCAATTCAAAAGTTAATAAATAATATGGATTCTTTCTTTTTGTAATACTTGTTTATTAAAGCTATATATATATATATATGTTTATTATAGCCGTGATAGCTCAGTGTCCGGGCGCTCGCCTTTAATTCAATATACTCGAGCAACCTGAGTTCGATCCCCGGTGCCGGCACCAATGAAGTTTTTAACTTTAAGTGCTGACTTATAACGTGCTCCACGGTGAGGAACATTGTGAGGAAACCAGCATACTTTCGAAATAATGACAAAAAAAAATATACTTCGAAGATATGTGAAGTCCGCCAATCCGCAGTGGGGCCGCGTGGTGGACTATGCCCTGATACCCTCTCTATAGAGGAGGCCTTTGCCCAGCAGTGGGACATGTATAGGCTGTTACTTTACTTTACTTTACTTTTTATTATGGAGTACCTGGTATTTTTTTGGTAAATCATGTATTTTGGAAATTACATTTAGATACAAATTACTGAGTAATGAAATATGCATAATATTTTTCGATCTTACTGACGTAATAATAAGAAAATATGAAATGGTGCTTTTCACAAAAGAAAGAACTTTAAAAAAAGGGAAAAAAATAACGAAAACCGACAAAAAATAAAAAATAAAGAAAGCAATGATCTGGAATCGAAAAAAAAGTAAAAAAATAAGTGTGTAAATGATCGTGATACGAACCACGGCCGTCTATTTTGGGGCCGCCCGATTTTTCGGCGAAATTTACCGTCATATTCGAATGATATTTTTCATTCCCTGAAAACAGGGATAAAAGGACATTTGCATTTGCAAAAATGAAACCTAGCTAGATCGATTTTTCGCCCCCGAATCTACGCACATACTAAATTTCATGAAAGTCGCCGGAGCCGTTTCCGAGATTCCCGTTATATATATATATATATATATATATATGCAAGAATTGCTCGTTTAAAGGATAAGATAAAAGTAAATTTTTTTCACGTTCTGTAAAGTTTTTTCTTGACATTTTGCATGTATTTATATAA